AGAGCTGGATCACTCCTCCATACTAGTCCGTAGGCTTCTTGAGGGATTGAAACTTGCCGGCCTCGAAAAGTTATTAAAGACATCGTTAAAATAAGTCCAACTGACTACAATGGCTCAATCTTAACTTTATCAAGCAGCGAGAACACTTTTTGTGCACAAAAACGAACATAAATAACGACTTTATTTCAACTATTCATTTCCTTCTCTTTGCGCCTCTAATCAGTTAAACTAGTCTAATTGAGTAGAGCTACGTCACACGTAGGCTCACTATTGGCCGACGCTGGTCATGTGTGTGATGCGTGTGACGTACAACAACAGATCATACGCTGTTAAACTAGTAACCTGACTCGAGGCCCAGAGAAAAGTGTTTTTTTGCACACAAAAAGTATTCTCGTCGTTTGATAAACTTAAGATTGAGCCACTGTAGTCACTTGGACTATTTTAACGATGTCTTTAATAACTTTTCGAGGCCGGCAAGTTTCAATCCCTCAAGAAGCCTATGGACTAGTATGATCCAGCTCTCAGATTTCATCCAAAAATATCTTAATTCGTGTTCTGAAATGAACGAAGGTCTTACGGGGTTGGAACAACATGAGGGTGAGTAAATACTGACAGAATTTTCATTTTTGGGTGAACTATCCCTTTAAGAAACATTTCTTATTTTTATCAATGTTGAAAACTGTTGTGCTGCTGCATATTTTTGTGCAAACAATGATACTTTTGTTCCAGGATTCTTTGATAAATAGAAAGAACAGCATTTACTTGAAACAGAATATTATGTAACATTATAAATGTATTTACTGTCACTTTTTATCAATTTAATGCATCATTGCTGAATAAAAGCTTTTTTTTCGAGTTGGATTAAATCATTATTGTATCCTTGATAAGACGCTTACCTGTTTCTTGCAGCTTTAGAGCTGCTTCCATGTAGTCCAGAACCTCACCGGTCATGTCAAACCTGTATAAATAGCGAGCGTGAACAATTATTTCCATTAACAGATCATTCAGGAAACTACATCATAAGCAATGCCCTTACACTTTGTTGATATCAATAGTGATAGCTTTATCAAGAACTTCCTCAGGAGTTTCAAGGTTTGGTGGGATTTCCAGATGCTGTGGGGGAAACAGGACACTATATATATATAAACAGGATAGTATATGTGTTGATGAACTCAAATGTTATTGAAGGAAACATTAAGCCTGCCTTTAAATGGAAATCGATTTTGATACACAGCAGCTTGGCGTAAAGCGCAACAATATGTCCATATCTATCATGTAGATTCCCCTAAAAACACAGCAAACGCATACAAAATTTAAGTTGAAAGATTCACAAGAAAGAATAATCGATTTATACGAGATTATGTAAATATGTTATACATGACTGTATAACATCCAGATCATTTTAGACACTCACCCATAATGTTCCCATCTGTCCAATGCTTGCAGTGTGACCTCTGCTGTCCCGTAAAGTCTGAAAGAAAGTAAAACAAAAATGTGTAGGGTCATTTTAGATGAATAAAGTGAACTTAAAGCCATCTGATGATACTGTGGTGGACGGGACTGACGTTGGGATGGCCGTCTCGGAGGAGTTTGTGCACCATGTGGCAGAACTTCCAGCTGAGGATGGCGTTGCTGGACAGCGGCAGACTCACGGCATGAGACCAGAACGTGACGGCGCCGCCTTCCTTATGTGAGCCTAAAATAATCTCTGTACAAATGTTAAGGACAATGTACTAGTCCAGATATCGAAGATGACATAGATCAAATTTCAACTGCCTAATTTTAAATATAGCTATATTATCTCCAAGCTTAATATATAAAGTAAGAAATACAAATTTAATTGCATACATACAGTGTGTATATTCAAATGAAGTGATATATTCTCTAATATAGGAAATCTCAACTGTTTGATTGCTTGAAACACTGCAAAATGTAATGTAAACTATATTATTGCCAAGCTCTAATCTGCTAAATGCAACATTAAGATATCAAGATATAGTAAACATTAAAGTCATTATCGTCTGTAAAGCTGCTTTGAAACCATGCTTATTGTGAAAATTCCTAAACACCCAAAAATTCACCCAAAAATGAAAAATACATAGTCTTTAATGACTCACCCTCATGTCGTCCCAAGCCCGTAAGACCTCCGTTCATCCTTAAAAAAACACAGTTTGAGATATTTTAGATTTAGTCCAAGAGCTTTCTGTCCCTCCATTGAAAATGTATGTACGGTATACTGTCCTTGTCCAGAAAGGAAATACAGACATCATCAAAGTAGTCCATGTGACATCAGTGGGTTAGTTAGAATGATTTGAAGCATCGAAAATATGTTTTGGTCCAAAAATAACAAAAACTACGACTTTATTCAGCATTGTATTGTCTTTCGGTTCTGTTGTGGCTCCGCGCTCAGTGACGCGGCTGACGTGTGTCTGGTGCGTCCGTGTATTCGGGTTCAGATAAATATGGCTAAGCAAAAAAAATGCAAGTCTTCCTCTGTGTGTAAATCCTTAGACATGTTAGTGAATATTGTTTTGTTTACACTGTGCGTCTCCCTCAGACTGTAACCGAAGCTCAGCCGCACCAGACACACGTCAGCCGCAGATCCACAACAGAACCGGAAGACAATACAATGCTGAATAAAGTCGTAGTTTTTGTTATTTTTGGACCAAAACATATTTTCGATGCTTCAAATCATTCTAACTAACCCACTGATGTCACATGGACTACTTTGATGATGTCTTTATTTCCTTTCTGGACAAGGACAGTATACCGTACATACATTTCCAATGGAGGGTCAGAAAGCTCTGACTAAATCTAAAAAAATGAAACGGAATCTTGAAAATGAACGGAAGTCTTACGGGCTTGAGACGACATGAGGGTGAGTCATTAACGGGGCTATGTGTAGGTTTTTACTTTAAAAAATCTTTAAGATAGAGTCTTTATTTGTACATTTATGAGCCATCCATAATATAATATAATATAATATAAAGAATGACACCTTGACTGCCTATATCAGCCTGTAGGCTCAAATGTGTTGGAGTCGGGTCCAAATTGGCGTGAAAATTCACAAAATGTGTCATCACGCACATTCTCGTCTACTTGGGCTTACATACGTATGGCAGCCATTAGTAAGCAGCGGCAATCGCTAGCAGTGGCATTTCAAATGGACTCGGATGGAAAGAAGCGACCAGGCTCCAGCACAATCCAGATACCCGCAAGTTAAAAAAAAAGCCTTATCTAGTGCGGCCAACGAGCGTGCGCACTGAGAACGAGCATGAGACTGACTGCAGTTTCTCTAACGGCCACTGGTGTCAGTAAAGGGTAAGAAATTTCAGAACAACCACAATGCTCCTTTAATGACTTAAATTTCATTTTTGGGTGAACTAACCCTTTAAGAACATACTATGGGCTCTATGCACGGCGGTATTTCCGGTGAAGGTGTAAGGATGATCGATAACTTCCGCCGATCGTAGAGTCCAATGCAATACCGAGAATTTATATTGAATTTTATACTCCATGGTTATACTAAAGAAACGTTAGTCACAAAAACAGATAAAACAGACACTCCTCGTTGTGTTTATGCTTCTTTTTAAAATTATATTAAATAAACATAACTAAATATAAAATTACATCTAAACGTATGTACGTTTCGTTTCAAAGACGGAAGGACAGTAAAAGACTCTTTGAAGACTCTGCCATAGTCCCGTTTTCCTTGGTTTTCCTCCACTTTAATCTCCACAACCAGAAATGGACGAGCATCCTTGCGTCAAATGCGGAACTTATGCATGCATATAGCCCATTACTGTAAATCTTGGGCTTCTATGTGTAATTAGAACACAAACACATATTCAAATTATCATAAATTGGAGATATGTGAATTAAACTTCCTCCCCGCAAACTATACTAAAGGATACTGCGTCCATATTTCTCTTTGATGGGGGCCTCTGCGCTGGTGATGGATTTGGAGATGCTTTGAAGCTGTAAAGCAGATGAAATAAAGATTTAACATTACATCATTAATAAAACATTAAATTGTTTACATATATAATGCTGAATGAATATGGCACATTTTAAAACATTAAATAACACACATTACAATGAAGTAAAAATGCAATTGAATAACCACTAAATAATTGTTGTGAGTTATATCATCTGACTGAGTCTGATCTTACATGCTAAACAGTACAAACAAAAGTACAGTTGAAGTATTGGGTCTTAGTAATATAATCACATGGTATTAACATGGTACTTCAACACTACTTCAAATAATACCATGCATGGTGCATATAAAAATAGATATTACTATGGTAAAATATATTACCATGGTACAAATGGAATTACAATGGCACATACCCAAAAAAGATTATGGTATTAAACTGACTAGTATATCAAGCCCCCAAAAACTTATCCTACAAACTGTGGTACATACCAAAAAGCATTGTACCACCGTGGTACACGTCCAAAAAAAATGTTATTATAAATGACACATGTCCAAAAACCACATGTGAATGTAAATGAAAACAATGTATTAAAATGAGATTTAAAAGTGGGAAAAATGATCAGTTGTTTACTGTCATATTACATTGTTTTATTATTGAAAGAAAAAGAAACAATCATTAATAATTTCTTTGAAAAACAGTGACCACTGAACATCTAATGCACGTTGAATGAGGTCAAAATGTGCGTGCGTGTAAATCTCACCTGTAGTTTAACGAATTGCTCCTTTTCCGCAGCTAAAGCCTTCTCAGATTTATCCGTTTTCTCGTTTTTCTTCGATTCGGTTTTCTTTGAGGCCATGTTTTACTTCTTCCTCAGATTAAACCAATAGTACAAATGATAGACTGAGTCCAGACAAACACACCCTCTCCCTCTCTCTCTCCCACACACACACCTGAGATCTACCTGTCACGTCAACGAGTCACACAGGTGAGTTTCTTTGACAGGCTGTCTCATCCTTTTCTCAATCTGAAATTGTATTTCAGGGTCAACCAAGTCAATGGTAGCATAAAGACCTTTATTGTCTTAAATGTCCTGAGATTATGCAAATACACTGTGTTTCAGCGGCTTTTGAAAAGGCTGATGGCTCGTTCTCCTTGCTGTGAGAACAACACTGGATTTCAGGTGTAAAAAACAACGATCTAGACTAGAGCCACATACCAGTTCATTATCTTAGAAACCAAACAGGTTAGATGACAGGGGAAACTGGAATAACAAAAAACAACCAGTGCCATTATGTCATCTTGCAAGACAGGTTTAACACTTGAAGAAAGTAGTTTATAAATAACAAGTCTTAACATCTGTCCAGTTAGAGGTAGTGCTTTGTGTAGAATTAATCACTAATGCTTATTTTAGTACACATATCATAAAAATAGATTTTGATTAAAAATGTTAGCTTTGCAAAACTCTTTGGTTGCCAAAAATGGATTTATTTTTCAGAAGCAGGAAGAGAAGATGAACAGGGATCCGCCGGTTCTCCTGGCTCTATGGATTACTTGCTTCCTTGTAGCAAATGTGCGCTGCTTTTGATCTCGGAGTCACTTTCCTTTAGGAAATTAAGGAGGAAATGCCATTTAGTTGCAGTTTAATCTTAAAGCATAATTTTACTATGCGTTAAATGTTGTGCAAATGTAATGTAATAAGCGATATGACCAAAATCTAATTTTATTAGGGATGCACAATATATCGGCCACCATATCGGTATCAGTCGATAAATTCTCATTTTTAATGTTATCGTTTAACAATTTAGCTGATATATTAAAGCTGATAAATAATGGATTACTTCCATCAGATAAAACACTTCAAATGCATCAAAAATTATAATGAGAACATCATTATAATTGTGTGCTTGAGGCATGGATTTAATGGTGAGACTTTTGTTTATATTGGCCGATATCGGCCAATATATCGGTTATCAGCTTTCAGATATAAAGAATTATTGGTAATTGGTATCGGCCAAAATGTTCATATTGGTGCATCTCTAATTGTAGGGCTGTCAAACGATTAATCACATCCAAAATAAAAGTTTGTGTTTACATAATATATGTGGGTGCACTGTGTATAATTATTATATATATATATATATATATATATAAATAAATACACACACATGCTTGTATATGTATATTTAAGAAATATTTTCATGTATATAGATTTGTATATAATTTATATTATATATAAATATAAATATTTTATATATAAATAATATTTTTTTCTTAAATATATGTGTGTATTTATATATATGCAAAATAATTATACACCGTGCACCCACATATATTATGTAAACACAAACTTTTATTTTGGATGCGATTAATCGCGATTAATCGTTTGATAGCCCTACCTAATTGTATTTCACGATAGCGATTTATTTATTTTTGATACCACTGCATTATTTCTTAATTTTCATCACCATTTTCAACCTGAAAAACTTCAAGCACTGTATAAAGTAATGAAAAGTATTCACTATGTAAACTAAATATTTATTTATTCTTATTAAAGTTACAAAAGTGATTACAATTTTTTTTTGTTATTAACGACAGCAGGTAAATTGGGTGTTGTCACTTTAAGACCAATTATACGGATCCAATGTACTCGTGTGTTTTCTTACTCAACTGTTTATGTTAACTTGACACATAAGCATTTGCACTGTTGCAAAGACAAGGTTGCTTTGACACACAAGTATGTGTATTTAACCGTCCAATTAGATGGCAAAAAAGCACTCAGTTTGATACTCACACGCTTTATGAGCAGCAGCTTTCTATGTGCGCATCTCTCAGACTGAGCTCAGAAACTCTCGGAGAGCGAGCGCATATGCTGAAATTAGTTGTTATTCGCTGCATACTGCGTGTGCTTAATGGTTTAAAATCATGTTTTTATACCACAATGGTAAAAAAAGCATGCACACTTTTGTGACCATGCAGCACAGAAACATGAGTACGAGTGTAACCGTGATAAGAGACAATTGTCCAAAATCTCTACCGATTGACAAATTTTTACCGGTTAATCGTGTATATCGCCCACCCCTACTTACAGCCTACATCCTCTTAAAGAGACATACCCTGCATGGTTGGCTTTCCTCCTGGCTCTGGGTGGAGGATTGGGAGTGGTTACTTTGGGGGTGACAACCATCATTGCAGTTTGTGGGGCTTTGAGATTTCACTGGGCTGACAGATTTCCTGGCAGAGCTTTCCAAACTTGCCACCATTTCCTGCGACTGAGCCAGCAGACGCTGTAAACGGATTGTGGATGAGCTGTAACAATCCTGTGTAAGATGCAAATATACATGAGATAAATAAAGAGACTGATAGCATGGATACCTTTCATTTAAATGTGCCTAAAACACACATGTGAAATTAATAAACAAATATATTACTATTGCAATAATACTATTGTACTGTAAAAAAAGTATTTATTAATAATAATAATAATAATTATTATTATTATTAATCAAATTACTATTTTAATTTATAATATTATTTAAATTAAAACCATTAAAACTCTTGCAATAATACTATTGAACTGTAAACATTTGTATTTGATAATAATAACAACATACTATTATTTTTTAATAATAAAATATAAATTAATAAATGTACTAAGATTGTAGTAATACTATAGTACTGTAAAAATAAGCATTTATGATTTATCATCATGATCATCATCATTATTTATTTTAATTATTTTACAGAACAAATAGATGCACTTTAAATGTATTTGAAAATAGAGCAATTTTTGATCCTGATTTACGTAAATACAGAAATCCATATAAATACAGAAACATCCCTATTATAAGAACAATATATGTAAAGTGTTTGTTGTGATGCGGTGGACTACCTCATTGCCATGGAGTTCAATGCTTATTGAAGAATCGGGTAAACTGACAGAGCTCCGCCTACTATGGTGAGAGGGGGAGGGACAATCCAGGTGAAGGCTCACATCTGCAGCGCTAGTTAACCAAAAGAAAGGCACAATTATTATCAGGCCAACAACATTAGGTGTGTTCGACTTGAAGCGGTGCTGCGCAGACTGATCTGTGTATGACATCAAAGTACCGTGTGTGTGAGTGATTCGAAAGCATATGGAGCCGTCCATAGACTGATAGGTCTGCACAGCGCCGCTTGAAGCCGAACACACCTATTAGCATTGATTTCAAAACATGCCCAGATTAAATCTGCAAAGAAATCTGCAAACTTTAATGCAATAAATCTTAATATGGTAAAACGTGGTAAAAACGGAGCTTAAAGTTCACCAATGATGGCTGGAAACATTATCCAGTTATACAAATTCTGATGGAAGACAATGGAAGATATTATTTTGGTAATAGAGTGCAACAGTGCCTTTTCACTTTTTTATCCAATGGCCTTGGTTCTGGAAGTAAAAATAAATAAATAAATAAAATAAATAATTAAAAGGTCCAACCAGCTACAAGGACCAACACAACATTACAAACCTAGATTACAAGCAGAAGCTTATTTGAAAATCGGACAAAAAAAACAGGTATAAGATTTACTTTGAACTTAATGGCTTTACAATCCGATCAAAGCATTGTGAATTATATGATTGAAATAATCACAATGGTGGCTAAATATAAAACTATTAATATAAAGATGTTGATTCATGTATATAGAAACTATTTTTAGTTTATTGCAAAATTTGCACAATAAAGTTGTAGATATTTATGTGTCATTCTTAGTGCTAAAGCACTCTTTTTGCTTGATTTGCTTGTTTCGATTCTCTGGTTGGTGGGGATTTCTTTGCAGAATCATGGGTAATGTTTGTTTCTCACCAGGAATACCACTGTGAAATGCGATTATTTTTAATAAGTTAAAATAATGCATCGATTGACATCTTTGAGCTTTTTTTCGTAGCTTTTAAGTTAGTAAGTTTTCTTTAAAATAATTAAAGCTACACTGTGTGATTTTTACCCCCATCTAGCGGTAAAAAGGTATATGACCATCCAGTGAATATTAGTTTATGTTCCTCTCAATTCTGATTTCGTCTTAACTCCTACGGTAGCCAATGTAGCCCAAGATTAACATGGCTTCCAACTCGACCTCGTCCATGAGTGTTAACTCAAACGTAAACGCGAAAGGCGAAGCTTAAATTAACGGGTATGTCCCTCTTTGGCTAATGTACATTCAAGCTGGAGGGGCAACATGGCGACCGGCATTAGAACCCCTTACCCGTATGTATTTTCAATGGCATATTATACACTCACGATAACAGTTTATTACTCGAACGAAGTAAATATACATTAATGAGCACATATATTTTTGAAATAACTAAGTGTTTTTAGCTAAGAATAAACTAAAACAGTTACACAGTGTAGCTTTAAAGATTTTTACTTCAGAATACCAACTTCTGTTTTGTGCTGCTGGAGGCATATAAAATACATGTTTCACCTTTAATAAACGATCAAAAATGAAAAATTATTTTGGGATTTAGTTTGTGCTTTTAACATTCCTGCATGCCGCTACCAAAGCCAAGGTCATTGGTTTGATTTCTAGGGAATGCATGAACTTATATGCAATTGAAATCACTTTGGATAAAAGCATCTGCCAATTGTATGAATCTTCTATCCAAAACTCAAGCAACTTTGCATTCGGATTCAGTGGAAATCTGCAGCGCTTTCTATGCAGGCCTACATATGACTACAATGCAACCCAACAGAACAAAGCTAGTTAATCCTACCAAGAGAACCTGGGATTGATATCCACATCGACAACACAGACAGGAGTTCCTGTCTCTGCATCATGGTCGATGACAGCCATTACATCTATGTCGGCTCTAGCATCAGAATACACTGCCTGACTCTGTTGAGCTTCTGATGGGCTGTAAGCGTTTTCACAGCAGAGAGCTGAAGGAGCGGACTGGATTAACAACTCAACGCAGTTCTTCGCTCTTTCCTTCATTTCCATCTTGGCTGACCCTTGTTCACTGACATCACACAGGCAAGTTGTACAGGTGTTCTTAACGGTGTTGGTGCCGGAGCAGCTTTCCTCTATGGCTGACTGTTCTGCGACTTCATGGATCGTGGCGCTCAAAGTTGCGCCAAAGTCAGTCTGTGTTTCCATTTCGACAAAAGGATGCTGCGTTAAAACCGATGGGGCAGTTTGGCTTAAGCTGTGGCCCAGTGTGGACATTAGCCCTGTTTCTAGTTCTGTCCCTTGATGATCACTGTATTCTAGCACATGACTGTCTCCTAAACCAGAATCAGCCCTACGAACACAATAACACACATAACTCAAGACGTCTGCACCAGGGTTATTATCCTTAACTAAAATGAAACTAAAGCTAATAAAGACATTTTTTGTACATTGAAATAAAGCTGAAATAAAACATGAATAACTTAAAGGGATCCTCCACTTTTTTTTTTGGAAACAGGTTTGTTTTACAACTCCCTCAGAGTTAAACAGTTGGGTTTTACCATTTTCGAATCCATTCAGCCAATTTTCTGATATTTAGAAGAATATCAGTACGAAAACGGAAAAACCCAACTGTTTTCATATGGTTTTTCATATCTTAACTCTGGGGGAGTTTTAAAATGAGCCTATTTCCAAAAAAAGTGGAGTATCCCTTTAAAACGAAAATTAGCCATGGCAACCAATTGAAATAAGTTGACCTTAAAGCACTAATGTATAATATTAACAAATATAATAGTATATAAAAATACTAAAATAACACTGGTCTGGACAAAAGTGAAGTGGCTGAAATAAGCAATTTAGGTTTATAATACACTGCACATTGTAGATGCCCACCTCTCACGTGACCTTTGACCCTCATGATGTCGGAGTGCCTCTCTGGCGCTCTCCAAGTTCAGCTTCAGCAGCTGGAGGTCATTCTGTTGGTTTTCACACACCTGTCACAAATACATGCATCAGTCATTCATTATGTCTAAACTTGGTGTGATGTGTGTAAAACATAGCTGATGCTGTAGATCCAGTGATGTGGAGAAGGATTAGGGACCAATGAGATTTCATGGTGGGCGGGGCTACCTAACTGGACCATGTAATTAAAAAAAAAAACTGACCAAATGTGTTCTTGGCTGGCTAGGACACAAATATATTTTAAACATCCGATATGTTGATTGGTTTGGTCACGCCATACTAGGGCTGCATGTTTTCGTTTTCACTTATCGGTTAATACTCGGTTAACCATGTGCGCGCCGCAACCTCGAGATACAGAGTTAATTTTTAACACCTTTTTAATAACTGGTTGGACCCCATTTGAAACGAAATTAATTTATAGAGATAAAACGCAGTGGTATGTACAGAGCAGTTAAAGCAGGTGCGTTTCCATCACCCTTCAAACTGTAATTGCCAATTGAAAATAAGCACATTGACACGTCCATTTCGCAAAAACACCGTGTCCGCAAATATTAATAATAATCATCGTTATTGTAACATTTTATTAGGCTGCATATTATGTAGAAGACGCCTTTATCCAAAAAAAGGAACAAAGCACAAATAAACACAATATTTTTGACACATATCCAGTGTGTGTGTGGAGCGCGCATTGATGGCTGCGAGACGCCCATGTGAACACTTGCAGTTCTTTCAGTGGAAACAACTTAAAATACTCTTTCATTTCTGGTCAAACAGAAAATAATAATACATTATTCGCAAATAGCCTACATTTGTTTGCGTAAACTCACAATAACAAGAAAACGTTGTTCTTTAACAACCAGGCGCGTTTCATGATCTCCGTGAACTGAAGCGCGAAAACTGGAACAGCCACCGCATTCGAATTTGTTCGTTTTAAATTGGACATTTAAAGCTTTAGTCTACAGGGGTTATATCCTTTGTAGGCTAAAGCTTTAAATGTCCAATTTAAAACGAACAAATTCTAATCGAAAGCCAATATCTTCTGACTATGTAATTATGTAGCTAATTAATTTCTCTCTAAATGTGCATCCGGAGATGGAGAATTGTTTTTAGCCAAAAATGATTTAGAAAATAATAGTTTATTAATAAACAATTAATGCCTCGTCATTTTATATTATTTTATTATCAGACACATTTATTATTGCCTATAAATCACTTATAAATCTCATCACTGCGGGGAAAATCATTTCCAGGTTCTAATTTGGCCTCAGAAAACCAGTAAAATCTTTTTTTTCATATTAATTTGTCAAATATTTTAAATGTTTAAGGGGCAAAAAAATCCAACAAATATCTGAAAATTCGTCGATATGTAGCCTATATATTTTTGCGCAGCATTTGGCGTATAGGCCTACAGTTCAAATGAACATTTTGGTGTTCAACTTTGCGTTTTACAAAATAGACCATTACACAAGATGTAAACAACACTGGTCCAGAAGCACTTCCTGTTTCAGTTTTTTAACACTACATAAAAGCTGGGATAAAATACAACCAACAGAACATATAAAACTGAATCAGAAAGTTAAACAAACATCTTTAAGATGTTTTCTTTACATGTGAAATAAAGAAAACAGTTACAAACTGAAACAGGAAGTGTTTCTGGACCAGTGTTGTTTACATCTTGCTAAATGGTCTATACAACAACCATTTATTTTTCATTTTGCAATGCAATTAGGCCAACGGATTAAATAAGGGGAAACAAATGAACACAAAAGTAGACCGTTTGGACATAATACGAGGCAGAGTTCTTTTTTAAAATTCATAAAATATACAAGGAATAGCCTACTAGACAAAACCTCAAAGAAATGCCACAATCAAGACCGCGGAGCAGAAATAAGGGAGAAACACACAGGAACTCTGTCACTTTCCCTGACATTAATGCTTGGATGACACACCACGTCTCCTTCCATAAATAATAATAATGTTTAGTGCGTGGCTGTGATAGACTACCAACGTCCGTTGCCATTATTTTTGGAATGACTAATCACGAAAGAAAAAAAGATGTTTTATTTGCATAACATCGCTAATGGAAACCCTGTCATTTCACAATATTTTTTATTGACATTCAGGAAAAAAACGCAAAAGTTTTGTGCAAATATGTATTGACGGCACTTAACCGAGCAAAAAGCTTTCACTCGGTTATGCAATTTGAAACGGTTAATCGGTTAACCGGTTAACCATGGACACCCCTACGCCATACTTAAAATAACTCGTAGAAAATAGTAAAGCAATAAGGCCTGTGAAGCCGTGGTTTACAGTGAATTTAGAACAGCTAACGGATGTTGTTAGGCACGACACAGAGCTTTTATAAAACAGCTAGTCCATAAAATATTTATTTTATTATTTATGTAAGGATGCCACAGGTGTCTCTTTGTAGACTAGTTAATGGTAGAATTAAAGAGGGAAACTATCCTTAAAAACATTGCAGTTGGTTTCAAACTGATGAAAGATTACTGGCGCTGTTTAAGAAAAGATCGCGACCAAGTTAAATGTCATGGAAAAGGAATGCAGGAAGTCTTAGACTGACATGCTGACAAACTGGAAAAACTGCTCCAGAGGAACAAATGGGAAGGACAGAGATTTCTAAAAATGAACGCTGACTGACATTGGACGATGAAAAAAGATGAAAAAATTACCTGCCGCAGGCAGACCAACTCAGATTCAGCTCGGGCTTGTTTTGATCGGGATAGTTCAAGAAATTCATCCCTCCAGGTTTTATCTTCATCTGGACAACAGACACAAATACCTCCATTCATTTAAAACATTGATCATAGAGACCATAAAATATGTTTTCTGCACTAGTTAGTGTTTGTTTAGGCATAATTGCTGTTTGTTATCATTGTTTATTTTATAGCTGTTAAAAGATTTACATTAAAAAAAAAACATTTTTTAGGCAGTAATAACTATTTAAAACAATTACTGACAATTTAACATCTTTTTTAACATAATTTTCAAAACATACCCTTAAAATTCACATTTCTGCAACAGTCTGAAAAAGTCTAAAACATACCTACGATGCTGTCTAGGTAGGCAGGTGACTAGCGTTTAAAACAGATCTTACACTATAAAACATACAGTAGTGACATACTCATCCTCTGAAATTCAACAGCAGTGATCTCCTTCTTCAGCAGCTGGTTTTCCTGCTTTAGACGGATGAGATCTTCTCTCTGGCTGTTGTTCTCAATGTTTTTTTCCTGAAGCTCAGCTAAAAAAAAATGAAAATAAAAAAATAAAAAAATAAAACATACCGACAGGGTACTTTTATTCTTTTTTTTTTCTTACAGTAGATTTTAGGGCTGACTTCTAATAGTCGAGGATTCGACGATTCGATTCGGAGAGGTCTGATTCGACTATGAACGTTATAGTCGAATATTACACGACCAGCTCAACCTCGTATAAATCAGGTTATCTGTGTCTCCCGCTCACGAGCGCTCACTCTTAACAGACACACGTCCCCGTCACAGAATGTTCATCAAGCGCTCCCCGTTCACAGTAACCGGGTCGTCTCATTCAAAACAGCCAGCTGTTGCTGTCAGCGAGCCGCCGCACATTGAATACTCATATGAGTCAGGCTCCGAATGCAAGTCCGTGCCCGCCCCAGCGCGCTCCGGCGCCGCGCACTCGCTACATTCCCAGCACATCTAGATACATAACGTAAACCCAGTCAAACGTTTGACTGCAGTATCTTATGCGCCTCATAATCCAGTGCGCCTTAAAGTGCGGAAAATACGGCATACATGCGTTATATATTTAGCCTGAAATAGACAAGCAAAATATGAGTTTTAGGAGGCAAAATAGGCCTATATTTTTGGTAATTCTGTGAATTACACTGCTTAAATCAGATGAGGAAGGGTTGGCTCTCCAAAAAAGATAAAATGTTATTTTTCATGTTCACAGAGGAAAAAACAATGTTACAGACGTGACAGTTCTCCGACGGACACGAGCGCTCTGAAGCAGCACTTTAAAACTTTCACAGATCTAACAGAAAAGCACAAAGCCTTTCTTTAAAGTGAATTTCGTTTTTTATCATTTTTTTCTTGATTTTAATTAATGTTTCATCAACCAATTGTCTGGATTTAATAAATAAGAAGGAAAAGCAGACAATTACTGATAATCAAGGCACGGAGGCACTGATGTGTGAACTGGAGCTCGTCTCATAAATATAGCTACCGCAACTCAGCGTACAAGTATAGTCTACTCCACAGACCTAAAACATAGCCTATATCTATATTGAAATGTCTACTTATAAATAGAACGATTCAAAACGAAAGAAAACGTAATGCTCTCTGCTTATGAAATGAACTGTGCATTTCTCTCTGGCGCATGCACTATGCAAAGATCGCACAGCATTGCCAACTTCATCCTTATTAATAAACAATTAATTTGTCTCCTTGCTATATTTGTTCTTTGTGACAGCTTTTTATTTTCGGCAGCGCCGCTGCTACCCTTAGGCTAAAGCGTTAAGTTACAAGTTACAAGCTCTGATAACTGATAAAAACATGAAAAATACTAGGTACCTAAACACAGCCTAACTGTTTAGAAAAAAAAAAACACAGAACGAATAGCCTAATGCGCATACGTCCATCTCTTTAGTTTGAAATGGAAAAAATATAGCTGCTAGATCTAAAAAAAAAAAAAAAAATGGTTCGACTATCAGTCGACTATGGCAAAATCTAACGAATCAGATTCGACTATGGAAATCCTTAGTCAAAAACAGCCCTAGTAGATTTACAGTAAGCAAGAGACAGATAAAGACATGATTCACCAATCACGACTCTGGGATTGTTAAATAACCCTATCTACCTTTTAGTTGTGCGTTTTCATGTCTTTCCTCTCTGAATCGGTGTTTGTGTTCCTCCATTTCTTGCAGCGTTTTGCTCTCGCGTGTTCGCAGCTCTTCAAGTGATTTCTCTAGGTCACAAAGACGACCAGACAGCTCTAAAATGTGATTCGTGGCCTCAATCACATCTTTATCCTGATAAAAAAAGCATACACTTACATTAATGTGTCTGATTCATAGGACATGTGTTTGGGAGTGTTTTGAGTCTCTGCTACCTTCAGTTTGAGCATGGAGCTGAGCTCTTCCTCGCGCACCTTCAGCTGCCCCACCTGTGATGACAGCATCAGGACTGTGGATTTCAGACTCTGGTTCCTCTCCTATGAGTGTCATTTAATTGATGCAAGATAGAAGACAAGAAATGATGAGATCAGGATGATCAGGCTCTAAGTAAAAAAAAAAATACACTTAAAATTGACTTCACCTCCAAGTCCTGCTCATGCCTGCTGGTGTTCATCTGTCTCCGGCTCAGCTCGTGTAGTTGCTGTTGGGTGGTGTTGAGATCTCTGTACGAGTCTTTCTCTCTCGCTTCCGCCACCTTCACCCGCCTACTGAGAGTTCTGATCACCTCATTACGTTTCTCCAGCTCATCTAGGCAACCATAAGCAGACAATTACATATAATTAAAAAAAAAAGAAATTACTACTTTTATTCAACAAGGATTAACAAAATTAATCAACTAGGAACTATACTCTCATTCCTGCGTAATAATCAGGAAACTTCACTGTTGTACCATGAGTGCAGCAGGTGTAATGTTATGACGCAGCGCCTGAAAATAGTGCCCAGCTTCCAACGTGACCGGGACTAAGTTTGTGTAGTCATCGCGCCTGCTGGACTCATGGTACGGCAGTGAAGTTTCCTGATTATTACGCAGGAATGAGAGTATAGTTCCTAGTCATATCAGCCTAGAAAATCACAACTTTACATTTTCCGTCTGTCTTAGTGCACGATGTAACTATAAAAGAGTCAAGTTTTAAATAGGAAAAATATCGAAACACTTTGGCCATTTTTGGGGGAGAAATGCTAATGGTCTTGTGCACTTCAATGATGCATGCTAAGCTATGCTAAAAGTGGTACCGCCAGAACCGGAGATTGGCTGAATGGATTCAAAAATGGTAAAACTCAACAGTTTAACTCTGGGGGAGTTGTAAAATGAGTGCATTTCCAGAAAAAGTGGAGTATCCCTTTAATGCCCTAATGGAACTAAAGTCTAATCCTGGCTTAATCTAAACCCCTAAGTGTTTAATACAGAGATCTTAAAGGGGTAATATAATGCCATTTTAATTCAAGTTAATTTGATTCCATAGGGTCTAAATTAAAAGTTTGTAACATACTTTAATTAAAAATTCTCATTAGTATTGTAAAAAAATACAAATTGTACCTGGACAAAAACAGCTCTGTTTACAGCACGCCGTTTCAGTGCATATACAGTGCCCTCCACAATTATTGGCACCCCTGTTTAAGATGTGGTTGAGGACTTTTAAAAATTCTCCCTTTTTTTTAAACAACATAGAATCCAAATGCAAAAAAAGAGAAAAATCCAACCTTTTATTTAAGTACATTACTTTGGTGGTAAATTTTTTTTTTAAAATTTAAAAAAATAAAAACTTCAAATCATGTGTCCCACAATTATTGGCACCCCTGATGTTAATACTTTGTACAACCCCCTTTTGCCAACAAGACAGCACTTAATCTCCTCCTATAACATTTCACAAGATTGAAGAACACAGAGAGAGGGATCTTTGACCATTCTTCTTTGCAAAATCTTTCTAGATCATCCAGTATCCTGGGCCCTCTCTTGTGCACTCTCCTCTTTAGCTCACCCCACAGGTTTTCGATTGGATTGAGGTCTGGGGACTGAGATGGCCATGGGAGGACCTTGAGTTTGTGACTGAACCATTTTTGTGTAGATTTTGCCACACGTTTTGGATCATTATCCTGCTGAAAGACCCAATGACGACCCATCTTCAGCTTTCTGGCAGAGGCCATCAGGTTTTTATTTAAAATGTCCTGGTAGTTCAAAGCGTTCATAATGCCATGCACCCTAACAAGGTTCCCAGGGCCTTTGGAAGAGAAACAGGCCCACAGCATCACAGATCCTCCACCATACTTCACGGTGGGCATGAGGTACTTTTCGGCATACACATCTTTTGTTTTACACCAGATCCACTTAGAGTGTTTGTTGCCAAAAAGCTCAATCTTAGTCTCATCCGACCAAAGCACACGATCCCAGATGAAGTCCCAGTGCCGCTTGGCAAACTCCAGACGTTTACGTTTGTCAGTGTTAGTGAGAAAAGGCTTTTTCCTAGCATGCCTCCCAAACATCTTGTTGGCATGTAGAGAGCGTCTGATGGTTGTTTTGGAGATTTTGTGACCCCAAGATGCCACTATTTGATGCAATTCTGTGACAGTGAGCTTAGGACTTTTTTTTACTTTTCTTAGCATCCTCCTCACAGTGCGTTGTGGCAAGATAAACTTGGGACCTCTTTCAGCCTTGTTTGTCACTGTTCCTGTTGTTTTAAACTTCTTAATGATTCCTCTAACTTTAGATATGGGCAATATAAGGTGAGTGGCTATTTTCTTGTAGCCATTGCCTGACTTATAAAGGTCATCACACATCTGCCTTACTTGAATGGTGTGTTCTCTTGTCTTTGCCATGTTGACAAATGGGTAAGAGAATTAGGCCTCTGTGTCATGTCATATTTATACCCCAGGGAAATAGGAAGTCATGAATTACTAATTAAAAGTTCCTAGATATCCTGACCAACATTAGCAACTACAGAAAATATATATTTTTAAAAAAATCAATTACATTTTTCAGCGGAATTGTTAGGGGTGCCAATAATTGTGGGACACAGGATTTGAAGTTTTTATTTTTCTAAATTTTTACGTTTTTTTTACCACCAAAGTAATGTACTTAAATAAAAGGTTGGATTTTTCTCTTTTTTTGCATTTGGGTTCTATGTTGTTTAAAAAAAGGGAGAATTTTTAAAAGTCCTCAACCACATCTTAAACAGGGGTGCCAATAATTGTGGAGGGCACTGTACCTTTAAATGATAATGAGCTTCGGTGACTCCGCCCCCTGTTCTGCGGTCGTTTTGACTGGTTTTGACACAACGCACATGGAGTGTTGCCTTGACAACAGTTGAGGGTATATTTTAGAGAGAGAATCGCCAAGACAGAGTCTCTGAGACACATCTCTGCAACCGTATCCGCAAAGAAGTTCGACAATTAAGGCTCGAACAGGACATTTCTGAATTGTTGGTAAACGTAATGTCAATTTAATCTATATTTGTGTACTGGCGGGGTAGAGTAACTTAGTGAGATGTGCGTACGCAATGTGTTTACTGATGTATAAGTACTCAGTTTGACAATAACCATAACGCGTTGTTCATTATAAACGTGGGATTATGAATTATACTGAGAACGTCGTACATAGAAAACATGCCGTAATGTACCCTGAGTGTAAAGCTTAGCCGCATTCATCGTGAAGTGTGCAAGCGATTTGCAAAGATTAATAGAAAGGTTAATCGAATTTTACCCTCACTTCTTCTGGAGGTGCAGCAGGGAGACGAATAGTTGGAACCGACTCTTTTTTTTAAGGAGCAGCTTCTTAGCAAAACCAGCTTTACACTGACCCTCGTTTAGAAAAGATTCGCGAATTGCGCAAACATGAAAGCATTGACGTTGATTGTGGGGAATATTCCCTTTGAAAACAAAACTCAGCCACTGTGTCTTCAGCGGTTCAGATTTAGGAACATCAAAATGACTGTGTTCGTTATTACACCCAAGAACAGAACACAATCAACAAAGGCGGACTGTGATGACAGCTCGCTCAGGGCGGAATGTGTTGAAACGCTGCTGTCAATCAACAATCGTGGGAGGGGCATCCGACCGTGTGACGTCACACAGTCGAACGGCTCGATTTGAGGCAGGGAAAAACATATAAGGAGATTAAAACAAAAACACTGGATGGATTTGTATCATTATATGATGGTTGTGTACAGGCACTGACAACACACATCAACTTGAAAAAGTATATGTACTATTATATGACCCCTTTAAAGTTACAGTGTCAAAAACAACCTGTTTGATTCTACAGGACAGAAACAAAGTGGAAATTGGCATTAAAACTAAATTAGAGTGTTTGGTGCAAAATTATAAGTGAACTTCACACTGGATTCACTCTCACCCTCCATTCGGCAACATTTCTGTTCCAGGATCAGCACTCTCTGACGGTCCTGCTCCCAGGACAGCATCTGCTTGTGATGGGCCGCTGCCATAGAATTGAGCTCCTGGTCACGGTCCTTTAATTCTGCTATGAGAAGCTGCAGCTCCAGACGCTGCCTCTGCATGGTGGAGACCTCCAACCCATTATTATCTGGTGCCTGGTAACATCACAAAAACAGGACCATCCACAATCCACAACCCCATCAAAAGGTTAATATGCCAACCAGTTTTAAAATTAAATAGTAAAAGTAACAATACGCAGCAAATGTGGGAAATCATTTAAAGACGTTTCAAACAAAATGTATGAACCTGAAAGTTCTCCGTTAATGAAAAAGAGGACAATGGTTTTGAGAGATCTTGCAAACTCAGTGCTGCTGGTCTCGTTCTGTTTTCTTCTTGGAGCTTGGTGGGGGAAACATCTGGGGTCTCAAATGCAGCAAAAAGATTCTGAAGAAATGAGTATCATAAAATGAGCATCAAATCTCTTTTATTTGCCAGTAGGTGTAAAGTTGAATTTAATATGTAACTGCTCAACACAAAATCACCATTACAATAAATACAAAGGAACACATTGCTACATACAAACAGGATGCAGAACAAACAATTCACATTAAAAGTGTAAAAAGTAACTTATGCTTTCTTTTTACTGAGAAAATACAAGATTTACAATAAAACAGGGGGGAAACGTTATTTTTTTTCATGTCATATCATACTTTTTCACATTCTTCATTACCATTATTCACCCCTTAATCCTACCCAATACTTAAACGATAGAACAAACGTTACCTAATTATTAATAAACAATAAATTAAGAGCTTATTGAAGTAAAAGTCATAGTTAATAGTGAATGTGTCCTTCATACTCAATTTAAGTGTTACCTAAAACGTTTTATTAGAGGATTAGATATCAATCAGAATTTAGGCCACTAATGTTACTTGTATTTGATTATCTCTAATTTCCACATCTTAGAATAATCATAACCTCATCAAAACAATTTAAGAACACAAATGAAAGGAAGTCACATAGTCATAGTGACTAAAATATCCAGAAAATGAATACAATAAAATGATTTTAGCTTATTCAAAGTCGACACCCATGGTCTGTACACCTTCTTCTCAACAAACATCACGGATGCGTTTTAAATTGAATTGAAGGAGTTCATATGACATCATGATCAGGTGGTCCTTCGCTTTTCCCATACCTCATCCACTAATGAGTGATATTATAACATAAAACAATTAAAAAAAAAAAACCAACCTTTTTTACAGGAGTACTGTGCCATGGCTCCATTGGATATCCTGTAAAATCATCGAGTTACTTAATGTAATTAAATAATCATCATGTTGAATTTCATTATTGCTGCATGACGTTTATCACCTTTTGATATTGAAAAACTTCCAGAAGTTTTGGAGTTTGTTCCGTCTGTAAACCCCTCCATCACATCAAATATCGGACAAATAATAACACTGACAAATATCTGGATTAACAGACAAGTCCTCAAATTACATCTCTGACCTCGCTTTACATGAACAAACCATCAGCGACAACATCAACCAGATGCAAAAGAATATCAGTAACGTTACCAACGTTAAGTCTATTTAACGATGCATAAAGATGCATTATTTTAAGTGTAAACAAGGCTTAAAAATAAATAAACAAACACCCTAAATGCTATTTCCAAACTGAGATTAATTTATAGAAATTAACAAAAATGTACACTTATAAAAAAATAATTCTGAATCACTGTGAAATGTAAATGACAAGAAGCGGGAATTATTATCGTAATTCTTAAACGGCATGTTGTGAAAGTGATCTGCGCTGAACTAGGCGTCCAACGCGATGCCTGGTTTAAAAGATTCGATAAAAAAATAGCTTTATGCGTTTTAATTTTACGAAATGACATAAAATGACTTATCTAAACGTATTTTGTTTATAATAAAATGATTCATTCACTATTAACCTAAAATACTCTACCCCGACGTACGTACGTAATACGGCATAGGCGCAAACGCAGTTGTTGCTCTGTCTCAGACAGGCGTTGTCAGGACCCAAAGCCAAATCAGACAGACTGTGAAGGTGTGCTGAGCAACAGTGAAACTCTTTCACCCGTTAAAGAACAACAACTATAGTTAATGTAATAATGATCAAGGTGTTACTCAAAAGCAAGTTAAACTGAGATTATACCGACGGGGTATGTATGAGTTTGAGCGCGTGGCTGCTGTAGGAGAGCTGTGATTAGCAGTGGTGGCTAATGAATGGGAGCTCAGTTGTGTTGATGGATAATCATTGTGCGGTGGCTTCATGATTTAAGTCACTGTCAGTGGCTTTGAAAGATTTTTAAACTATATTTGAATGCTTATGAGAGTGTAATACGAAGAAGCTTTGATCAGAGCCATTGCATCTGGTCTTAGTGTGTTGGTTAGTATCTCTAAAGCACCACTGGGTGTTGCTGGTAATTACTTGACATTTATATGATTACATGCGCTTAAATGCTTACTTTTATGATCCAACATATAATGTTTTGAGAGTTTAAAGAAGTTGAATCTATTATAACGATTTCCCCAAGGTTGTTAAATAGTGCACATATGGAAGGTCTCTCATCTGTCAAATGGGCCTTTTGTAATAAGATGAACAGACCTGCACATCTTTGCTTATGGCGTTTTAAACTTCAGCCCAAAAACGTGTGCCTGATGTGTAGTTAGTTAAATCTGTTATAAATGAAGTATAATCATCTTCAGACAGACCACATTTCTGCATGCACGTCATGAAGGCACCATATTGGTTTTGACAGTGTTGCAATTTTTTTACAACACTTCCCTCAAGCTGTTTGTACTTTTTTTTTTTTTTTTTGCTGCATAATAGCTTAGAATTTAAGCTATCCGTTATCAGTTTGTTAGCCACTGTGCATCAGCTTGAGTTATGAGTTAAAATAACCCTTCTTTTCTGTATGGTCTGTGTAGATTCACGTAATATGGCTACTACTGAAAATGCAGAGTCAGGTTTACCAGAAAATAAAGGGGATCGGGCCGACCCAGATGCAAAATACCCACTGAAAGTTCTTTACTGTGGAGGTGAGAAAATACATGAGTTTTTTTGTGGGAAATGCACTTCATTGAAAATGCTAATTTTTAAATTAAATGTTATTCTTTTAATATTTAGTTTCACAGCTTTGTAATTTCTCTTCTTTTACTTGCAGTTTGTTCCCTGCCAGTAGAGGTGAGTACATAACGTTACCAATTATCACTTCTTTTTTATTGTTTCTTGATGTACAGTGCCATTTTAGTTGTTTTTTTTTAAGAATTATTCAGTGAAAACTTCATATGGTATGAGCTTGATGGCATTAAGTGGATTAATAAAAAGTTCTCTTTCCTCTGCTAGTACTGTGAGTACATGCCTGAGCCAGCCAAATGCAAACAGTGGCTTGAGAAGAACTTTCCTGATGTGTTTGCTAAACTGACTCTTGGTAAGTCAGCTTTCTTTCATTTAGGCCCGGTTCACAGACATGGCTTAGATAAAGCCAATATTAGGCCTTAGTTCAATTAGGGCATTTACGTAGCTTTTTATAAATGTGCCTTCTTGAGACAAAACAATGGCACTGACATATTTGAAGATGTATCAGTGCAAGTTGCTTTCAGCTAAAACAGCTCAAACATGCATTTTAGTCGTGAAACCGGGGGTACAAGTCACAAAAAAATGGGGATGAGGGAGATATTTCCTCAGCACCTTTATGACAAGCACTGCTGTGTCAGTTTGCCAGTATTTTGCTAACCAAATTCACTGCTGCTGTATAGGTACAGCACTCAAACAGGAAACAAGAGGAGGTGGTGGAGGAGGAGGAGGCGGCGGCGGTGGTGGTGGTGGAGGAGGAGAAGTGCACCCTGCAGGAGAGGAAGAGGAGAAGAAGAAACAGAAGAGAGGTTTAACATTTAATTTTATATTTAGACATATATAAGCATTTGCATGTGGTCACGATGGTGTTCCCAAGTTTGAATCTGCATATTTTTTTCCACTGGCATTGCACATCACATCCAAATCTTCCCCAAATCTCTTAAAGGGTCACTCCACCTCTGGAAAGATGAATGTGTAATTAAAATGGGTCATTTATGTAGAAGAAATGTGAAATTTATTTGTGAATGTGGAGCTTTCTAGACTGAGAAAAGCCAGAAAATGTATTTTTGACTTATGTGGATGAAAGACAACAACTCCCAGAATGCACTTGCTTCGCTGCCCTAGGAGGCCACGCCTACTGGTAACGGAGCGCAGTAGTTAAACAACAAGTCTAGGCTACTGGTGAGTCTTGTAGTCTTTACAGAAATCCCCCCCTCTTACACTTCCTCCTACAATGAGTAAAATGATGATTTTTGCGTCATTGTAGGATGAAGTAAAAAGGTAAATAGCAGATTTCTCTCATCTCAGGGGAAAATGAATGTCGCACAACCATTCAATAGTTTAACTAGGTTTTTAACAATTGAAAGCTTAATGCAAATGGGTGGAGTGTCCCTTTAACTGTCCAGTTAAAACATTTATTCGATTGGTTATTGAGATGATCTTCAATACCAGGCAACTTTAGTTTTTATGTCAAGATTAATTCAAGCATATCTCAGTGTTATTTTATTTTATTTTTTTATATACTATTTTAGTATTTGTTGATATTTTGAATACTTTTATTTATTTGTCTTTCATTTGTTTTAATTTCTATTTAGCTCTCATTTATTTTTATGTCAATTTAATACTTCATTCAAATTTCAGTTAGTTGCCACATTTCTCATTTTAATTTAAGTTTTAAATCTAATATTTATATTTTGTTTAATTTCAGCTTGATTTTAATTACTAAAAAAAATTATAGATTTTTCTCTCTCTAGCTATTAAAGTCTTTATTTGTTTGTTCATTTTGCAGGTGGAAGAGGTCAAATCAAACAGAAAAAGAAGACCGTCCCTCAAAAAATCACGATAGCAAAAATCCCTAGAGCTAAAAAGAAATACGTCACGAGGGTGTGTGGCATGGCCACTTTCGGTAAGGCTGTGATTGTAGAAATAATAATAAGTATTAAATGTTTGTCATGTATTTTTACCCTGCGGTAACTTGTTATTCTGTGGTCCACATCAGACATCGACCTTAAGGAGGCTCAGAGGTTTTTTGCTCAGAAATTCTCCTGTGGTGCCTCAGTGACAGCAGAAGATGAAATCATCATTCAGGGAGACTTTACAGATGACATCATTGACGTCATCCAGGAAAAGTGGCCTGAGGTGAGCAAACATCCCGGATTCTAGCGGTCAATCCGACCATTATCAAAGCTTCTCTTGACGTATTCTCTATCCCGACAGGTGGATGACGACAGCATCGACGATCTTGGAGAGGTCAAAAAGTGAAGCCCCATATTGCACTTTTACTGAAACTGATGCGACGTGACACAGCAAACCTGGCCAAATGTACACATTGACATAAAGCCCTTTTATACCTATTTTATTTACTGTATAGAATTTCCATGGACTTGGCTTCATCCTTGGGGTTTTTCAGTTCTTGATAGCAGCTTTGTCACTTGGTTGCCAAACGTCTGGAATGATGTGACTTAAAGCATTTCACACATGCAAACAATAGACTAATAAATTTCGGTCTCATTCGACACACTTCTGTTGTGTATTGTTTCTTTTTATTGCTGAATGCAGTGCAACACTGGAGCATTTAGTTTGATTTAGGCCACGTTTACACAAAGCCAGGTATTTAGCAAAACAAATATTTTAATAAATATATTTGCATAAATACGCCGGTGAGCGCCATCATAACTATGCCAAAACTATTGGCGGCAGTGTAGGGGTTAAGGATAAAGCCATGCAAGCCAATCAGAATCGACAAGAGAGAACCTAAAACTCAGTTTCTCCCAGTTCACACGACAACACATAAGTGGCGTTTTCAGAAATATCCACTTTGGCTGGAGTTTTTAGAAATAATCGTTTTCTGTAATAAAAACAGGGTTTTCGTGTAAACGAGAGGGCAATCCGCAGGGAAATATATGTGTTTTCCCTTCGTGTAAACGGGGCCTCAGATATCCATTTTAAAAGTACATTCATTACATATTTGCAAAAAGAAAAAATCATTTACTCACCCTCATATCGTTCCAGAACCGTAAGACTTGATTTCTTCTGCAAAATACAAAAGAAGATCATTTAAACAATATCCAGTAGGGTGAATTCAATACACAATTGTGACTTACTTTATGGTTTCATTAAGCACACAAAAGTGTCAGCAAAATATCCATGTGGCTAAATGATAATTTCCCTAGAGCTCCAATCAGATTTGGTAAAAAACAATCTGAAAAAAATCACTGCATTTCTCTCCTTTGCTTCAGTCCACACTCCAGTCCAATAGGTGGTGGAAATCCATTTATATTTGCCAACTGCCATTTAAAATTTCAGAAATACCACACATTTATTTTTACAAAAATATATCTGGTCAAAAGTTACAATGCATGCGGAATCAATGTTCTAACATGCACAACTCTTATACTCCTCCAATAGTCCACAGCTGTGTACAACAGTAAGCAGTTAAAGACCCCCGCTGATTAGATTCATACACTCCTGCTCAGTCTGACGGACTCTCAAATCCTTTGGTACCAATTTATTCACAATGTCCTCCACGGGGAGAGGTCCTCCAGCGCAATGGCCCCTAGATGCTGGAACTCTCTCCCCCTGCATCTACATGCCTTTCCAGCTTCACAACTTAAGTTCAGCCTGAAATGTTGCCATATATAATTAAGTCCATATATAATTATTATTAAATGATCAAGTAATTAAACGTACATTTTTTGCCTCTTCACGATGACTTGTTTGGTTTAGTCCTCAGTTGTAAATCGCTTTGGATAAAAGCATCTGCTAAATGTAAATTAAACTAGATATGAGAGATCCGTTGGCATATAAAAAAATACACTGGAGATTTTTTGGATGCATAGCAAACAATTTTGTCCTGCTTTGGCCCATTTAAATCTTCTAAAATTTGAACAAAATATATTTTGCATGAATAAAAATAAGTTGTTGTTTTTTGTTTGTTTTTTTGCGCTGTGACATTTTTATAACAATAATGTCAATAATGGACCTCACAAATTTCAGTAGAATACTGTAATGTGAAAAATATTTTTTTTAAATAAAAGCCCAGATTATATTTCACCCCAAAATCAAAAGAGCTATATTTTTTGGCAATAATGTCAGCAATGGCCCTCACAAATTTCAATAGCATACTGCAATATATACATACACATAATACAAAATACTACATTTATACTTCAATATCTGCTCATTTAAAAAATTTTTTTAATTAAATATGTGCTTAATTGTCATGTAAAAAAAAAAAAGCTTACTAATCATAAAAGTTAGTTTTTATCTTTATTAAAAAATATAATAAATTTGGATTGAAATATAACCTAGACTTTTTTGGTGAGATTTATCCAAACACTTACATCAGGAGCAAAACAAGCTAAATCATGTTCAACAAAAACAAAAAGTTCTTTGTTAATTGTATTGTTCGGTTTTTCGTTGTATGCCCAAGTGTAAACTATACTACTCATAATCATTTTAATGGTGCTTTTGGAGAGTCCCAAGTTGTAGAGCGATGTGATTATTAAATTCATAAGAGGGACGAATTCCTCTCGGGACCATTTACCCATCACACCTGGGTTTTTTGTTGTCCTTGTGCATGCTTGCAGCTAAACCATTTGCATGAGAGCAAACATCTTAAGAACAAGTCTCATGGGAATCATTGCCATATGAGTCGAAACTGTAAAAAGATCTGAAGTTTTCTGACTTTTGTCTAGTTTCACAGCAGCATCATAATCATGAACAACTCCTCAATGTGCTGCACTTATGAAACACCCATGCTGGACCAATATCTTCCCCCTGTAATGTTCACGGAATTCATATTGGGCCTTATGGGGAATGTCGTCGCCCTCTCGATGTTCTTCTACCACAGGGACACCTGGAAGCCCAATTCTATTTATCTTGCCCACTTAGCTCTGGCGGACGCATTGGTCCTCTTCTGCCTTCCTTTCAGGGCCGACTACTACCGCAGGGGCAAAGACTGGGTCTACGGAGACGCTTTCTGCCGTATTTTGCTGTTTCTTCTGGCCACCAACAGAGCTGCTGGTATATTCTTCCTCACTGCTGTCGCTGTTGATAGATACCTGAAGATCGTCCACCCTCTCAACCGCATCAACAGCATGGGTCTGCGCTACGCCATGTGGGTCTCTGTTGGCCTGTGGAGTCTCATCATAGCCATGACTGTCTACCTGTTAACAGACGAACATTTCTACTATCGAAACAACCGCACACAGTGCGAGAGCTTCAACATCTGCTTCGGGAATAATTCACGGTTCACCTGGCACAATGTGTTTTACGTTATCCAGTTCTTCGTGCCCACGGCCATTGTAATCTACTGCACAACCTGCATTACATGGCAGTTGAAGCGCAAGACAGTGGACAAAAAGGGCAAAATCAAAAGAGCAGTGCAGTTTATCTTGGCAGTGGCTGTGGTTTTCGTTGTGTGTTTCTTCCCAAGCAACATCTCGCGTATCGCCATGTATGTCCTGAAGCTCTGGTATAACGAGTGCCACTATTTCTTTGAGGCAAATGATGCGTTCAAAACCACTGTCTGCTTTACCTACTTCAACAGCGTGCTCAATCCCATCGTCTATTACTTTTCAAGCCCTGCGTTCAGCGGATCCTTTAGGAGAATCTTCATGAAACTTCAAGGAAAGAAAATTGAGGATTAATAATAGTTCTGTGACAATATTCAGGTAGACACTGGCCCTCTCCCAAATCCTAAGCTCTCACAGTTTCACAAAAAGTGCATTCAAAGGGTGCACTGGTGAGCATGTATGGAAGCTTGTTTCCACCACTGAATATAAAAATAAAATAAATAATTGTGACTTTTCATCTCACAATTCTGACTTTTTTTCCTCACAATTGCAAGTTTATATCTCACAGTTCTGAGAAATAAAAGTCAGAATTGCGTGATATAGTCGCAATTGCGAGATATAAAGTCAGAATTGTGTGATATAAAGTCAGAATTGCGAGATATAAAGTCAGAATTGTTTGATATAAAGTCAGAATTGTGTGATATAAAGTCAGAATTTCGTGATATAAAGACAGAATTGTGAGATATAAAGTCAGAATTGTGTGATATAGTCGCAATTGCGAGATATAAAGTCAGAATTGCGAGATATAAAGTAAGAATTGCGAGATATAAAGTCAGAATTGCGAGATATAAAGTAAGAATTGCGAGATATAAAGTCAGAATTGCGAGACATAAAGTCAGAATTGCGAGATATAAAGTCAGAATTGCGAGATATAAAGTCAGAATTGCGAGATTTAAAGTCAGAATTGCGAGATATAAAGTCAGAATCGCGTGATATAAAGTCAGAATTGCGACATATAAAGACACAATTCTGAGAAAAAAAGAGAGAAGTGCTACTTTACATCTCGCAATTCTGACTTTATAACACATAATTGCGAGTTTATATGTCGAAATTCTGACATCTTTTCTCAGAATTGTGAGATACTCGTTACTCGAGTTATCAGGCCAATTCTAAGGGGGGAAAAACTAACTTTTCCCCCCTTCAGAATAGTTTAAATCTCACAATTCTGACTTTATATCTCGCAATTGCGACTTTGTATCACACAATTCTGACTTTATATCTCACAATTCTGACTTTATATCTCGCAATTCTGACATTATTCAGTACTAAATTTGCAATTGTGAGAAAAAAAGTCACAATTACCTTTTATATTTTTCATTCTATGGCGGAAACAAGCTTCCATAAGCATCTTTTCTGAAGCCTAAAATTACTAATTGGACACTCTAGTCTCGTAGACACTCGCAATCACAAAAAAGTGAACATAAAGAGTGCCATTTGGGACAAAGCCACTATGTATAAAGTGGGAAATATATTCATTTAAATGTATATGATACCTGCCAATATATATATCTATGTAAGACGACCTTCAAAAAATGATTATCTGTTAATTAAATGTTACACATTATATATTTAAACAATTGTTGAGTTATTTAAACATGTATTACATATTTTCCACTGTCTACTTGGAATACTGACTTGTTCCTAGTTATTCAATGCATCATAAATATGATTATAATTGTGTGTTGCCTTTTCAGTGCAGTAAAAATATTTATTTTTAATAATCTCCCGGACCTTATGACTAACTTAAGACACTTTCTACTTCATACAGGCAAAATACATCAATACAGCATTTATTAAATATCTTCAATTGTCCTCTTAGTTTTCCTGTGTGATTCTTTTATTGGACAACACTTAATTTTATTTAATCATTAAGCATCGGCTTAGAGCTGTTGTTCAGGTTGAACTATAATTTCACACATATTCAGAGCAAATTTACTGCTTGCATTTATGATCATTTATGTGTTTTAAATTGCCTGCTTTTATGATTTTTTTTTTTTTGGGGGGGGGGCAGTAAATAAATATTCTTCTTATTAAACAAGTATGAATTCAATTAGGTGTTCATGCTCTTTAGACAAATATTTAACAAAATTGCAAAGAAATAAGTGAACGAGCAAATATTTGCAGACATAAAATGACTGTTTATGTTATACAATCTTGAAATTTGAAAGACCAGCTTTGATCAAATTTCCAACACTTTTCTGATCTCATGAAATACAAATTTGTCTCCTACACTCATGATGTATATCTAATCCACATAAAGTTTTATGCAGATTTGCAAATGTGAATTTATCTATGTCTTACCGCTAAAATCCAGAAGAGGGAGCCAAAAAGATTGTACGCTTTGAAATGATGCGAGAAGGTGAATCCTACCGGCTAATCATGCCATAATATATGTAAAGCAGGTAACAGAACAGAGAAAGTGTTTCAGGGGAAAACTGAGAAGTGAACAAAATTATAACAAATCTAATCACAAATGAAATATAGAGAATACAATCCTGATTGCAAATCTTGATATCAGTGATTTCATTTCTGCATTAAATGTTTCTGTTCCTCTCCTCTGAACCTGCATTTTTGCATATGCATTTTTATATAAGCTATTTTGGATGATGATCCAAATTAGGAAATGTACACTATTTGTGTTGCGTATAGCCCTTACTGCTTAAAAAAAGCCATTTGAACTGTGACAAATAAAAAACTAAAACAAAACATTTATTTGCTCTAAAGAAAATATGTCCGTATAGAGTGCTTTTACGCAAGGCCCCTTTTTCTGGTTCCACAAGTATTTTTTCAGTCAATTTTTCCCATCAGTATTACAAAAAAGTTTTAGTTAAAACATTATAAGCCATGAACCAAGCCAACCAGCTACAAAGTAAATCATAAGATTGCAAACTTTGATTTGAAGCAAAAAAGTATTTGAAAATCGGATAAAAACACAAAGGTACAAGACCGTTTATTTAAAAACTGCAATCCCATGAAGTTTTGCGAACAGCATAATTGAATTAAAACTGATGACGAATTATAAAACTACTCTTTTAAAATGTTGATTATATATATATATATATATATATAAATATATATATATATATACAGCTGTGGTAAAAATTAAATCTGCATTGTTTATCCTTTTGATCTTTCATTCAAAAAAATTGGCAAAATTCTAACCTTTCAATGAAGTAAAAAAATTGAAAGTGGGATAAAATAAATTGATAAAAGATCAAATAAAATAGATAAAATATCTCTGCAGTATATTCCCATTAATAATTACCTTTTTCTTAGCACACCAGAGTGACTAGGAACATGAAATTGTCTAGCTATGACTTCTTGTTTCACAGGAGTTTAAATATGAGGAAATAAAAAGGCCAAATTCCCTTAATCATCACAATGAATAAAACCAAAGAATATAGTTCTGATGTGCATCAAAAGATTGTTGAGCTTCACAAAATAGAAAGTGGCTGTAAGAAAAATAGCTAAAGAATTGAAAATTCCCATTTTGACCATCAGGGCAATAATTAAGAAGTTATAATCAACTAAAGATGTTACGATTCTGCCAGGAAAAGGATGTGTGTCTATATTTTCTTAATGTACAGCGAGGAGGAAAGTTTGAGTGGCCAAAGACTCTCCAAGGTTCACAGATGGAGAATTACAGAGATTAGTTCAGTCTTGGTGTCAGAAAGCCTAAAAATATATCAAACAACCCCTGCATCCCCACATGTTGTTTGGGAGGGTTTCAAGAAAAAACAAACTCTAGCATATTCAGTTGTCAGACACAACTGGAACTTCAAAGGGGACCAGATTATAGGTCAGATGATACAAAGAAGGGTTTTTTGGCAGTAAACCCAGCAGATGTGTTCGGTGCAAACAGGGATAAAAAGTACCCCATGCCTACAGTTAAATATACTGCTGGATCTTATATGTTGTAGGCTTATTTTTTCCCTGTAGGTCCTGGGCTTCTTGTTTAGATACATGGTATTATGGATTCTAGCAAATACAAACAGATAAAAAAATCAAAACCTGACAGCCTCTGCTGTTGTAAAAGATGTTGTAAAAGATGAGTGGGGTGAAGTGAAGAGAAGAAGCACCAACTTGTGAATCTGAAGGATCTGGAGAGATTCTGTATGGAGGAATGGTCTCTGATCTCAGGTCAGGTGTTCACCAAAATCATCCAGCATTACAGGAGTAAACTCAGAGCTGTTATTTTGGCAAAAGGAGGTTGGAAAAAGTATTTAATAAAAGGGAGCCTATATATATATATATATATATATATAAACATAAATATACAAATATTTTGAGAGCATAGAGATTGACACTTGTGGAGCTTTATGGGAGTGGGTGGAGGTAAAGGGCATGTTTACCTTTTTTCAAATCTGATTGGTGGAATTTTCTGTACAGCATCATGGGTAATGTAGTTTTCACCACAAATTCCATTGTTCAACATGATTATTTTATAAATAAGTTGAAATAATGCTGGCTGACGGGTTCAACAGAAGCAAAATATAATCTATTAACAACCTCATAGCTCACACTAGGTCTAACTTTAAAGGTTTAAGTTAAAATAATTTCCCCTATGTTTTTAGTTCGGGAACCAAACTGTTGCACTGTATACATTCAATCAGATGTGATTTGGTGCTTCTTTCCTTACATGATAACAGCAGTCAGAGCGTAAAAGCTGATTCCTCTCCAGTAAGGATGGAGAACATCTGTAGCACAAGCCTGACATCAGTGTCCATCGCTCCTGCTCACACTGAAGGAAACAGTTGGAAGGGAGAATAATACGCCATCCCCTGAAAAAGGTGCGAAAAACATGAACAGATCACATGATTATGATTAATAACTCCATAAGAGGCACTAATGCCCCATGAGACCATTTACCAACCACACCTGTGGTTGTTGTCCATGCAGATGCGTACAGCTACACCCTTTGCATGCGAGCAAACCAGTGATGTTACGAGGACGACACCCGGGGGTGGGCATTTTGATATGTGAGGTGGGCAAATAAAGTCATGTATACATGTTAAGAAAATTAAATAACATTTTGCCAGGAAAAACTATTTTATTTTATTCAATTCCTTTTGTTCCCTTTATTTTTATTGGACAGTCACATGTAGACAGGACGAGAGATGAGGAACAATATAATGCTTGAATATATGGCCATCGCATCACACATTTTTTGGGGGGGTTATTAAAAGTTATTAAACTTAAACAAATATTTTTGTGATTATTTATTTGATTATCAAATAATTCATGATTATCATTATCAACAAAAACTATGCAACAGCCGGTATTACTTTAATTCAGTTAACAATGATCATGAGCTTACACATAACCGGTTATGATAACACTTATGTTAAAAGCTTAACAATATGTTTCAGAATCTATATTGACTGATTCAGGTGATGAGAAATCAATAATTGGTATCAGCTACAAAAAAAATCGAATCAGAGCATCCATCTGGGGGGCTAAGACTTAAGGGGAATGTCAAATTTTAAGACTCCCAGTTTTTGAAATACTAGCAAAAGTTTCTGTTTATCCGTCAGTGGCTTTAAATTGTGCAATAAATTAAATAATGAGCAATGTACAAACATATTCCATTTTAAAAAGATGTGCAAAGAAATTATATTCCAGAGGTACAAAGAAACACAGTGCTAATAATAACAACCTGTGCTTATATTGAATAATTTTGTTGTGTATATGTAATAGATGTATCTAAATAGAACTTTTGAATATACATTTTAATTGATTATAGATTTATTATCTCTGTAGATTTATTATTGAGTAAGCCATTTCCGTAAATATAGTAGTAAGGGTATAAAGGGGTAGGAGTACATACATTTGACTTCTTCCTACTCATTTTTGTACATGTAAATAGAGTTTTTGAAAGTATGGAGTTTTATTTTGTTGTTCATCTGGGTTTGACCATTATTTTTTCTCATATTTTTATTTTATTTTATTTACATGTTCAAAATGTAGATATAAATCAATCAATCAATCCCTTTTCTGTAAGCTCAACAATTTAAGACAGCATGAGACTCATCTCAGGAACACACATATACATGTGAACATATGCATATACAAAAAAATACAATCATTGACACCCTGATTTTACAGTAAAAGCTGTTTTCCCTCTAGTAATTGTTAGTAGGGGTTTTATTTAAAAGTAAAATTGCTAGTATTGTGTCTTCAAATAGACATAGACAATCATATTACTATTTCAGAGAAGTAATCTGTAATGGATTTGTTTAGAGTTACTTACCCAACCATCTGCCACAGACGAAGCAAAATGTCCAGCACTGACACTGATTACATCATAACCTAACAAAATAAAACATGAATTAGAACTTAACTAAATATCTTGTTTTCAACAAAGAAAAAACGTCCATAGCAATACCAAGAGAAGGGTAAATAGCGCTTATGCCATCGCTGTGGAAATGCACAATTCAGCTACATAAGTATTTCCTCATATGAGGCTAAACATAGTACACAGCTAAAATCAATTGAAACAAGAAATCTTTAATCATCAAGTCTAGACATGGTTCGACAAAAATAGGTGTGTAGATAACGTTGGTAGTAAATAAGTGCACTGTACTAATAAAGGTTCTGTACCCGCATTAAACAGTGACTGCTTTTGTTCCCGACTACCCCTTTTCTCTGCTTGAGTCCTAAATAGCCAATAAAAAAATTAGAAAGAAATATAAAAGCCAATCTAAGCTAAAACATTAATTTGACTGATTTCCAATTGGATGGGCACTGCCCACCCTTGTCCACACATAGCCACGCCTCTGGAGCAAACATCTTTAAGACCCAGTCTTGGGGGAATCGTTGGCATATTCGGTACTGAGATCAAACAATAAAGATCTGAAGTTCTCAAACCCTCGCCTGGTTTTACAGCAAAATAAGAATCATGGACAACTCTACAAAGTGCTGCGCTTTTGATGCACCCATTTTGGACGAAGTCCTACCTCCTATACTATTCTTTGAATTCTTTCTTGGCCTTATGGGGAATGTCCTCGCCCTCTCGATGTTCTTCTACCACAGGGACACATGGAAGCCCAATTCTATTTATCTTGCTCACTTGGCTGTGGCGGACGCGTTGGTCCTCTTCTGCCTTCCTTTCAGGGCCGACTACTACCGCAGGGGCAAGGACTGGGTCTACGGAGACGCTTTCTGCCGTATTTTGCTGTTTCTTCTGGCCACCAACAGAGCTGCTGGTATATTCTTCCTCACTGCTGTCGCTGTTGATCGATACCTGAAGATCGTCCACCCTCACAACCGCATCAACAGCATGGGTCTGCGCTACGCCATGTGGGTCTCTGTTGCCCTGTGGAGTCTCATCATAGCCATGACTGTCTACCTGTTAACAGACAAACATTTCTACTATCGAAACAACCGCACACAGTGCGAGAGCTTCAACATATGTTTGGGAAGCAATGCATTGTCCGACTGGCACAATTCATTCTACGTTCTCCAGTTCTTTGTGCCCACGTGCATTGTTGTCTATTGTACAACTTTAATTACGTGGCAGTTGAAGAATAAGACACTGGACAAAAAGGGCAAAGTCAAGAGGGCAGTGCAATTTGTTTTGGCAGTTGCTCTGGTTTTCATCATATGTTTCTTCCCAAGCAACGTCTCTCGTATCGCAGTGTGGGTGCTGAAGAGCTGGCATAACGAGTGTGACTATTTCCGTGATGCAAACGTGGCTTTTTACACTACTGTTTGCTTTACCTACTTCAACAGCGTGCTCAATCCCATCGTTTATTATTTTTCCAGCCCTGCGTTCAGCGGATCCCTCAATAAACTCTTCATGAAACTGCTTGGAAAGAAAATGGAGGATGCAGACAGTGAGAAGAACAATCATAGTTCTGTAACAGTATCAGATAATGTCTCTTAAACAAGTGGATATTCACTATGTAGTTTTGACATCTAAAAAGTCACATAGTTTATAATTCATAATATTTATTCTGATGTAAACAATAGCTGAAATTGCATATTCGTGTAAGCATCCATTTGTGACAACCTTCATAAACATTTATAATATTCAGCAATATTCTGTCCTTGTGTAATTAAAATGTAATTAAATTAACACTACTTGCAAATTTACAATGACAAACTGCCACTGAATGTCCCTATGTTGTCATATTTGCTAATTTTTTTCATGCTAAAACAATATTTTAAATCACAGTTACAACATAAGTTACTTTATATATGTGTGTGTGTGTGTGCATTCACCTTCTTAAGTAAACATTTAATTGAACTAAGTTAAGGCAACTCTGTGTATTTGTTTGTAACAAAACATTAATATTTCTATATTTTGTATTGTATTAATATAATATTGCATTATATAACAATTCATATTGATTAGTGTTAGTATAAAATAAAATATTATGGATTTATAGTATTTAGTAGCCTCTTTTTAATTTAATACTGTTAAATGTTATAGATAATATCAATAATTGTTATGATTGTTTAAAGTCTTATGTCAAAGGTCTTTTAATATTGAAATAGTGGGTTTTAATATTGAAATAGTAACGTCGTTATGAAATATTGAATTAAAAAATCACGTTTTCATAAACGTACAAAAGCAACTACCAACTGGCAAACAAGCCCATACATTAAAAAGAACGTTTACAAGTGTTCGTTAATTATTGCACAACACGCCAAAAGAACAAAAGACTTTGAATGGAGTTTTGTAGGAGCGAGCGTTGTGTATTTGGCGCAGGCGCGCTCCCGGCCCAGCGTTCACTGTATGCGAGTGTGTGCGCGCGCGCGTGTGTGAGTGTGTGAACTGCCGGCGAGCTTAAAAATATTATCGAGTGGCGGGAATGTCTGGCAGGTCAGTGCGCGCGGAGACCCGGAGCAGAGCCAAAGATGACATCAAACGCGTTATGGCCGCTATTGATAAAGTGCGAAAATGGTAAGATCGCGGGAAAAGCCCTGTTTGTTCCAGCGGAGAGAAAGAAAATGCGCTTGTGGGGGAGGAGACAGAAAGAACAAACGAGAAGGACAGAGTGAAATTATATGGGTCATTTTGAGCGCAATTTCCAAGTGAACTCGAGCGCACGCCAGGTGCTGTGCGCGCACCCGACACCATACACTAAAAATGAATGTTTTGGGGGGGGAGAGGATTTCAAAGGTTTCTGATGGAGATGAAGTGGGTTGAACCCAGAAGCCATTTCGTTGCAGTCACATGAAGCCATTTCTCAATGCAGTTTGGCGCACTGTGAATGTGTAACATCTGTGCGTTTTGGGGGATGAACGACTAGACAAACTCACCTGTGCACGCGAGAGTCACAGTCGCTGTAACACACTCTGAGTTGAAATGCAGCTCAGAGTCTCTTTACATCAAATAAAACTGAACACATGGAGCGCTGTGGGGGCTGGGACAGGGAAGTTAGCACTGAATGCCTGATATTTCATTATCAACATTAAACATGGAAAAGACGTATTTTGTAAGACTGTTATATTTATATATTTGACGTATAAACTAATATTTGCCTGTTTTTTTCATTTCATGAGGAAAAAAATATTTTGAGTGCAAGGATTTTTATGATATGAAGCACATTTGACCTTGTTTTTCTTGTACAATAATGTAATCCCAGGCATTTTGATTACATTATGCATCTCTTTTAATTGGATATGACTTTTTAATTTGCTTTTTTATTTTATATGGTATTATTTGTGCTGCATATGGCCCATGTTATCATCACATATAATATGGTATGCTATTTTAACATTACTTCCGTTGCAAAAAAAAAAAGTCAGGTTAAGTTAAGTGTATTTTACAACGTAAAGGCAACGTAAAATTAATAATGACCCATTTACTTTTTTAACAAGAATTCCTGGTCTTATTGTGCACAAATGTTTGCCTTTTTAAATCTGAATGTAAATTTCACCTTTTCCGCTGATGTCACTTAGCTATTGGATATTGTTAACCAGTCGCCAAATAGCTATTTAGGGCATTGAAGTACTTCTTTCCGTGCTTCAGATCTTTGCTTTATCGATTCACAGGGAGAAAAAATGGGTGACGGTTGGAGACACTTCCCTGCGCATCTTCAAATGGGTTCCAGTGACTGAACCGAAGTCAGACGATGTAAGTGTGCGAATATTGTGTATCGTTTCCTTTTATGAAGTTGTAGTTCATCGATATTTTGTCTGGCCTCTTGTCTGCTCTACAGAAGAACAAAAAGAAGAAGGGCAGAGAGGAGAAATATGGATCGGAGTTGACGACTCCAGAGAACAGTTCCTCTCCGGGAATGATGGACATGCACGGTCAGTCAGAGGAAGAGTCTCTTAACCAAGCCAAGATTTTAAGGATGTGCATAACATAATTTGACAGTACTGACCCTTAAATGTCAAGCTGCGGTTTCCCTTATAGATGAGAACAGTAATCAGAGCTCGATAGCCGATTCCTCTCCGGTGAAGATGGAGAACAGCTGTAGCACGAGCCCGACACCAGAGGCCACTGCTGCTCACGCTGATGGAAACAAGTGCAAGGCAGAACATATGCCATCCCCTGACAAAGGTGCGAAAAACCACTGTGATCACACAAATAAATCTCATGGTTGCACAAATAAATAATGTACGTATTAAGGCTTTTTGGAGATCTCTAAGGCCACATCCACACGAAGCCAGAGCTTCCCCTATCCGATGTTTTTTTCCCTCGTTCTAAAAAAAGTCTGTAAACACGGCGTCATCTCAAAAAATACCTGCGTACACACGAAACCACTGAAACCGACTCGAAACGATATAGTAGACAGCCCTGACCAGTATGTGGCGCTGTAATTCTGCCATAGAGATACACTAAAAATGCGAGAAGAAGACTTAGAGCATGCGCATAAAACCTTGCGCGCTGTAGGCTATACACAGTAAAATAAATACTAGGCTATGAAATACTATTACGCACAGTTGCTTATTTTCTTTTTTATACCAAGAACTTTATTGAACGACCATAAATTGCCTGAGTACAAAATAGGGAGTCACGATATTCGATTAGTTAGCGGACTCAGAAGGCTTGCCACAAAGGTACCGGCAAACGAACGCGTCAAATATAGACATTTTAATTGTTTATTAATAAACTAATGTTTTCTGTGTAGTTCTTGACTGAAAAGAGGAAATTGATGATGCTGACTCGCCACTTCGCAGTATTGTGAACGTGCCTATGGAGTAGGCTAAGGCCGTGTGTCCATCAAAGCGTTTTTCCACGCACCTGGCGTATGTTTTCAATTGTTTTCAATGGGAGCGCCGCGTTTTTTAAACGCCATGAGCGTAACGAGGCGCTGAGTGTTTTTTCACGCTGAAGCGTCGAGCGCCCAGCGTTTTTTACTGGTCGCTAAGAGTTGAAAAATGTTCAACTTTGGATAAAACGCAGCGCTCATCACGGTCACTTTTTACCCAGCCGTCCAATCACAGTGGAGCAGGGGCGGGACTAATACCACACCGACCAACTGTCAAAACATTGAACTGCTGCGGATATTCTGTATCATAGCAACGAAACGTCTCAACGGAAAAACGCTGCGCTGCCAAAACGCTCTCAAGTGCCCAAAGCACAGCGTCTTCAGCAGAGCGTTTAACGTTTTCAGCTGGCTAAAAACGCTTTGGTGGACACACGGCCTAATGCACTTCATACGGAGGCTATAAGGCCGTGTGTCCACCAAAGTGTTTTTCCATGTGCCTAGCGTATGTTTTCAATTGTTTTCAATGGGACCGCCGTGTTTTTTAAACGCCATGAGCGTAACGAGGCGCTGAGTGTTTTTTCACGCTGAAGCGCCGAGCGGCCGGAGGTTTTTACTGGTCGCCGAGAGTTGAAAAATGTTCAACTTTGGATAAAACGCAGCGCTCATCACTGTCACTTTTTACCCAGCCGTCCAATCACAGTGGAGGAGGGGCGGGACTAAACCACACTGACCAACTGTTACAACATTCAAACTGTGCTGCGGATATTCTGTATCATAGCAACGAAACGTCTCAACAGAAAAAACGCTGAAACGCCCAAAGCACGGCGTCTTCAGCAGAGCGTCTAGCATTTTCAGCTGGCTAAAAACGCTTTGGTGGACACACGGCCTTAGAGAGTTATCTGTTTCTTTTCGTTTTGAATTGTTGTTTGTCGATGTTGTTTAAACGTAGACATTTCAAGCTTTCTATATATTTCTGAGTTGCGGTTTATTTATGAGACGAGCTCCAGTTCACGAGCGATGCAAGTTATATCGCGCTAGTGCGTCCATGTCCTGATTATCTGCTATAGCCTATATTTGCTTCTTATTTATTAAATCCAGGTAACTGGTTGATGAAACATTTATTAAAAATAATAAATGTTCATTTTAACATTGTAACATTATAACCCCTTTAACCCCTGAAGACTCCATTTGTCCATTGTTTATTTGTAAAGAATTTGTAATTTGTATCTTAAGCTATGGCCCCGTATAAGCCGTTTTTGTAAAAATAGGCTAACGATTGCGTCATAACCACGCTACTCAAACTACTTTGCTTTTGGTGTACTGTGGAGTGGGTAAAACTGTTTTTAATGGCAGGCTAGCAGTTACCGTTGACTCGCGCTAGCCTAGCCCCGGCGAACTATGCAACTGGAACGACTGGATGAAAATTTGTGAAAACTGTCCACTGAAATAACACTAAAAAAGGCTAACTTGCAAATGAGGCACGATGTCCAAAATTCTGAACCACCCCTTTAAGTTTTCAAGATAACTAGAAAATTGCAGAAAGCTGAGTTTAATCAAGGTTGGAGGTAAAGTCTGCAGGAAAGTGGATTTCAAGGGCCAGAGTTGAGAATCCCTGGAATAGATGGTATATGAAACATTGTATCTTGAGTTCTAGCATCATAGCTCTTTTATTTTTACAGGGAATTGTAACTCCACCCCTTCAGAGACCTCAGCAAGCAAAAAAGATACTCAGTTAATACAGGAGAAGGAGTCCCCATCAGACACCTCGACAAACACTCAGGTGAAAGCATCACTTACCTTACAAAACAGAAGAAACTGGACATGACTTGAGGGTGAGAAAATGACTAAAAGTTCTGTCTGTTTGTGTTTTAGGAAAGTGAAGATGGTTCTCCACCCACAAAGAAAAGCAAAGTAGAATCATCTTCTCAGGACTTGGATGACTAAAGCTGACTAGTTTGCTCCCACATATTTTAAACACGTCACTGTCACAAACCAATGTGGAAAAGCGTCCCACTCAACAAACCATTCCTAATCTTCAAGTAGAGCCTCACCCTGTTCTTCATCATCTCACCTGGAGTGGGAGTTTGCAGACGTCACTGTGCCGGTGAACTGAGGCCGAAAGACTGACCTGATCCTGTGAGACACCTGCAGCCTCGCTCCATCAAACTCATGCACGACACACAGCGTTAGTTTAACAGTAACAAGAGTCAATGCACTGCATAGATTTGTCAAGATGAAAGGTGGATTTGCTGCTGTGATCATCTTCGTTTTAAGTCTTTTATTATTTAATTCAATGAGTCTACTAGTTTTTCTAACTACTCCGCAAAGGTTGTTGTATGGTTATAGTGCAGGTGCTTGGTTTGTCCATAGATTCTCTACTGGTTTGTGTGCCTTCTGGCTTCATGATGTGTGCATTTTTACTTCTTTTTATTTGTGGCTGGTTTTATTTCGTTTTTTTAAAGGAAGAATATTTTGTTACATGTCAAAACGACTCAATATACCTCATTTCCAAACCAGCTGAGCTGGAACTTTAATCTTGATCGATGGACGATAAATCCACTTCACCGAACAGTGAACACAATCTGGCAGTTTTTAAATGGTCATTTTCAACAATGAATCGACTCTAACTTTAATCTGATTTAACGTAAAAGGAACTCATGATGATGAAATACTCAAGGTACATTTGGGACCATGATTTCTTGAAATTATTGTACAGGTGATTAATTTTGCTTTTATTTATTCCATCATTAGTGCTTGTTTTTAGCATTTTAAATTTGTTTTAATAAAAAACGTTAACACATCGAAGGCTGTGGAGTTTATACTATTATATATTATGTAGTTTAGTATTTTTATGCGTTTTGATGGTAAAAATAAATAAATTGAAGATTATTTAAAATCGAAAAGGTTGAGAACGTTTTATTCATTTGACGTGTATTTTTATATGATGTTGCACGCCCCCTAACGACGTTTTACCGCATTACCACGTGCGAATCGCGATCTTGTTCAACATTGCCGAAATGTTTTTGAAACGAACGTTTTCGTTCAAAGCATCTGCCAAACACAAAAGTATTATAAAGAGAAAGATAGGAAATGCAATATAAGACTTGTTTCAACTAATCCGTTGTCCTGAATTCAAATGTAACTGAGTAACGATAGGCCTGTAGGCCTATGGTGCGTTGCAAAATTTGCTTTGGGAAAAAATGTCGCTCTCTGACTGGATTCCACCCACGGAAGTTCGTCGAACAAATGTAATATTACCGTACCTTTACTCATACAATTTACAAATGTTATAAAATTAGTATATATCCATAACTTTTGAAAGCCATATATTTCGCCGTGAAGTGTCTTACCTCAGATCTGGCGTCCTCCTGTGCGCGTGCTTTCCCATCCACTTCGGTTTTGGATCTTTTTGTCTCGTGAGAGCTCGTCGAAGTTTCTGCCTTTCACAATTAATTAACATAAATAATTAGTTTGATAAAACTTTTGGCAGTCATGGAAAATTACACGATGCTGACATACTGAATTATATTAAAGTATTGTGACATAAAAAGTCGAAATTGTGTCATACGACGTCAAAATTAAGTCAATTATGAGATAAAAGGACAGTTGTGGCATAGTAAATTATGAATAAATCAAAATTATGAGATTGTCCAAATTAAATCGAAATTTAATCTCATAAATACCTACGACTAATTCGACTTAATTTTGATTTACAAAAGCATGATTTTTTCCTTATTTGGTGGAAAGCGGCTCATATAGAACCAAGCGAAATGTTTGTAATCTTGTTTTCTATTTAAAAGACATTATTCAAACATAATAATGTGACTTACAGATAAAAACATAGTTTTTGCATTCATCCATCCATTTCGAGATTTTCATAGCAAATTTTCAAGCGTTGTTTCAAACTAGTGGACAGAAAACATCCAAAATACACTCAAGTGTTGCTTTTATTGCTCCTAATGATGTTTTTTATATAGAAAAAAAAGCATCAAATTCTAATCAAAGTTACTATTTTTGTTGGGTTCAGATTGGTCTGATCAGGCAGCATTTTAAAGAGACATGAATTATTGACCAGGCCCCTTCTGTTTTATTTGGGAATTGTAGGATGGGAATTTGGTGATCACCCTTGCGTGAAATTGAGACTCCAAACACCTTAGCAACATAGTGAACACCGTAGCAACCACACAGGAACACCCTAGAACTGTGGCTAGAATTGTTATTTGATGTTAATGAATGACTAAATGCTTTTCACAGAATGAATGTGTAGTCACTAGTCAGAAGGCTTAATGTATCCAAACAATGACAAGAAAAATTAGTTCAATGTTTGTATTGAGTTCAGGTGAATATACAGTACATGAAACAGTACAATAGTTAAAGACTATCACAATATTTCAGTAAAAACTGACCATATATTTGTACTCATACTGCAAAATTTTCAGATTAAATTAATTTAAATAAAAGGGGAATAATCATGAATATTATACATATTAAATATAATCTTGTGCACCAGGTCATTGCGGGTTATCAATTCTAACACTTGCAGTTCATTACGTTTCTAAATAAACTTTGTTGTTAATATTACATCAATAATAAGAGATACAATATGATTTTGTGCTTAAAAGTTGTGCTTTAGCAAAGGGTCTTTTCACACCAAGTTTGATGTGACTAAAATACATTAATATTTGCAAACCATTTTTTTTGCACCAAACCTATTTCACACTGAGTTTTTGTGAAAAGTTTGAATACCTAAAGAAACAGCATTTGATCAATTTAAATAAATCAATCTTGTGTTCGTATACAACAAAAAGGTTATCTTTTTTTATGCCAAAAATTTGGACTTGGTGTGAATAGGCCTGAAGTCTACAGGACATAACATCAAAAATACACATAAAAACCCATTCATATAACAATATCATGACTATATGTCTGACATTTAACAGTAAAAAGAATAACTTAGTTTCAAAGAATTGTAGATAAACTCATGTGCTGTATACATTTAAAGTGAGAAGTGCAATAAGTTAATAGTGGTTAGCTTCAGCTTAGTTTGGTGCACTGGTCATACGGTTTTGTGCCTGTGATAACAATCCGTTATGAGTTCCTTAAGCTGAAATGTGTATTTTTTATTCATTAAAATCATTTCTATCCTGGTTTAATGTGCAGTTACAACTGTAAGTAAACCATTCGTAGGGTGAATTACCAAAAAAGTGCAACAACGGTGGGTATGTTCGCAATAGCATACTACCATACTGCAGGTAACGTTTCTGCAGGATATAGTATTTATACTGTGCATAGTATGTATAATTTCGGTATGCCAAGAATGCCTGGGTAAAAATCTACAGTTTAAAATCAATCACATAATGCAATGCGCTCGTCTTGAGTCGATTTTATGTGTGACATGATTTTCTTGCCGTATTATTTATTGTTGCATAATGTGTACCGTTTTTATATACTTCTTAAAAACATTATGGGCAGTATTCAGAGTAAACTGAGCGGTTCGCACTGTGCTAGTAAACCGTTTCGAACACACTCTGTGGTGCTTTCATAACATCGCTGTTTGTTTGAGCCGTCTCAAATGTCAAATTCTGACTCAGGCCCCGTCCACACTACTGCGTTTTCGTTTAAAAACGGAGACCTTTTGCTACGTTTGCACCTCCCGTCCACACTAAAACGGGAAAAACGAAGACCTAAAACGGAGAAGTTTAGAAACGCTGCAGCTGCGTTTTGCGTTTTGAAACTCCGGAGGGCGTTTTAGTGTGGACGAGACAAAACGGAGGAGTTTACAAACGATGACGCAGAGGCTTACGCTCGGCTCTATGATTGGGTGTCATCAGTCATGACGTGTCCTTCCCTGATTTGCCAACCACTGTTTACACCGGCGCGCGCATGCCCAGTGTTGGTGAATGGTCACGTGATCTGCGTTTTCAGTCGTTTTAATGTGGACGGAGATCAATTCTAATACGCAGACAAAACGCTGGTGTGGACGGAGATCGTATTCGTTTTAATTCTCCGTTTTTAAACGAAAACGCAGTAGTGTGGACGGGGCCTCAAACAATGCCGTGAGTTTGGGGCGGAGCTACAATGGAAGAAAAGGAGTGTTTGAGAAACCTGTTTGGAAATGGTCATTATTTTTGCAATTCCATTTTGTGCCTCTGGGGGAGTAGAAATTACACTCAGCAGCTTTAAATACACAGCACATTACCGTGCCTCTTTTTCTTGCTGGTATTTCATCAGTGGATCAAAATCTTATGAAACACACAAAACAGTCATTAGTAACACAGAAATATCTCTCATCTTCATAATTGAAATTCCATCAATGCAGCATACCTTAGCCTTCATACGGACGGATACGTTTCAAGGAATGTACAAGAGGTTCGAATGTATATACGCTGTGTAGAAAAATAGCGAATCTGGTTGAAAGCGATCTGTGCATAGCCTGCTCACAGGCGGAGGGGTAGAAGAGAAGTTCAGAAGGTTTGGTCATCGTTGCAAGAATCTGTCCAGTGACCGAACGCCTCACAGATGTCGCAGTACGGCCGTTCGCCGCTGCGGGCCCCGTGGTGAGTGGTGTGCGGAGGCGAGTCTGGGGACTGCGTTTGCGTGGGACAGTCCTCCGTGTCGTGCAGGTCGAAGCAGTCGCAGATGTCACAGAAGACGCGTGGTGGGGCTTTCTTCTTCTTTTTGTCCTTACCAAGACTTGAGAAAAAAAGAGGATAAACCAAAAAATGTTATTATGACAAACCCTTTTCGAAGAAAACAACATTAATAGTAACAATAGTGCAATGCATTTTAAGTATGTTCAATGTTACGTGACCACATACCGTATATATATATATATAGAGAGAGAGAGAGAGAGCGAGAGAGAGAGAGAGAGAAAGAGAGAGAGAGAGAAATTAAAACTAAAACATTTTTTTGCTGGAAATTAAAATAAACATTAACTGAAATTTTAAAAATAAATAAATTTTAACTGAAATAAAACAAATTTAAATCAAAATTAACTGAAATAAAAATGTATAAAAACTATATATTTTTACATGACAAAAACACAACAAAGTTACACAAAACTTAAAATTAAAATATAAAAATAAAACCAATTCAAAATAATAAAGCTGTAGTCTGCAGTTTTTCCTCTTAGTCGCCATCTCTGTTCGAAATCTGCAATTGCAGTCATTCACGGAATTATCAACATTACGCGAGTTGTGCCTCGGCACGGCACAGCGAGGATGAACACGATGTTTTGAGGAGAGCGTGTGGCTGTCAGTCGCCGCGCCGGTGTCGATACTGGCATTCGTAATAAAAGGTTCCACTTTTTGGAAGTATGACCAACGTAAGAATTTTCACCCTAAAATGTTATCTAAACAAGCAACATCCAATCTTCTGTTCTGACCAACTAACTGAAAAAAAGCATTGCAGTAAATCACGCTGATTAAATCTAACGATCGACGATCATATCACGTAAAACCGTGCAAATTATACTTTGATCTCAAATAAACAACATCATCATTGCGTGACTATATGTAACGTAATGTCCTTCCGATATTATCCTTGTTTTCGCACGGGTCCGGTTGCCGTCTCTTTTTTCTGTCGAAGTCAGAACAAACTCTTTTGTCATTGGTGATTGTCGTTTGAACCTTTCTGGATCTGCCATCAAATTGATAAGTTTGATTATATCAAGTGCTGTGAGAAAAAGGCTATAAATCTCCACCTCCAACATCCTCACACAATATAGCCTACTAGCCGAGACTCTTCTTGATGTGTGTGTGCAGATGTGTGTGTACAGATGTGACGTAAGGACGCAAAGACATGCTCGAATTTCCCAGTGAAATCCACCAGTCCCACTGGAATTAAAAACTTATTACAAGCTGACCGTTTTGAATCGAGCCACGGCAAGCAAAGAGTTTTGAACACTGGCTGGTTATGTACTTGCTCAAAAATGTATTTTGGATCATTTTTAACCAAATCAATGATAGTCAAATAAGTTGGAATATGTTAGCAAAGCAACAACAACAAAAGGATCCAGTTTCTGGCTGCAATCTGATCTGCCAGACAAAAAAAAAGTGACAAGTGAAGATTTGGAAACCCAATTGTACTCACTCATCATTTTCATCATTTCCATTGAACTCGGTCAGCGCCATTTTCTTCAGCTTCACCTTTAGTTCTTCATTCTTCCTCTGGAGGTCCACAATCACAGAGTTCAGGAAGTTGATCTGATCCATGCAAGGAAACATGGCAGATTTTAGACATTTACACACATATCACCGTTATCAAATACAGAACAGAGGACTTATACCTGTCCCTCGGCAAACTCCTTCTCTTCTCTCAGTTGGTCCAAAGCGGGATCACCCACTGTACAGGAGAGACAAACGAACAGTCTTCAGTTCAGTGAGAACAGTGCTGAGAGTTAGTGAATGTCACAATGGCATAAAAGTAGTCCAGAAGGATTTGTTCATTTAAGTTGACTCGTTATGTCATAATTTCTACATTATGATTTACAAAAGCATGATGAACTAAACCAACTATTTGTAATCTTGTTTTCCATTTTAAAGACATTACTCAAACATTATAACGTGACTTGTCTTTTGGTCATAAACATTCGATTTGGATGCATTTTTCAATAAAATCTTGTTTGTATGTTACTAATATTACTTTTTCATTTCTATTTCAACTGTTTTTATAATAAATATTAACTCATTATTTGATCATGCTGCCATAAGTATATTTTTACACATAATTGGATTAAAAATAACTGAGCAGCATTTCCAGAATTAAACTGGATTGCAAAACGCAAAAACTGCAACATGATCAAGTCATGTGGTCATGTGACGACAATTTGACATGATCAACAAGGTCATGTGACAACATTTTAGCATTCTGCATCATTTTGCATAGTACTTTTAAATAATAAATTCAGAGCCGTTCAAAAGTTTTGGGTCCGTATGTTGTTGTTGTTGTTGATAGAAATTAATACATTTATGCAGCAAGGATTCATTCAATTTTCAAAAGAATCCTGAATTATTATTATTTTTTAAATATTTAACAGACATGCAAGAAAGAGGCCGCACTATGCAGAACAGCTCCAACCTCCATTCATTTAAATATTAAACAGCACAACTGTTTTCAACATTGATAATACTCAGAAATGTTACTTGAGCAGCAAATCATCATATTAGAGTGATTTCTGAAGGATCATCATGAGACACTGAAGATTGGAGTAATGATGCTGAAATTCAGCTATTTGTATAAAAAGCTATTTGTATACATTTAGAAATAATATAATAACAAAGAAAACAGTTATTTAAAATTTCTAACATTTCACAATATTACAGATTCCACAGTATTTTTAACAAACAAATGCAGACAAAAAAAGACTTTTGAACAGTAGAGTAAATAAATAGCTAGCAGTATACAGTTTATTGCACAGTATACAGTAAGCAGTGCTTTCTATTCATTCTATTCCAAATATAAATACGCTGACAGACCTGAGATGACTTCCTCTCCGTTCCCCGTCTCCCGGCCCTCCAGCTTCTTCTCCAAGCTGTTCACTCGGCTCTGCAGCTGGGCTTTGTCCCTTTCTAGAGACGTCACGGCCGACTGCAGCGTCTTGGCCACGGCATTTTCCCCACGCAGCACTGCGATCTGGGATAACAAAAAACATCTTTAGATCACAAATGACAGTTTCCCGTTATCTGACAATATTAAGCCCCAACAATACATATTGTTTTGATATGAAATGAATCTACTAAAAGCATTCTTTGTACATACAGTAAGTTCAACTCGGTCATAGTTCACAGTGGATAAAACATACTTGACCCAGAGGTTTGGTTAGACTTATAAAACTCAAGAATCAAAGCTCTTACCTCATTTCGTAGCGTCTCTAGCTCTTTGTCTTTATCGGACATCACTGCATTGGAATTCTCTCTGTGAGAACAGACAAGAGCTCACTATAACTGGAGCCCATTGTTGGATTTACAGTCATGCTACAAAAGCCATATGCACTCTGAGAACATCTCCCAATGGAGCCCTGAAGATTAAAAGCTTACAGAAAAACATGCAAAAAATGAACAGACATTCAGTGGGACCGCAGAGTTTTTTTTAGGGTGGAGGAAAGCAATAGATCTGAAGCCAAAAGCTTGTACTTGGTACCATTATGTGAGTTGTTCGACCAAACGACAATCATGGAAACAATCTAGACGTGGTGATCTTAGTATATCATAAAACACTGATCTCTAAAGAACATGTACTGACAAGCTTCTTCTTTTTTTAGCAAGTCTTCATTTCCTGGGAGATGAAATGACATTTAAAGCTTCCAGAGTGCATGTGATCTCAAATCCAGCTCTCATTTGAACAATTAATGTGTCAGAGCTCCATTAAGCACCATCAAAAGCATCCGTGACATGCTGTTTATAACCACAGATAATTTGGTTTTTGAATGCTTGTGAAGAAAATGGATGGGAAAAATACTTGCATCACTACTGTCACGTTAATACGAGCATAACATTTCCACATTGTCTTTCCCCATAGACTTCCAGTTTGAGGGCACTGTGTTTATGCTTGTTTTTACTGACTGAGACACAAATATTTATTATTTCCTATGGTTATAAACAGCAGGCTTTACTCAGAACTGTCTTTTAATGTTTTGATTTGATTGAATGAACTTAATACTGAGTCAGAGACGTGCTTACCTCTCTGTAATCTCCAGATGGCTAGTCAAAGCTTCGTCATCAAGCTGCCAAAAAAACAACATGATACATAATAACTCAATCCCTCAAACCAACTGAGAATGTCACAGAGCAGAGCATTTCAGGAAACGTCTAAGTAGACGCATACAGATAAACACCTGTTTGTTGTAGACGTCCAACTCCTGAGCCAACATCCCTTTCTCGTCCTGGAGCGACACCTGCCTCTGAGACTTCTGATTGGCTGACAGTTTTCCCTCATCACTATGGAGAGAGATAAAGAAAAAATAATGGTTATAGTGTCATACAGGACTAGTATATTACTGACATGTTTAGTTTTGAGTTTTGTTTCATGTCCTTTATTGTGCAGTTTCTCCATTGTCATTGTTCCTGGTTTTGTCATGTGCTCCCGGGTTTGTCATGTGCTCCCCTTGTCATGTGTCCTATGTTGTCATTGGTTAATTGTCTTGGTTTATTGGTTCATTGTGTTCAGGTATGTCTTGGTAAATTAGTCTGTGTGTATTTATAGCCCTCATGTTTCCATTGTCCCTTGTCTAGCTTTGATGTTGTAACCTACTGTTGGTGAATGTACAGTATTTATGTTCATGCCAAGTCTTGTCTCAAGCCGTAGTCGAGCCGTAGTCAAGCCAAAGTCGGGCCATAGTCGAGCCGTAGTCGAGTCGTAGTCGAGCCATAGTCAAGCCGTAGTTGAGCCTTAGTCAAGCCAAAGTCAAGCCATAGTCAAGCCAAAGTCGAGCCAAAGTCGAGCCATAGTCAAGCCAAAGTCAAGCCAAAGTCGAGCCAAAGTCGAGCCAAAGTCAAGCCAGTTGTGGATTATATTTTGTCACTTTATTTCATTAAACTGCACTTGGGTTCAATTTCATCTCGCGTACAGTGGACATTATGTTCCAATTGCCATACTAGCAATTTTCAGTATATGAATTTTCTGTATGAATTCAACGTCTGGATGACCTTCAATGCTGTTCAAAAGTTTTGGATCAGTAAAAAAAATTATATTAAAGAAATGTACACTTATTTAGCAAGGACACATTAATTCAATGAAAAGTGACAGTGAAGACATTTATAATGTTGTTTATTCTATTTCAAATAAATGCTGTTCTTTTAAACATTCTATTCATCAAAGAATCTTAAAATCAGGAATTCCACAAAAATATTAAGCAGTTTTCAACATTGATACAGCAAATCAACAGATTAGAATGATTTCTGAAGGATCATGAAACTGAAAACTGGAGTAAAGATGCTGAAAATTCAGCTTTGATCACAGGAATAAATTACATTTAAAATATATTACAACAGTAAAAAATTATTTAAAAAGTAATAATTTACAATATTACAGTTTACTGTATTTTTGATCAAATAAATGCAGCCTTGCTGAGGATTAGACCTTTTTTTTGTTTTGTTTTTTAAAAACAAATTGGGCATAAAATACATTATGATTTTTTTTAAAAAAAAATTCTGATGCCAGTGACAAATCCTCAAAATTTCACCCTGATGTCAATCATATTATTCTTCAATTTACTTCTCAAGTGAATGCATCATGCTTAATATATCATCTTTCCTTTCCATCACAAGCCTTTAACTGGTTTTTAAGACCAAGCGTTTGAAAAATAAGAGCGTTTGGTTCCAAAAAGCGGTAGATAAAAGAGAGCTCCACAAAGTCACAACACGAAGGTCACCGTCATCCTCCTCGTGTGTAACGAATGAGCCAATCTATTTTCACCTAGAGTGCATTATGATGCAGGAATAAATCAAATCATGCACGCTCAAAACTCAAGCGGAGTCTCTGTACGTCATGAAACTACAGGCTGAATGATTCCCACGGATTCAAAAAGAATATGCTGCATTTAATGAAGCAGAACACTATTTTTTTCATAAAGAAATAATACTTTTTAAAAATGATAATATTACAGGCTATGTCACGACACATATTCATGGGTGTCGGAAGATCAACAGAGCGTTATGAAAGGAACTCACGTGGAGTCGGGACCATTAGACAGGCGGAGAAGAGCAGCTGTAGTTGGAAAGACGCGGTTACGTAAAACTCCCTGGAGGAGAGACGCTCACTTCTGAAGCGTTGGGCTGAGAGTCTCTTCAGCGCAAGAGTTCAGAAAAGGCTTCAAACGGGAACCTGCTCGCATCACCGGAGCCAGACACGCCGATCAGCCAAAGCTTGAAGGAGCGTGTCGGATCAGTTTGAGTTACCAAGGCTTTGAGCTTCGGTTAGTGCTGCTTTAGTTTTTAAGTCAACATGAATTCAATATGGACCCCATTTACACCATCACAAAAGCATTTTGAGCTAAATGTTTAAATTAATTTTGCAAACAAATTTATTGCAATATAAAAAGTGAAACATTTTAAATGACTATTTTTGGAATTAATTCATTTTGAAAGCAAATTTATTGCAGACAAATTGCAAATAAATGGTGCAAACAATTTCAAAAATATGCATTTTTGGAATTACTTCATTTTGCAAACACATTTATTGCAAAAGTAATAGCAAATTAGTAGCAAATAAGCAAATAAAGTGCTCGTGAAAAAATTTACATTTTGTAAAAAAAGGTAAATTAAATTTTTTGCAATTAATTAAAAATTTTAACTTATTTTTGAAGAATTTATCTTTTCAGCGGGTCACAAAACCCTCTTATTTTTCAAACACTTTCATATACAGTAGAGGCGCTTTTCACCATCCAATCAATTCCTAATGGACAAAATCAGGTTCTGCCCTACATATCTTTCTTATTGATTATCCTGAATGTGAAATGCTGCGAGGCAAACTCAAACTTCAAACTCATAATGCCCATGTGAGCTCAATGCGTCAGACTCGGAACACGTGCATTACGCCTTTTGTTATACAGAAATCACAGTTGTTGTAACCAGGTGGACTCGTGATGTCATTCTGTGACTCACTGATCTCACTTAATCACCACAACATAGTACTTACCCAACTAATTAACATCAAAATGCTGTTTAGCTCCAACTAAGCAGACAATTAATTTAATACGACGCAGCTGAAAGATGTTAAATAGCATTTAATTGTCGCAGCTGTAGTCTAGTGGTCAGGGCACGTGCTCGGATACGCGTCATTTCCCTCTCCTCCCTATCATTTCAGTCCTCTTTCTTCTATCACTATCAATGAAAGTGTGAAAGTGAATAATAATAAAACAGTCTGTGAAGAGAAAATGCATGGCTGCATGTCAGCAGGACTTGAGGAGACTCACATTTCTTTGCAGAGGTTCCCGATGCGCTGAGTTCCTGAACACAACTGCTCCTGATACTGAGAGTTCTGCTGCTTCAGGGCCTCAAGCTGGTGGAAGAGATAAAAGATCATTAAAACAAGTGAAAATTATGCTTTTGGACAAAACGTGTTGGAGAGAATGTCATGAAACCTTCCAAAAACATGCATTTTCCATAAAGAAATTCATGCATACTTAATGACCCCCATGTCTTTTCCTGCATTCGTAAATTATTTTGATGATAATTAAGCACATTTCAGCTCAAATTCTCACTACCACAAATATATCTAATTTCCATTACTGTAATGTGGGGGAAAAACTATGTTGTATAAATATTATTTACATTTACATAGTGTATTTCTACAATATTTGTTGTTCTATACTTTATTATTATCTTTACTACAGTATTTTCTTAATGACAGAAATTATCCACACGGTAAAAAAAATATTGTTGGTTTAATGGTTGCTGGTTATTTTAAGTTCATTGAAATGGAAAAATTGAGTTAATACAATGATTGAGATTGATTTAATCATCAGAAATTCAAAATATTATGTTATCTGTACTACATAAATTATTTAAGTTGATTTGACAAAAGAAAAAATGTTGTGATTACAAATCATGAAAATATATTTTTTACAGTGAATTTTTAGAGGAAAAGCAGTGCTGTTATGGTTTACTAACACTATTTAAAATGTTTTATTAATTAAAATAAAGCTGAAATAAAATATAAATATTAAATTAAAACATTTAAAGGGAAATTTGAAATGCTGCCTTTTTTATAGCATCAATTTATATATCCCAAAATTATGTAGAATTTTTCAGCCATAAAATGCAGTTCAAAGTGCTTTACATTAAAATTATACAGTCAAATATCAACAGCAACATCACATTCAACTAAAATGAGCATCAAACTTAAGAGATAAAATAAAGTAAATGCAACTTATACACTGTAAAAAAAATATTGCGGTTTAACTTAAAAAATTAAGTAACCTGGTTTCCTTAATTTTACGTTCTTTGAAATTTAAAATGTAGTTAATACAACGAAGGAGATTGAAACAAACTCAAAATAATATGTTATCTGGACCACATAAATTATTCAAGTTGATATTACAAAAGAAAAAAGGTTGTGATTCGAAATCATGAACATTTTTTTACAGTGTTGTGAAGGAGAAACATAAAAAGTGACAAAAGCACATAAAATGACTGAAACTTCAATTAAATTTAAAATAAAAACATAAAAGCAAAAGCTAATTAAAAATATTAATAATAGTATATAAATATAACAATAAAAGAAAACTAATACTAAAAGATTATGCACAAAAGGTGTTCTGGGTGTTTTCCGCCATCTACACGTCCAAAAATTGTAAAATAAGACCATCTCTCCTTAAAAATGTGAAGTACCAATTATTTCTGTAGCACAAACATTTCAAGTACAAGTTACACACCAAAACTAGCTCAAAACTAGTAACAAAACCTAAACCCAAGCATGAGTTATAGTATTAGTGATGCCTTCTTTAGCAAACACTGTCTAATCTTTACAAAGTATAATCAATGAGAGCTTACTCTGTTAATCTCAGAGAAGATAAATCACATTTAGGACTAATACATGCACAACTAATACTTAGTAAAAGCATGTCAGACTGTGAAATCTGGTATAGTCAGATTACTGTTCCCATGAGACCCATAATTCAATCCCATCAGACTCACTGTAACTAACTGGTCTACATCAGACTGATTACACTCTTCAGCACAAACACCTACAATTGGAGTTGTAAGTACCAACATCAATGTTAAGATCCGCTAAGAACCAACATCAATGTTTTTTTATGAATCAGAGATTTGCCTGTGCTGAGATCATGGAGTGATTCAGTGTTTAGGAACTCGAGAGAATCCTTGATGATTGAGGAATTATCCTGTCATCACTGAATGAATACAGACTCGCATGAAAGCGTTCTTCAACTCAAATGTACACGCCATAACATTCTCCAGATAAAAGTCACACGTAATAGGATTTTCTTTCCTTTTAATGCATTAAAACCATCTAAAAAATCAGAAAGACACAAAAAATAGAGGGATATCTCAAGATAATTTACCAATATCCAATTTGGTACTGAAAATAAACTCTAGAAGTTAGATATTTTAACTCACACTGGCTGATATTATAAATGGATGCATTGGGGGACGACGACAACAACAACAAACAGCGCTCACATTTAATATCATCTAAAATAATACACACTTCAAGTGCAATCAGCCATCCAAACATGCATGCTATCAAAAGGGTTTAAATTGGAAGAAAAAAGCCAATTTCATCACACTCACAACCCAATTCCAATAGTTAAAAAAAGCTACTATTGCTGAATGGTCCAACTATGGTCACCGATATACAGTATCATGCATCCTCACAGGGGAAGAGCGACCTTTACCTGGCAGAACGAGGTATAAACGCTGCCCGTGTAGTTCTGTTGGAGTGCTGTCACATCCATGCTTGTGTCCTTGCTATTTTTTCCAAACAAATGTGCCCTATCAATAATACATCCCCCTACGGCCCTCTGCAGAGAGAGAGAGAGAGCCGCTCGTGCTCCGCTGGCGTTCCAGCACACACTCACGTTTGAGCAAACACACGCTCTGAGAAGCATCACACAGGGCAGCTTCATTACGCAAGGACGACAAGCCCCGCCCCTCTGGACACCCCCCACCACCACCCCCTTCAGCTGTTCTCCGTCATCAATGCTCATTCATCCTGAATTAGACGTTTCTACATGATGAGACAATCCATGTTTGACTGGTGACATCAGAGAAATGAAAATCCTTGCGGGAGCGAGAACTTAGGGTTTCTGTTTAAACATTATTTGGTGAAAGTGCACTACCATTGAATGTACGTTTTTTTAGTGTTTTTTTTTTTAAAGAACTTCAATTTGTTTGTTTTTTCTTAACTTTGTATCAAAGAATCCTGAAAAGTAAACAGTTTCCCCAAAAATATTAAGCAGCAAAACTGTTTACATTGATAATCAGAAATGTTTCTTAAAGAGCCCCTATCATATCATTTGAAATTTTCCTATTTTTGTTTTAAGAGTTCCCAAAAACAGTTTAACATGCATGCAAGGATAAAAAACACAAAAAACACACATTTATTTTTAACTGATTTGCTTACCGACTAATAAAATGATTCGTACAACGAGTCATTTTTCCAAACCACTCCTTTGCGTGACGCTAATCGGCGGTGATTGGTCTGATGACAGACCCAGTCAGTTATTGTTTGTTAGCATAACGCATAAACATATTGATAAAGCACTGCAGTACTACAAGACGCTCTATTCTTCATGACAACTCCAATAACAGCGACAAACATTTCACATATTTCAAAAAAATTGACATTGGAGACCTAGAAGCTGCGCAGAGTGTAACTTACACACACACATACACACACACAGAGATACACGCGCACACACATACTGCCTCACGTCTCGATGCAACAAAACCGTTCAAAACCCATAAAAGCAACAATTCTTAATAATACTTACAGGTTGTGATTCGAAGGAGTAAGCTGATCCATATACACTGGGTAAGTAGTTACTGAGCCCTCCTTCAGGAACAACCGCTTGCGAATCCACATTTTTCAAAAAAAACATTTTTGCGAATCCAGACTTCAAGTTTACACTTCCGTCTGCGCGCGCAGTAACCAATATGTATCTACATCACTACGAACCAGCTAATGACTCGTTTCAAAAACAATAGACTCAGAGTCGACTCTCACTTTTGAAAGACAATAACTTTATATACGGTGCACTTTCAGATATAAATCTTTGCAGGATGTTTTCATCATATGAACAGTCATTTTCAAAAATCCATGATAGGGGCTCTTTAAAGGAGAACTCCGACGCAAAATGAACCTTTGGTCTAATAAAACATCGGTACATAGTCAACCGTTCTCTGAGATTTGTTTTCATGATAATCGAATGTAAAGAGTTTTATCTCTAGAAAGTGTTTAGCGTATATGCTAGTATATGGGGGCATTGACTAAGTAAAAAGAAATCGCTAGTTTATACCACTAACAAGGCTCAAAATAGCCCCACACTAACACAGTAACATAATGAGGCTCCATACATGCAAAACGAAGCATTGAGAACTTTGTAAGTGTACAGACCGTTTAATAAGAAGATACTTTATGAAGACAGTTCACTGTGTATACAGACAGGAGCCATCTTAGAAAACAGTCTCGACAAATCGAACCTCGTGCTGAGTGATCTGAACTGTATGAAGTTCAGCGAACTTCTGAACTGTATGAACGGCGTTCGGGGATCGACTAGTCAAGACTGTTTTCCAAGATGGCTCCTGTCTGTATACACAAAGTGAACTGTCTTTATAAAGTATCTTCTTATTAAACGGTCAGTACACTTACGAAGTTCTCAATGCTTCGTTTTGCATGTATGGACCAATGTTTTATTAGACCAAAGGTTCATTTTGCACCAGAGTTCCCCTTTAAGCAACAAATCATATTAGGATCACAGGATCATGTGACACTAAAGTAATGATGCTGAAAATTCAGCTTTGATCACAGGAATAAATTAAATTTTTAAACATAAAAAAAAAACGGTTCTTTTAAATTCTATTATTTCATATAGATCTGGTTTTACTGTATTTTTGATCCAATAAACGCGGCCGGATTAAGCATATACGTTTTAAAATGTTTTAAAAAATGTTTTACCGACCCCAAATTTTTAAACATTGGTTTATTTTTTTTTAAGTTTGAGCAGAGGCTGTGCAAGAGACTTCAGTGTCATCCTTGAATGAGACAAAATAGAAGGAAATTCAGGCTAACCTAAATTAACTCTGCTTTTTTAAACCTGGAGGGGACTAAAGTCCTAAATGAGGTCACAATAAGGTTGTCTTTTTCAATACAGAAACCAAAAATAAACTTAAAGGGACAGTTCATCCAAACCTTTTAACTCTGTCATCATTTACTCACACTCATACATGTCATTTCAAACCTATAAAACAGCATTGTTTATATAACAGCAGTTCATAGTGACAAAAAGTATATAAGTTGTCACATGCTAAATAAATACTTTTGATAGCTTTGTTTGAGGGATAGGGCTAAATTTAAAGGGGTGATGAACTGAGAAATCAAATTTTCCTTGATCTTTTGACTTGTTAGTCCAATAAAAGCTTTTAGACACCAGGCTCAGCAAACGACTCGTTTTTCAAAGTGGGGAACTATGACGACAAAAAGGATAAAACACCACCCCCGCAGAAGATCATCAACGCCTACTTCAACACGGCCGGTTTAGCCCCGCCCACCGATTCGCGCATTACACGCATTGCTAGCTAAATTACATAGATGCCTACCTCGTGATGACAAACCAGATCGAGCTACCGAGCAATACAGAATATTGTGCAGCGTCTGGTTGTGGAAGAAGACAGTCGCTGCATAAGCTTCCTCTGGATTCCAATAGGACTGCATGAATAAACATTATATTTAATGACGTTCCAGCTGATGAGGGTAAAACATTGTCTGTCTGTTTGCTTTATTTCACTGAGGATTGTTTTGTAGACAAGACTAGATTTGCAGACCGATTAAGAGTAAAGAACGGTGCTGTGCCGTCTATATTTGATCTGACAGGAATTGTGCAACACACGGACTTTGGGTCGAACATGTATGGGCGAATCATTCCGGTCAACATTAGACGATTTCAAAACAATTTCCCCCAAGTGCATCCACGAGTGAGTTGATCCTCATTATAATATGCAAAACTGTTATCCACTCACAGCAGTGGGCGTTTACTTCCAAGTCTTCAGTGCGAGACGTCCCATAAAAACCGAGCGTTTGTGAGCTGGGCTCAAAACTAGGCTAGAAAATTGCCTATTACTTATTCATTTTGATGTTTTTGAATGCAAAATCTAACGTCATAAGCTGACCTCAGACAACAATATAATAAAATTTAAAAAATAAAATTCATGACCCCTTTAAAGGGATAGTTCACCCACTGTCATGAATTACTCACTCTCCAGTCGTTCCAAACCTGTAAGACTTTCATTCATCTTCAGAACAAAATGAAGATCTTTTTGATGAAATCTGAGAGCTTTCTATTCCTGCATTGACAGCTACAAAACTGACTCTTTGACGCTTCAAAAAGTTAATAAAGAGATCATAAAACTAATCCACATTAATTGAGCGGTTTAATCCAAATTTGGTCCACAATCTTTCGGGTTTGGAACAACAGAATTTTCATTTTTGGATGAACTATCCCTTTAAGTACATCTCCTCTGATTTAACACAAAGTTATGGTATATAATCTTCAAAAGAGATGGAATATAGTGCAAAATGACGCTTGCATATTCTCAAAAAGTCAATATTAGGGTGAGTAAATAATAACGGTGAACTAACCGGTTAACTTTGTCTATGTTTTGCCTCGTGAAACAGAAAGTAAGTCTTACTAAAATCTACATGAACTGACCCAAACAAGCACGGGCCTCTCTCTCTCTGGATATACTGAGCAATGTTGTCATTTTACCCAAAAACATCTTTTCTATCTTAATCTTAAGAGTCCATTAATATGAGCAGGCACAGTTTATTATTCATACAGTATATTAATACAATACAGATTGTTTAAAAACAGCTTCACTTTTTTAAACAGTAAAAATAACATGATAATGTTATAGATGTTATGCTTGTCTAATATTTGATGAAGTTTGTTCTGTTTCTTTCCCTCCGGTATTTATTGCTGCGAAGCTGCTTTGAAACCATTTCTAAATCTCTATAAAGTAGCTACCATAAAACTAAAGGCGACTGTAAAACTCATCAAGATAATAGCATCATTATCCAGCTCAATTCAATTAAAGATTTTGCTTGTATCTGATAGCGTCAGTGCAATTAAATTGGTAATATTCCTAAATATTATTTGTCTTTTAAACCTAGCACTCGCCAAACGTCTGGTTTGAAAGGCCACAGGAGAAAAACCAAAATTACCCACATCATTGCTTAACAGATTCTGCTTATACACACAAATGTCTTCAAACCAAGACCAAAATTATTATTCCTAATAAATAATGTGTATGTCTGAATATCCTCAGAACCAACAACATTCTCTGAACCAATGCAGTGAGTCTCTGCAATACAGATGCTGAATCAAGTAAGACCCATCACTTGAGGCGTTCACGCAGTCTTACCGTATGTGAAAAGCACAACCGTAGGAGGAAAGTCTCCTCTGATAATTAAGCGCTGGCCATTGGGCTGCTTATGTAAGGCCACATACGAGCACACAGAACATGCTTTACATGCAGCCTGCAGGCGGTCAGATGTAGAGGACTCATGCATGAGCTAACAATGTGCCTGAACCATTACGTCAGTAACAGGACATTTACACAGTGAAAAATCTCTGCTCATCTCTTAAATAAATGACTTCAAGTTAATCTGACTACAAATTCGGAATATGTTTTAATAATACTACTGCCAGTTTCACACATGTAAACAAATTTTTGTGTTCAACATATTGACAGCAGTATGATGTTAAAGGGATAGTTCACCCAAAAGTTACAATTCTGTCAGTAATTACTGATGTGTGAGTTGATGAATGTTCATCTGTTCATCATATAAAGCCTTCGTGTCTATTCGGAAAGTTGGACTAAACCGCTTGATTCATATGGATTTGTTTTACGATCTCTTTGTAAACATTTTGAAGCGTCAAAGCGCCAATTGAGGGACAGAAAGTTCTCAGATTTCAGCAAAAATATCTTCATATTTTGTTCCGAAGATGAACGAAGGTCTTATGGGTTTGGATTGGAACGACATGAAGGCGAGTAATTAATGACAGAATTTAAATTTTGGGGTGAATTAAGTCTTTAAAAGCAGATTTTTTTTATGATTATTACTGTTGTCTGCTAAGGCAAGAATCACAAACACTGCTAAGGTTAGTGATTTGGACAAACCCCTAACACCAAGTCTTTGAATTTTTTTTTTTGGCTGTGAGAAGACATACATCTGATTCATCTGTCGCTGATTATTTTCCATACCGTGGGTTAGGAAAAGTGGGTTGTACTGCTATTTAGTGTGTTTTTGGATTGTTCTGCTGACGAAACACTGCAAAAGTCCCGACAACATGAACTGTGGGATAAAAAGTGATCTAGGAGCTTTATACAGCAATCAAAAACATGGTAATTCTCTCTCAAAGCCTCGTTTTCATACATGGTACTGCTCTGAATAAGGTTTATAAACTTCATCCTACAGCAGTGCTACTGTATGAACATGAATACCTCAGAAAATGTGGATTTGAGGTATTTGGATCTCACCTCGCAAGGAGATCCAGTGAGAAAACAACTAGCAACCACCCAGAACACCCAGACAACCACGTGACTTTTGAACATCAAAATAGTCCCACCCTTCCAAGTTCCTTTCAAAAACCCTCACACGGATACGAAGTAAAAGTAACTACGAGTCATAAAACACTGTTTATTTATGATATGAAGAGTAAAGCGTACTTACCTCCTCCTGCAACTCCTTATTCTTGTGCATCATCTGCTCCAGGTTTTCATTAGACTGCATGGAAAAACGTAAAAAAAATATTACACACTTGTACTACACTTTTTGACCAATATGGACTAGTTTGGGGTTGGTAAGAGTTTAAAATCAAGTCTCTTATGCTCACCAAGGCTGCAGATATCTGAACAAGAATACCCCCAAATACAAAGTAATACCGTGAAATATAATTAGTTTAAATAAACGTTTTCTATTTTTAAATGTTTTTAAATGTAATTATTCTGGTGATGGCATAGCCATTCAGTATGGAAGCTTGTTTCCGCCACTGAAAAAAAAAAAAAAAAAAATAATAATGATTGCGACTTTTTATCTCACAATTAGCCTTTCGCCGAGCCCCGCCCCCCTTATGCCGAGTTCAGACTGCATGATTTTAGCCACGATTTTGGCTCGCCGACAGGTTTTGAGAATTCGCCGACAAATGCCCGAAATCACAGGCAAATCGGCGCTCGTTCACGCGAGTGACAATCACGCAGTGTGAATGAACAAAGACGCGAACTGAGAGAATCACCGACGAGTCGCCGACGCCCGTGAGATATTTGGCATGCTAAATATCTGGACCTGTCGGCGATTCAAAATCCTGCTGTGTGAAAAGTGTTTTGACTGAAAACTACATCGGCGATCACCGGCAGCCAGTGAGAGAGCAAGATACAGAGCAGCAGGGAGTTCGGGGAGGAGTTATAGATCACATATCAACATGATATGGCATTGTTTCAACAAAAAAAGCTTCTTCTCGGTCTATTTGGACACAATAAATGGAAGAAAAATTAGTAGAAATTTGGCAGGAGCACTCGTGTCTGTTTCACCAGCTGTACCACAACCGGGTCGGAAAAAAAAGTCTCACGTGAGAACTCCGGTCTTGCACGTGTGGTGTCGCGCGTTGTTTCCTTTTCATATCTCACGCGTGTTTGTTGTGAAATGTAGTTTGCGTGCAGCGTGCTAGACAGAGTCTGTTGGCGATTTTTCTAAAGTCATGCAGTGTGAAACCTTCTGTCGCCGATCCATCGTCCAGTGTGAACACAGCAGCGACTGAATGCTGGCCAAGATAGTCATGCAGTGTGAAAAGAGCAGCGACCTGACTACTTTGAAAATCGTGCAGTCTGAAAGAGCCATTAGTTACTGCTGCTACCTCCGTCAAACAAATGGTCAAACACGGGTAGCGCGACAGATTGCCATGACGGCAAAGGGTATTCCTGTGCGTGTCAGTGACCTTTTTTGGAGCAATACCTCCGCGATATCAAGCAAGATCGAAGCAAAAGGGGTTACGGTATGCGGTGGAGGGATTTATTCCAAATAGAAAAATTAAGAAATGAATGAGACACGACTACTATTGATGCTAATGCTTACCAGTCTCAAGAAAAATCAGAAAAAACCCATGACCATGCTAAGTTACCTCAAATGCAACCAGCACAGCCTTGAAGATTTTATAAACTGGTTCAGTGGCTAATTGGAGTTCGAAATATATAACTTGCGCGCTGCATATTTATTCATTTTGCCTCCGATACAGGAGTAGCACGTTCGCTTTAACAAGCAGGTTGTTCATTACCACAGCAACCGATTGCGTGTCATGCTCATGCTGAATGCGATTTTCGTGTTTAAAAAGTAGCTAACGTTATGCATAAGAGACGGAAAGAGGCAGAGAACGATACGTTATTTAAGGTTATTTCTATTCGTTACGATATTTATTTATGAACTGATGTTGTCATGTAAGCTTCATGCTTTCCCCGTTGCGAACGTCCTCTAAACTGTAGTCTACGGTGCTGCACTGCTAACTTAGCTGACAGCTGCTCATTTTCCCAGAGAATATCATGGTATGTTAACAACAACCCTTTAGAAAATGTACAGTAAGTCCTTTGTGGATCCTCTTGATCTGCTTTCTCCGTGCTTCTTTGACTAATCTCAGTCGCACGCACGCTGCACGCGAGACGAGTTAACCATGTTCGACACATTTAACTGGGATTGGGGCATCCACACTGTTTAATACATCTTAGGCACCGCTCGCATTGTGTTTTGGGCTTTGGAAAGGGAAAAAATACAACTTCTCCAGACAATCTCTCGGGGTATCATGTGTCCGATTTACTAACGCCGTGGGCGCACCGCTTACTGTTTGACGGAACAGCTCACACAGTAACGGTTGCTATGATGTGTGATTGGACAATGGCCATTTTGTGGGAGGGGCCGGCGAAAGGTCAATTGCGATATATGAAGTCGGAATTCTGAGAAATAAAGTCGCAATTGCGAGATATAAAGTCGCAATTCTGAGATATAAAGTCGCAATTCTGAGAAATAAAGTCGCAATTGCGAGATATAAAGTCGCAATTCTGAAAAATAAAGTCGCAATTGCGAGATATAAAGTCGCAATTCTGAGAAATAAAGTCGCAATTGCGAGATATAAAGTCGCAATTCTGAGATATAAGGTCGCAATTCTGAGAAATAAATTTGCAATTGCGAGATATAAAGTCGCAATTCTGAGAAATAGTCGCAATTGCGAGATAAAAAGTCACAATTCTGAGAAATAGTCACAATTGCGAGATATAAAGTCGCAATTCTGAGAAATAAAGTCGCAATTTGTGAGATATAAAGTCGCAATTCTGAGAAATAAAGTCACAACTGCAAGATATAAAGTCGCAATTCTGAGAAATAAAGTCACAACTGCAAGATATAAAGTCGCAATTCTGAGAAATAAAGTCGCAACTGCAAGATATAAAGTCGCAATTGTGAGAAATAAAGTCGCAACTGCAAGATATAAAGTCGCAATTGTGAGAAATAAAGTCGCAACTGCAAGATATAAAGTCGCAATTGTGAGAAATAAAGTCGCAACTGCAAGATATAAAGTCGCAATTCTGAGATATAAAGTCGCAATTGCGAGATAAAAAGTCACAATTCTGAGAAATAGTCGCAATTGCGAGATATAAAGTCGCAATTCTGAGAAATAAAGTCGCAACTGCAAGATATAAAGTCGCAATTCTGAGAAATAAAGTCGCAATTGCGAGATATAAAGTCGCAATTCTGAGAAATAAAGTCGCAATTGTGAGATATAAAGTCGCAATTCTGAGAAATAAAGTCGCAACTGCAAGATATAAAGTCGCAATTGTGAGAAATAAAGTCGCAACTGCAAAGCCCCATTCACACAGCGAGTTGATCCCAGGAAATTGCCGGCAAATTGCCAGAACGCCTTCTGTGTGAACGCAAACACGACCTGGGATTGCTTCTGGGATTGATCCCGGGTTGGGGACCTAGTAACATTGCCGTAATCAGTGCCGGAACGCGCGCTGTGTGAACAAAAGCCAAGACCAACGCCGTAAAGGGTGTGTCTTTAGTGATGACGCTCGTGCCATCGCGCGACTCTGTTGCTCTTAGAAGAAAGTTTGTGTTCGTCATCAACAAACAAAGGACGAACAAATACCTGCAAACTAGGGCTGCACGTTTTCAAGTTTTTCATTAACCGTTAACCGAGGCCCTTTCGGTTAATACTCGGTTAAGTGTGCGCGCCGCGCCGCAACCTCGAGATACAGAGTTAATTTTTAACACCTTTAATAACTGGTTGGACCCCATTTGAAACGAAATTAATTTATAGAAATAAAACGCAGTGGTAAGTTCAGAGCAGTTAAAGTAGGCGCGTTTCCATCACCCTTCAAACTGAAATTGCCCATTGAAAATACATTGGCAACACGTCCATTTCGCAAAAACTCCGTGTCCGCAAATAATAATAATAATGATCATTATTGTAACATTTTATAGGCTGCATATGTAGAAGACGCTTTTATCCAAAAAAGGAGCAAAGCACAAATAAACACAATATTTTGACGCATATCCAGTGTGTGTGCTTAGTGTGGAGGCTGCGAGACGCATGTGAACACTTGCAGTTTTATTGCAGTTCTTTCAGTGGAAACAACTTAAAATACTCTTTCATTTCTGGTCACACAGAAAATAATAATACATTATTCGCAAATACATTTATTTGCGTAAACTCACAATAACAAGAAAACGTTGTGCTTTAACAAACAGACGCGCTTCATGATTTCCGTGAACTGAAGCGCGAGAACTGAAACAACCACCGCATTTGTTCGTTTTAAATTGGACATTTAAAGCTTAAATGTCCAATTTAAAACGAACAAATTCGAATCAAAAGCCAATATATCCTGACTATGTAATTATGTAGCTTAGCTAATTATGTAGGCTATTTCTCTCTAAAGGTGCATCCGGGGATGGAGATTTGTTTTTAGGAGAAACTGATTTAGAAAACAATAGTTTATTAATAAACAATTAATGCCTCGTTATTTTATATTATTTTATTATCAGACACATTTATTATATCTTATAAATCATCTATAAATCCCCTTTCTGTAGGCCTTGGTTATGGCTCTTCTCATTCAGCACTGCGGGGGAAATATAATTTCCAGGTTCTAATTTGGCCTCAGAAAACCAGTAAAATCTTTTTTTTTTCCATATTCATTTGTCAAATATTTTAAATGTTTAAAGGGGCAAAAAAAATCAAACAAATATCTGAAAATTCGTCGATATATATATATTTTTTTGCGCAGCATTTGACCTAGTCCTACAGTTCAAATGAACATTTTGGTGTTAAACTCTGCGTTTTACAAAATACAACAACCGTTCATTTTTCGTTTTGCAATTAGGCAGATTAAATAAGGGGAAACGAATGAACACAAAAGTACACTGACCGTTTGGACATATACGAGGCAGAGTTCTTTTTTAAAATTCATAAAAGATACATGGAATATACTAGACAAAACCTCAAAGAAATGTCACAATCAAGACCTCGGAGCAGAAATGAGTGAGAAACACACAGAAACTCTGCGACTTTCCCTGCAATTAATGCTTGGATGACACACCACGTCTCCTTCCATAAATAATAATAATAATAATGTCTAGTGCGGTGGCTGTGATATACCAACGTCCGTTGCCATTATTTTTGGAATGGCTTATCGCGAAAGGAAAAAAAATTTTTAGTCGCATAACATCGTTAATAGAAACGCTGTCATTTCACAATATTTTTTTATCGACAATCAGAAAAAAAAACGCAAAAGTTTTGTGCAAATATGTATTGACGCCACTTAACCGAGCAAAAAGGTTTCACTCGGTTATGCAATTTTAAACGGTTACTGCTAATCGGTTAACCATGGACACCCCTACTGCAAACTGGAGCGAAGCAGAGACCAGGAGCTCCTCTATCCGTACTGAAGCTCCAGTGCGTGTACGGTATGCGCGTTTACATGTTTTCGACGCGTCCGTTATACGTCTCACCCTGACGTCATGTGTCTTCCCGGGATTTTTACGGGTTGTGTGTGAACACACACACAGATCCCGGCAAATCACTGGCAGTGTGAATGAACCGAAATCAGACAATTCCGGGACAAATGCTGGGTCACATTATCCGTGTATTTTCTGGAATCTCTGTGTGAAAGGGGCTCAAGATATAAAGTCGCAATTCTGAGATATAAAGTCGAAATTGCGAGATAAAAAGTCACAATTCTGAGAAATAGTCGCAATTGCGAGATATAAAGTCGCAATTCTGAGAAATAAAGTCGCAATTGCGAGATATAAAGTCGCAATTCTGAGAAATAAAGTCGCAATTGCGAGATATAAAGTCGCAATTGTGAGAAATAAAGTCGCAACTGCAAGATATAAAGTCGCAATTCTGAGATATAAAGTCGCAATTGCGAGATAAAAAGTCACAATTCTGAGAAATAGTCGCAATTGCGAGACAAAGTCGCAATTCTGAGAAATAAAGTCGCAATTGCGAGATATAAAGTCGCAATTCTGAGAAATAAAGTCGCAATTGTGAGATATAAAGTCGCAATTCTGAGAAATAAAGTCGCAACTGCAAGATATAAAGTCGCAATTGTGAGATATAAAGTCGCAATTCTGAGAAATAAAGTCGCAACTGCAAGATATAAAGTCGCAATTGTGAGAAATAAAGTCGCAACTGCAAGATATAAAGTCGCAGTTGTGAGAAATAAAGTCGCAACTGCAAGATATAAAGTCGCAATTCTGAGACATAAAGTCGCAATTGTGAGATATAAAGAGGCAATTCTGAGAAATAAAGTCGCAATTCTAAGAAATAAAGTCGCAAATGCGAGATAAAGTCGCAATTCTGAGAAATAAAGTCACAATTGCGAGATATAAAGTAACAATTCTGAGAAATAAAGTCGCAATTGTGAGATATAAAGTGGTAATTCTGAGAAATAAAGTCGCAACTGCAAGATATAAAGTCGCAATTCTGAGAAATAGTCGCAATTGCGAGATATAAAGTCACAATTCTTAGAAATAAAGTCGCAATTGTGAGATATAAAGTCGCAATTCTAAGAAATAAAGTCGCAAATGCGAAATATAAAGTCGCAATTATGAAAAAAAAGACAGAATTGAGACTTTATATCTCACAATTCTGACTTTTTTTCTCACAATTCTGACTTTATAACACATAAATGCGAGTTTATATCTCGAAATTCTGACGTCTTTTCTCAGAATTGTGATATAAACTCGCAATTGTGAGTTATTCTAAGGGAAAAAATATTATTTACCCCTCAGAATAGTTTATATCTCACAATTCTGAATTTATATCACGCAATTGCGACTTTATATCAACCAATTCTCACTTTACATCATATGCAATTCTGACTTTACAACTCACGAGATGTAAATTCGCAACTGTCAGATAAAAAGTCGTAATTACCTTTTTTATTTTTCATTCTGTGGCAGAAACAAGCTTCCATACTTCAGTGACCCCAAACTTTTGAACAGTAGAAACATGATGGCCTTTTGTTATGGCATAGGTTAACAGTTTATGCTATATAGAATTAATGACAGATGGATATGTTAAAGTTGGCCTTCCTGACTAGTATTACAGTGACAATATACAATATTTTCTGGAGTTATTGTTATCACTGTAAAATCATAAATAAATATGCAATCTCCTTCAAGCTATGTAAAATAACTGAACGATGTTACTTTAAAAATTATAATAGTTTCCAAAACTTAAAAGGATAATTGTGACAACAAATTAAAAATTAAATTAAATTTTTTCTTTTAAAATATTTTTGAAATTCTAATATATTTTCAGTGAATTTTCATTAAATATCATGAAAAAAAGTGTGTTCAATTTCAAAAACATCTCATATGCTACACATGCACAACCATTCAAAATTTTGGGGTCATTCTTTTTCTTTATATATATATTAGTGTTGTCACGGTACCAAAATTTTAGTATTCGGTACCAATACCAGTAAAAATTCACGGTTCTCGGTACCAATTTCGGTACCAAAGCTTAGTTTAAATTTACATATATTTAAGTGTTTATCACGGTTACAAGTATGGGAACTGTACATTTGTATTATAAACACTTTAGAAAAAGTTAAGATAAAATGACCTAAAATAAACAATAGTATACACTAACAAATTTTTAAAGTTGTTTGTAAAGTTTTAATCCGTTAACATTTATTTAATGCACAATGAATGAAGTGAACAAACATGAACAATCAAGTGTTTGTATTAAATAACATTTACAAACATTAATTAATGTTGTAAAAATATATTGTTCACTCAATGTGTTGATGTGAACTAAGTAATGTTGATGAATGGTAGCTATCTTATTGTAGCGTTACCAAACTATACAGGAGATAAAACATGTTTTATTTGACTTGACTGTACTTTTATTTAATCTAAAACTGCATTCATATTTAATTTTAAAAAGGCTTTTTAAACCACCCGAGTTATAAAGGCAAGAATACGCCTAGAACTGGCACTGACATTAAATGACATAAATAGGGATGCATCGATACTAATACCAGTAGTACTCTGGTGTCGGTTGGATACTAATGTGCTCATGTACTCGTAAAACTACCCCGAAAGCACTTTAGAGGCCGTTCACATATCGCGCGTGTTTTTTATTATATTTTTGCGCGTGCTTATTCTTTCCAAAGCGCTTGCTCTCACGCGGCGTCTGTCGTTGCTATGCAACGAGTTTTTATTATGAGCGCGCTTGCCTCGCGCCTATATTTGAAATTGCGAATTTGCATGTAATCGGCCTCTTATGGCAACGTGACATTAGCCTAATCCAAAATATTTCCATATGTGGCTCTTTCCTCCTTTCGTGTCAACAAGTGGATTCAGAGAGAGAGCATATCAGCGACTGTGCACCTTTCAGACAGCGAGTCTAGAACTGGATGAACCTGGTACTCGGTACCTAGAAAAGCTGGTACCGTAACATTTTTTTTTTTTTAGTACGGACTTGGTACCGAAGTACCGAGTTTTTTGACAACACTAATATATATATATATATAATATATATATATAGCAAATTATGCTTTTGAAAGAAGTCTCTTATGCTTCTGATTCCATTACTTCAGTGTTCATTGTCACATGGTTGGTCCTTTAGAAATCAATCTAATATGCTTTACAAATGACATTAACATTAAAAATCGTACCCACCCCAGTGTATTGACCGGTAGTGTATAAAACGGGGCGTCTGTTTTAAAGTGGTAAATGTCAGTCACCTGGGTTTGGTTCTTGTAGGCTTTCAGTTCCGCCACCTGCCGTTCCAGCCCAACGCTCCTCTCTGCGATTCTGCTCAACTCTCCTTCTGTTTGGCCCAACTTCTCCTTCAGCTCCTTCATCTGAATCTCTCTCTCTTCATCCTTCACCTGTTTCTTCAGCAGTTCCTCCTTCTCCCTGGATACTTGATCCAGCTTCTCTCTCTCCGTTTTCATGTTCCTTTCCATTTCTGCCGTCACACAGAAGAAGGGGAGGAGGTCATAGAGGAGCTCATGAAGCAGTATTTGTGCTAATACAATCATTTTCCCCAAACTTTCACACAAATTGGATTGCGGAGCAAGTAAAAAGTGTGGCGTTGTGAGTTATGGCTATGCTGGGAGCATCTGGTTTATCTCATGAGCATGCAAAAATGAGTGTGCAGAGCTGTTCACATTGGCGCAGGCTCACATGCCAGAGATGCAAAGGATCAGATTCTTAACAGTAGTTAAATAGCCTTTTAGTGCTTTTGATGAGTCATGTTTTACTTACCTTGCATTGCAAGTGTTGCTTTATTTTTGTCCTCTGCAGCTGAGTCAAGCTTATTTGTCTGAAATTAAACAGAACAAACAATTACAAACTAATTGGTACGGGAACAAAATGCAGGCCAAAAACAGATGTTTACCTTGCTTTGAATCAAGTTATTATGCAGACAAGAATACTTAAAGGGATAGTTCACGTTGAAATAAATTTTTGGTATGTTTGTTTACACTCTTAGACTCGTAAATGTAAGTACACATTGATGGCCTAAGACACGAAACGAGCAGTGTGTGAGAAAACGAACAGTATTTATATCGTTTTTTCCTCTTGTAACCACAGCCACGTCCAAGTGATCTGAGGGCACGGGCGCTTTGTGGCTGTGATTACAAGAGGTAAAACGATATAAATACTGTTCGTTTTCTCAAACAAACCGCTTGTTTTGTGTCTTAGGCCATCAATGTGTACTTACATTTACGAGTCATTAAATCATGTTTAATTTGGACTTCTCTGTACATGCTCTTTGAGGTGGTGACCATAGACCTCCATTATATGACTGATAGACAAGAACGGTTTGACCTAAAAATATCAAAATTGAAAATACAGCGGAAACAAAGACACCTACATCTTGGATGCCCTTGAGGTAAGCTAAAACATACCAAAAAATAATTCTCAACTATCCCTATAACTTTGTTAACCTTTTTTTTTTTTTTACACAAAAAAAGCTTATTTACACACACACACATATATATACACACATATAACTATACTCTGTATTTTTATTTTATTTCATTTATATCTTATTACTTATAAGTTGAAAAAAAATCTGTTTTTCGTGATAATGTTATTAAATTCAAATTAATCATATTCCTAGTAACACTTCAAGTCAAGCTTAACCATAACCATGATATAAATCACTGTAAAGAATTGCCTAGTTTTAGAGAAATGTATGCATTCCGAGCCGCATTCTAAATAATTGAAATAATATAAAGGCAGATTTTAGATCACCATATGGGCTGGAGGGAGGCGAATGTATGGCACAAGAAACACATATTTTTTTTAATAAGTGTTATTTTCCTGTAATCATTATGTGAAATAATAACCAGGGGTTTTCAGGTTAGTAAATAAACAGTCTTAGTGTTACCAGATCTTGCAGCTGCTGCTGGAGGGATGCTTTCTCCTGTTCAGAGGAGGAGAGTTTCTGCTGGAATAGAAGCACCTCCTTCTGTCTGTTCTCCAACTCCAAGTTCAGCTCCTTGATCTATGAGAACGCACAGAACACAGTGATCTTATAATGTAAATGTCTTTTGGCGTACAAGCAAATGTCATAATGCATCTTATTTAGGTTGATTTAAGGAGGGAGATGAACGGACCTTTTTGTCTTGTAATGGAGGGGAGGCTGATCCCGAGGTCTCGGCTCGAAGAGTTCTCAGCTGAAGCTGCAGGTCGGACACCTCCTTCTCCAGCTCCATGATCCTGGAGCGCTCGGACACCGTGGCGACCTACAGCAGCAGACCAGACTTAATCAACTGCTAAGCGTGACCAAAACCGGTCTATGAAGGCATTAAACATAAACTACATACTTTCTACATAAAACACATCTGCTGCTTTCTCATGAACTTAATGGGCGTAATGAAAATTAACCTGCCAGGACTTTTTTATTTTATTTTATTTGATCACAAACTACATTTAACAAAACATTCTACTATGATATACACTACCGTTCAAAAGTTTGGGTTTAGTACATTTTTTTTTTCTTTCAAATAAATAAAACTTTTGTTCAGAAAGGATGCAATAAATTATTTAAAATTGAGAGTAAAGACATTTATAATGTTACAAAGATAAATGCTGTTCTTTTGAACTTTCTATTCATTGAAGGATCCTGAAAAAAATGTATCATGGTTTCCTGGAAAATATTAAGAAGCACAACTGTTCTCAACATATCATTCCTTTGCATCAAAGGAATAAATTACATCTTAAAATATATTAAAAGAACTTTTTTATTATTATATTAATATTTCACAACATTACTGTTGTTTAGATCAAACAAATGCAGCCTTGGTAAGCGTAAGCATTTTCTTTAAAAACAATAATTAAAAAAACGAGTTAATTTTTTTTTAACTTTAGTCTAACCTAAAATCTAACCTAAACTTTTGAATAGCAGTGTAAACCAACAAAGATACTTGTAATTTAAATAATATTTATTTCCCCGCATAACAGTCGGCTACTGAGAAGTATAGGTTATAGGTGCTTAAATGACATGGGGGAAAAACTTGGTCCTAAAAATAATATTTATACAAAATCATTTATTTTCTTCTTTTGACTTTGGGATGAAAAATGACTTGCAGAGATGCACCCAGTGGTACTTACAAAAAAGAGACCTACCTCAATCCATCATGGAATAGAACAAAAAAAAAAAAAAAAAATCGCTTTCCCAAAATAAACAAAACCTCTTCCGAGCATGGGGATCTGACTTTAACCCCCAAGAGAAATCTCTCTCCCCCTCCCATCTGACAGATTCATTTACCCTAGTATCCTCTAACTCCCTCTGGAGTTTATCTGCTTTGGTCTTTTCAAACAGAAGACTCTGTTCGAGCTCCTTAATGTGGGCATGCTCCAGTTTGGTCTGCGTCTGTTAGTAGACAGAACAGGAAAAGAGAGACAACACCAACGGCGCGGGTCACATGCCAGCCAAAAGCCAAGTACGAAGAGCTTCATGCAGATCTTGACATCATCCTTTCTCTATGAATGAGGACAAAGACAGCAGTGACACACACACACACACACAGGGCGGCGTGAAGACGGAGGATCGCATTTAAAAAAAAAAACAAGAACACAAAGACATGAAACAAATGTGAAAGGCTCAAAGAGCCGGCAGATGAAAGAGACATGGAGGGTGTCAATAATAAAAGAAGGAATGAAGGAATGAACGTTTGAAAGTGATAAAAGATGAAAAGAGAAGAATGCACTGATGAAAGAGTGAATGAATGAACAAATAAGGGGAATCAAGCATCAAAGAGTCAATGCTCTAACAGGCACAAAGTGATGCACTGTTTGTCAATGAATGATTAAATGATCTATCTATCTATCTATCTATCTATCTATAGTTGTAGTTGAAACAAGTCTATCTATCTATGTATCTATGTATCTATCTATCTATCTATCTATCTATCTATCTATCTATCTATAGTTGTAGTCGAAACAAGTCTATCTATCTATCTATCTATCTATCTATCTATCTATCTATCTATCTATCTATCTATCTATCTATCTGTAGTTTTAGTCAAGACAAGTCTATCTACAGTTGTAGTCACAACAATTCTATCTATCTAGAGTTGTAGTCTCAAGTCTATCTATCCATCCATCCATCCATCCATCCATTGTTGTAGTCACAAGTTTATCTATCTATCTATCTATCTATCTATCTATGTATCTATCTATCTATCTATCTATCTATCTATCTATCTATGTATCTATTGTTTTAGTCAAGACAAGTCTATCAATAGTTGTAGTCAGTAGTCACAACAATTCTATCCATCTAGAGTTGTAGTCTCAAGTCTACAATATCCGTCCATCCATCCATCTATTGTTGTAGTCACAAGTTTATCTATCTATCTATCTATCTATCTATCTATCTATCTATCTATCTATCTATCTATCTATCTATCTATCTATCTATCTATCTATCTATCTATCTATCTATCTATCTATCTATCTATCTATGTATCTATTGTTTTAGTCAAGACAAGTCTATCAATAGTTGTAGTCAGTAGTCACAACAATTCTATCTATCTAGAGTTGTAGTCTCAAGTCTACAATATCCGTCCATCCATCCATCTATTGTTGTAGTCACAAGTCTGTCTATCTATCTATCTATCTATCTATCTATCTATCTATCTATCTATCTATCTATCTATCTATCTATCTATCTATCTATCTATCTATCTATCTATCTATCTATCTATCTATCTATCAATCTATCTATCTATCATTGTAGTCACAACAAGTTTATCTATATATCTATCTATCTGTAGACAGTTGTGGTCACATCAAGTCTTTCAATCAATCATCTATCTATCTAATCTATCATCTCTTGAAAACAATATTTATTTTTCTGATATCTACGTATCTCCTGTGAATTTGTTTTGTTAAAAGTGTAAACGATACTGATAATTTCTGCATGAACACAAACTGATCTGTGACAGGTGACTACGCTGGTTCCGGCATATTGGGTTTCTCTCGATGTAAACGTATATGATAGGGTCACTTTACCTCTAGGTCACCTTTGGTAATATAAGCCTCCTCTACACGGAACTGCAGGTCCTCCACTTTTCTGTGGGATAAAAAGTACACTTCAAGGTTTCTTAACACAATCACATGAACTTGCGAGTTCTTTTGCAATAATCAAGCAATATATAAAGTATTTTTAAAGATGACCTTTTTTCCTCTTCCAGTTGATTCATCAGCTCCACTTTATCTCGGTCTGCAGTCTCCACAAGTCTCCGCAACTGGTCCAACTTGGCTTCCATCTCGTTGGCGTACTTCAAAAACACATGCAAAATTTTAAGATTCAGAACACCATGCAATACGTGTGCATCTAAAGGTGGTGACCTTTTTGAGCAATGTTGGCAACAGGCAACCAGGTGAGACCCATCAAAAATATCCAGATAAAAACTTGTTGCCCATTCTCAATAGGAAAGTGCCCAAGCAACATTGCCCAGAAATCTTGCTCAAAAAGTTGCCCAGTGTATCATCACCTTTAGAGTCTGGTTATAAAGGGGTCATGAACTGGCTTTTAAAATGTTATCATATTGTTGTCTGAGGTCAGCTTATGACGTTCGCTTGGTTTTTACATTCAAAAACATTAAAATGAATAAGTAATAGGCTATTTTCTACCCTAGTTTTGAGCCTAGCTCAAAAACGCTCAGTTTTTATGGGCGTCTCACATTGAAGACTTGAAAGTAAACACCCACTGCTGTGAGTGGATAACAGTTTCGCATATTATAATGAGTTTCAACTCACTCGTCGTGCACGTGGGGGAAATTGTTTTGAAAACGTCCAATGTTGTAAAATGGCAACCGGAATGATTCGCCCATACATGTTCGACCCAGAGTCCGTGTGTTGCACAATGGGCTCTATGCACGGCGTTATTTCCGGTGAAGGATTAAGGATGCTCGATAACTTCCGCCGATCATAGAGTCCAATGCAATACCGAGAATTTATATTGAATTTTATACTCCATGGTTATACTAATGAAACGTTAGTCACAAAAACAGATAAAACAGACACCCCTCGTTGTGTTTATGCTTCTTTTTAAAATTATATTAAATAAACATAACTATATATAAAATTACATCTAAACGTATGTACGTTTCGTTTCAAAGACGGGAGGACAGTAAATATTGAAGACTCTGCCATAATCCCGTTTTCTCCGGTTTTCCTCCGCTTTAATCTACACAACCGGAAATGGACGAGCATCCTTACGTCAAATGCGGAACTTATGCGTGCATATAGCCCATTCCTGTCGGATCCAATATAGCAGGCACAGCACCGTTCTTTACTCTTAATCGGTCTGCAAATCCAGTTTAATAGTTTACAAAACAATCCTCAGTGAAATGAAGCTAACAAATGGACAATGTTTTACCTCATCAGCTGGAACGTCATTAAAAAAAAGTTTATCCATGCAGTCCTATTGGAATCCAGAGGAAGCTCATGCAGCGACTGTCTTCTTCCACAAACAGACGCTGCACAATATTCTGTATTGCTCGGTAGCTCGATCCGCTTTGTCATCACGAGGTAGGCATCTATGTCATTTAGCTATGCGTGTAATGCGCGAATCGGTGGGCGGGGCTAAACCGGCCGTGTTGAAGTAGGCGTTGATCTTCTTCTGCGGGGGTGGTGTTTTATCCTCTTTGACGTCATAGTTCCCCACTTTTAAAAATGAGTCGTTTGCTGAGGCTGGTGTCTAAAAGCTTTTATTGGACTAATGGTACGTTCACACCGGACGCGAATAGCGTGTCAGGCGCGAATGATTTAAATGTTAAGTCAATGCAAAGATGCAAAGATGCGTTACGCGCGTAAAAAATTCCTGCGGCGCAAATGAGGCGTGGAGCGCGGCGTGGAAGACGCCTCATTCGCACGTCAAGTTTGCGCGAATGCCGCAAATTGAGCGTCTGCCGCGTTAAGCGCGTTATGCACGAAAGATATAGTTAGTGCCATTTGTGCATTCACGTGTTTGACGCGAATTCGCGTCTGCCGCATGAAAAATCTGACCTTTGGCGTGAATTCGCACCGCGTTAACCAATCAGAAGCCTAGCTGCTTGCTCACGTGGTGAAGCATCTGGATGCTTCAATAAATTATTTTGTAATATGACTAAATGCATGGTGGGATTATGCACAACAAAGCAAATATTTTATCACTAAAAACATTATTTCTATATACGAGACATGTTCATTTTGTATTGAATGTTATTCATTCCATATCTAGATTATATGAAATAGTATTATGACGTAAAGACAACCAACATATGTGCATAAGTTCATGTCTGGACGTGAGAGGAAAAAAAAAAAAGAAAAAAAAAAAATCACAGGACAGGTTAATAACTTTTGGAAGCTGGCTCTATTTATCATCAAAACAAAAATAAATGACAGCTAGATTAGATGGATGAGGGCGAGGGTGATCCTCGCTCCGATGCGGGACAACATGTCATCAAACTGGGCGTGGGACAGGCGGAAGTACCGCTGACAGCGGCCGTCATCCAGCATGCTCCTGGAGAGAGCAAATGGTGAAACTAGCCAAATGGTTCGCCTCCGAAGGGTCCAGAGGATACAAATATATGGCGACGATGATCCCCACACCACTGTTCTGCTCTCCAGAGTAAATACAGAGCGGTGAGTCTCTCCGTGAATGCTCGGCCGCCAACGGATTTTGATTCTGATGCGCGTAAATTTCACTTCAAACTTTTGTTTTACACGCGTTAGTTTCACTCTTGACACGCGAATTAACACAAAGTGGTCAGGCGCGAATTTGACGCGCAATTCGCGTCCGGTGTGAACGTAGCATAACAAGGATGTTTTCAGTTCTGAAACTTACAGGATTTTCTTAAAATATGATGACTTCTTAGATGTCAAAAGCTCAAGGAAAATTTGATTTCTCAGTTCATCACCCCTTTAATATCAGAAAACTGCTCACCTGTTCCTGGCCCTGTCTGAGCAGTGCCAGCTCTTGCTGCACCTCTCCAGCATGGCTTGTGGCTCGTGCCACTTCCGTCCTCTCCATGTCCCGCTCAGCCAGGAGCTGCTCGATGTGCTGCTGCTTCTCCTTCAGGGCCTCCTGCAGGGCCGTGGTGCCTGAGATCTTCCGTGCGTACCGTGCAGACGTCTCTGTGAGCTGAGAGATTATTGACAGGTTTTATTTCTAATAATATATGGAGAAGAACATATACTGTGAGTGAAAGGAGCAGGACTGTACCAGGCCCGCTCGGCTGGGTTTGCCTCCTACTGAGGAGGTGACAGAGCTGAGGGAGCTGACAGAAGATGCGCTCGGGCTGTTCTTTAGGGTCGACCTGCGCCTGGAGCTTTTGGATTTGGCAGTAGTGGTGGACGGGAATCCGATGCGTGTGACTTTGTGCGTAGGAGCGAACAGTCCATACTTTGGGAGGCACTGAAAATACCTGTGAGAGTAAAGCATAAAAATAGATAAATATTCCCTAATCAAGATGTGCCAAGCTGATAGACTCATGTCCAAACAGAGTGCTGTAATAAAATCAGGGTGTGCACACTTATGCAGTTAGTTATTCCAAATTTGTATTTAGATTTTATTTTTTTTTCTATGAAAACTGTCACTTTGGTTTTCAGTGGCATTGCATAGGTTGTGATTTTTACATTAAATATGCAAAAGTTTTGATATGACTTGTCTTTGTTTCATTTTTTACATCACACACAAAAAAAATAACGTTTTAACAGGGGTGTGTAGACTTTTTATATGCACTCTAGACTCTACTTACAGTACACTTCCCATAAAGACAGTTCAACTAAAACTAACATGCGATTACCAACTCGTTTTACTTCTGTAATGTAATATTTCAGAGCGAAACAGGACATTTTTATTATAGAGGGTATGCATGTGACATCACTGTCTGGAGTGAATGTGGTTACACCGACTGAGTGGCAGCATTGGTTTTCAGTGAGAATGCCGAAAAAAACACACAAAACACATCTAAAACAGGAAAAAGCTTTGAGATTGACTGAACAAATAGATTTGCCAAGAAATCTGAAGTATATTTTAACAGACTGCCAAAAGTTACAGAAAAAATAAGGAAATGGATCGCTGCGATTCACAAAAACAACCCACCCAGACAGCAAAATATAGATTTGCAGTTATCATTTTTTGTCAATATGTTGAATTCTGGGGTAAAATCATTTCCTATATTGTTATATTTTGCATTGACAACTCAACAAATAAATATCTGCCATCTTATATTCAGCATAATTGGTAACTATAAAGGTTTTAGGGCTGGACGATATGACGATATATAACATTGATATAAGTGCTGAAGTGCCTATATAGAGTGCCGAACCGATGACGTCACTTTGTGGGACAACTCGGAAGCTAGCAACGCATGGTTTCCCTCGATCGAAAAGCTTTGCCTTTTCCCCATAGACTTTTGGAAAATCACAAAAAATAAGATAAGTAAGTTGTGACTCTTGTACATTTTATTTATCAAGATCTATATAAAGTTTTTTAAAAACACAAGCAGACAAAATAAAGTTTAAAAAACCACAAGCAGGTTATAACTGTGTGTTCTATGTCATAGATCAAAATGTGAAAATATTTAGAGGCTTTGTTCACCACAGACCTTATTTCAGGCGATTTATTTTTTAGCAAAAACCCATTGAAAAACCCCATAGACTTTAGAGCGAGGGAACCGGTAGTGCTAAAATGCTAACTCACTTCAGCGTTTTGGCCTACAGAGTGACATCGTAACTTCGGCACTCTATTGTATTTATAAAAAGCGTTCACAAGCGAATTTGCTTTATGTATTTCCCAGACGTCGAAATCAGGCATATATAAATATCAGGCAAGCATGATTCCTGGCTGCAAGTCAATATCAATGGATCACTGGAAAATTGGTAGTTGTAGTTGATTCATCGTTCGTTTTACTTGCATTTTCACAGTTTTCCCTATTAGATCCAGTCATGCATCAGGCTCTTTGGGAACTGAACATGAAAAATGAAGCTATTTAACATACTGTACAGTTGGGGGAAAAACAAGTAATCTCACATGCCTTTTCAATGGCTTCTCAACAATGTCTCAAAACTTTAGTTTCTTAAGAATATGCTAAGATTCAGCCAGATAAGCATAAATGTTTTATAAATGTCCTGTTCTCACAGGTTGTTCTCTTGTGTAATTTTGACAAATTGTGGCCTTACCTTACACCAGCCACTGCCCCATCATTCTTGCCAAGAGGCTCGTCCAGCTCAACGCCACACCATTCACCTTTCGCGAAGTCAGTTTCTCCCAGGAAGCGCACAACACCTGCCTTGGATCCTGCAACCTAAGGAATGGAAGCAAAACATTCCCTCAAACTTCCCTCAAGGAGCCACTAAAGTGTGAAGAAGACAGACCAGATACGGGCCTCACCAGCACACGATCACCCAGCTTCATGTCCCGCTGTAACTTCTTGGCCGAATCCGTCTCAGACATATTGGAGGCAGACTCGCTGGTGGCCCTGGTGAGGTTTGATGAGGACTTGGTGGTTGCAATAATGGTTTGAGTGACAGGAGCAGGATCTTTGGCAGGGGAGGCAGACGACTTGTTGGCGGGAGTCTGCGTGCCATTGGTCTCAAGCTCTGCCACGGGAGTACGAGAGAGTTTGGAGGGCCGAGTAAATATGCCTCGCAAGTCCATACACTGGAAGTAGCGCACTCCAGACACAGAGCCATCGTTCTTCCCGATGGGCTCGTCTAGAACTATTCCTGCCCACTGGCCTGGTGCAAACTGAGTCCCTCCGATGAACTGCACAGAACCGGGTTTATTTCCGTTGACCCAGACACGTTCGCCAACAGAGAAATCTGACGGCGCATCTTGGCCGCTATTGGAGGTCGGAGATGTTACAGCCTTGGCACCAGCTGCAGTCAGCAAAAATAAAGGCACGTCATGTGTGAATCAGTGCATTTAATATGTAACCCATAGGTTACTCACCTGAGGTGGGCGAGGTTTTGGTTGGCGCCGAAGCTGGTTTACCAATTTTGGTGGGTGGTTTGAGACCACTTGGCTTCCCCGTACTCATTTTCCCTGCTTTATGCACACATGTGCTATTCCTGCAGGGCCTGGAAATACGTCAACCCTCCTTGACCAGATAGGATTCCCTGACAGAAGAAATGTTACTATAAGTAAAGCGTGCGATTGGTGTTTATTTGTTTTATTGTGTGATGATAATCCCCTAAAAACTCAAAAAGTACCTGTGTCCACCTTAGTCGTGAGGAAACAGAAATAGCAACAATTGTAACTGATTATCAAAAAAGAAAAAAGGTGGGAATTGGTTTTATTAATTAGTTGTTTATTGGATTTGCGGGTCTTCCGTGAGCATGCAGGGGCGGGGTTGAAGCAGATTAGCAATTATTGGCTAAAATTTAAGCAGACTAAATGATTGTGGAAGTCCTGCATACATCACAAAAGAGAAATTTACGATTAAATTACGAGGTCAAAAAGAAAATGAAACATATGAAAAGATAAATTGTTCACAATAAGCTCTATAGAACACGCATTTAGAAAATAAATAAGGTGAATTTTTATTTCAAGTAGAGTTTCATTTCAGGCACAACCATTTTTAACATGAATATGTAAAAAGCTTCCGTTCTTCCGGAGCAACTTCTATTTCATCATGCCAACTTTAATACATGACATGTTAAAAACCATTATCATCAAAGTGGAATACATGGCATTACTATGGTACTTTTTTGGTGACTGTTGGAGGGAAAATAAATATTCGTATTATTTTATATTATTAACAATTATCAAATAACTAACTATGGTACTTTGGTGGGAACTGTTGTTACCATGGTAACCATGGCTATTTGTGTCGGTCAATGACAGTTAATCCTGAGTACAAAATCATTTATACTTGCGCTAATCCACATAATGACAGTCCATGACGACACACAATAAAAGTTAACGGTAACACAGATAACTTTAAAAAAAAAAAAAAGTACCATGGTACTACATTGACAGTAAGTTAACGTTACCATGTATTTGTGTACTGTATACCATGGTATTACCCACTGAAAATCCCTCTAACTTACCATGGTAATACCCAAGCACTTTTAGTGACAAAAACCATAGCACATAGCATCATTGTTTACTTTATTATTGAATAATATACCACTGGTTATTTATTTTAGTTTAAGCATGAGTTAAATAAAGTTATCTATACTTTTGCTTATTAACTAAATATTTTTTTTTTAAGTATGCCATTAATGCAATCAGCGATTTTGATCAATTTGGACTGAATTGTTAAAAGAACAAAATGTGATTGTTGTTGTATATTTATTCAACCGAGCTAACGACCAACCAAACGATAACTGTCAACACGATAAATTACATGAAAACTATCCAATAATTTCACATAATATCCTTCTAAACAAATATATGAAAGTCTGTTTTTAGTCTCAAATTTAGTATATTTGTGTTTCTACGTGGCTGCGAGTTCTCATCATAACAAACTGTCTGCTAGCCGACATTAGCCAGAGGAGCTAATCCTTTAAATGCAACACACATGAGCTCAATACAGTGAGATTTAAGTTAGAGAGTATAAAGTGATCATATTATTTTACCTGAACCGTTTTAATGTCAAGCATGCCTCCGTGATAAGGAAAATAAAGGGGATTTCTTGTTTGTCTGGATGATGATCTCACACTAGGGATGATGATGGGTGAGGCAATTCAACACAAAGCTGCACCCAAACACTTTACAGTGACTTTTGACACATCCATATAATGTAAATTACCGGGATATAGACCAATTAAAATGAGCCTTATCAGAAAAGGGTGGAAAATGCATTTATGCATAGATGCATGAAGATTTTTGCATCAGAATATCTTTGATTTTAAAACATTTGAAATGTCTTGCTGAGGAAAAATAGAAAAAATGTGTTGACCTACGATACAAAAAAAGAATAGCTTTGAGTCAGAATTGGGTGATATTGTTTCAGAAACAATTTAAGTAGAGAAAACATTCATTTGTTATTTAATTATGGTGAATGAATGTGGCCAAAATGTGTCAGTGGTCTGTGGCGCCCACTTGTGGTAGCATCGGAATGTTATCAAAAATGTTCAACAAAAAACATGAACATTAAAATTTTTCCTTGTCCCGTTTTTATTTTCCATTTAATTTTCTACCTTTCCAATAAAGATTTGGTAATAATTAAATAGCTGCAAATTGATACCAGATAGAAGTTGATTAATAAACTTCAAGTATATAATTTTAGTATGAATATGTTAGTCCTACTGTTATCTATTAGCTAGTGTGCTCCAAAACAATGAAAACATTTTAAACTATATAAGAATTCAAAACAAAACTCACTTCCGCCAATATGGATCAAAGATTTTGATCCCATCACTCTACTACAGTTCAGTTTCTCATCAGTTTTTCTGTCCAATCAAATGCTGTCAAGAATCTGAAGAGTTCCGCCCTCTACATTATAAATAGACACATCGGTCATTTGTTTACACTTGTATTATTTTCAACTTGGTGAATGGCACATATGCACTATATAGGGAACGATTCAGACAGTGTACTGATAATTTTAACAAAGAGAACCTTGTTGTAAAGTTATGTTAAATTGGCTTTATGCACAGCTGCACTACTTCCTGAACTTAAGCCAGCTCTTTGTTTCCTGTCTGTCATTATTGGCCAAATTGATTAAATCAGGTGTGCCTGACCTCAGTAGTCACGGCAACTATAATCAGACACACCTGAATTAATCAAGTTCGGCCAATAATGGCATACAGAAAACAAGGAGCTGGCTTAAGTTCAGGGAGTAGTGCAGCTGTGGATAAGGTCAATTATGGTGCAATGTTAAACCCTATATCTCAAACAAATTCCACATTTACTTGACACAATCAGACTCTTAAAGGGCAAGGTGGGCAACTTTAGATACTTACTTTGTGTGTGGGGACACCTCAGAGAGCACAGCAGTGTGCAGTGCAAGAATTAGCGGCAGCAGAGGAACCCCAGAGAAATGGGAGACTCCAAGGCCATCAAAGGCCATTCAGATGATGATGACTCTCAGATCTCAGAAGAGCTCACGATCACCTCTACTGACGGTCCCGAGAATGAGACCCAGCACAATGTGAACGTCCAGAAAAAGCGCAAGAGAAAGAAGCCATTTGTTCTGTTCACCTGGGTGGAGGAGAAAGTCAAGAAAAGGAAGGAGAAAGAAATAATCAAGGAGAGGGAGCGACGAGATAAAGAGTTGCTGCTTGAACGCTACATGAACGAACCGAAAACTGAAGCACTTGGATCAACAAGCACAACCGCAACTACAAATCCTCCTAATGCAGATCATGGTCCCCCTTTACCTTTAACCTGTGTAAATAAATAAAAAGTGTGCAAACTAAAAGTTGAAGGATCCATGACTCTTCCTGATTAAGACAAGTAGAATATGAAGTGAATCAATTTGAACTCATTTGAATAATGGTTTAGCTAGAACAGCAGCAGAAAGTGAATAGGGAGAGCGAGCGGGGGGCAACCTAAAGTATAAATTTTTTTCCACATTAATTTCCCACATGTCTAGTACAATGATGTGGTTTTGTTTTTTTTAATACGGTGTATACTTTTTTCTTGATTTACCCTGAAAGAATGGAAGTGAAATGTGACAACATGCCCCATTGGTGGGGTACATTGTAACATGTGAGGGGTATATTATAACATCACCATGACAGCTTAAAATGTTATCTCATCTAATCAAAAACATGTACAATTCAAACCAAAATATTTTCTTAATAAAATACAATTATTAACTTTTTCATATACAATAATGACATTTTTTTAATAATTAAAAATAAACTAATTTTTGAGTTTGACGACAAATACACCGGATATACAGCATAGTTCAAAACTAAATACTAATGAATAACTTCTGAACATTGATTCTCAGTCTTTATTGACATGTTTCTCATGTTTTCTCAATATAATTCATTAAGTATAGAATATAATAGCATATTTCTAATAGGGGCACATTGTAACACAGTGTTACAACATGCCCCAACTGCACAAGCTCTGCTAGTGTCTTCTGCTAAGAACTATATCAACTGTTAAACAACAGATTAGAGATTAAAATAAGGTCAGATTTGTCTAATTTTAAATAAACACAAAAAATAGAGATGAAAAATTAACTTAAGAAATGTACTTTTGCTATGGTTAAACAAATGTTCAGTGATATCTTCCAAATTTTAGCACAATTATTTCTCTATGTAGTTTTGAAATGGCAACTAGTAAGTACACCAACACCAAGTTTCGTCATGCTGTGGAAGTATTTAAAACAAGCGTGTTACAACTAGCCCTGCGTTACTTTGTGCCCGCGCTCCCCTAATTCAATGCAGTTCATAACAGTGGAGTTCACTACATTATATGATGGGAAATGTTTAATGTTTCTTGTCTGCTGTTGGCAACAATGCACGTCTCATTCAGAGCCAAAGACTGCACACTTCATGTGATCATATGTGAAAGTAAATACATTTCATTTGTCTAAAAGATGTGTTAATGAGACTAGTAAAACTACAAGGATGAAAAGCAAAGGAGGTGGCATCCTTCTTTCAACCAATTCCTTCAAAATAGCCAAACATACTAATTTATTTAACTTAGCAAATGACTGTAGGCCTATTTATGAATGGATGGCCTAATAGCTCTTTCACGTAATTTGATTTTTAAACAGGGTGTGGTGATGGCGCAGTGGATAAGACACATCCCTTTGGTGTGAGGGACCCAGGTTCGAATCCACTGTGAGACACCAATGTGTCCCTGAACAAGCAGTACACTAGTATTCCATTATACGGATATAGCTGATGGCTCTATTTACTCTATTGTCTGTCATTGATCTCAGAGTTTTTTGTCTTTGCATAACTTTAAAAAATAAATAAAAATAAATTGCAGGGTTTACAGGATTGGTCATTCTGAGATGCTTCACCTTCATTAGGAATACAGTGTTGTAATGCGGTTGCACATGATGTTCTGAGAGATCAGTGCGTTGCTATGCAGTTGCTGGGGTATTCTTGGTGGTTTTTAGAGTGTTGTTGCTGGGGTGTTCTGGGTATTTTGATCTTGTTAAGTTCAAAAGTAACACTCTAAATTGGGAAACAATTCTCACACAGTTAAGTTCAGACTACAGGAGTTTTAAATCCTTACCGATTGTAAAATCATGCTGCATGGATGCAAAGCCGGGGACACACTTAACGACTGTAAGGCCCGTTATGAATGTAATTTGATAGGCTAACTTACAACTGATCAGGAGAATCATACAACTTTTTTTCTCTCAAATCTCAAATAGGCTACAGGAATACACATTATAGATGTGTTGTTACAACACTTCCACACGTCGTATTTATATTTATATAGGATTTATATCGTTTTTACCTCTCGTAATCATAGCCATGACAAAATGATCTGACGGCACGGGCGCTTCGGTCTGCGCATGCATGCGCCGGAAATGATCACTTGCGCGCCGACGTCACTCTTTATTTATACAGAGATTTCAGAAGTTTTACCGTTTACTAAACATATTTAGATATACCAAAATAGGTTTCCCGTATATCTAAATATGTTTAGTAAACGGTAAAACTCCCGAAATCTCAGTGTAAATATTGAGTGACGTCACACGCAAGCGATCACTTCCGGCGTAACATTGAACTGATTCAGTTCGGTTCAGTTGGACATTGCACAACTGATTCAGATCACTTGGACGTCACTGTGATTACACGAGGTAAAAACGATATAAATACTGTTCGTTTTCTCACACAAACCGCTCGTTTCGTGTCTTAGGCCATCAATGTGTACTTACATTTACGAGTCATTAAATCGTGTTTAATTTTGACTTCTCTGTGCATGCTCTTTGGTGGACCCCCTTAGCCTCCAGATAGACAACAACGGTTTGACTGAAAAATGTCAAAATTGAAAATACTGTGGAAACAAAGACACCTACATCTTGGATGCCCTTGATGAGGTAAGCTAAAACATATCAAAAATTAATTTCAAAGTGAACTATCCCTTTAACTAAAAAATGTTGGTTTAGGGTTTAGTACCCTTTAAGAGCTGCTCAGTGATCACTGCAGAGTCAAATGACGTCCAGCTCCACCTCTCTGGACTTGCATTGGTCAAATGGCGCTATCACCACCAGTGTTGCCAAGTGGGATTCCTTTTACAGTGTACACTGTTTCCGTGGGTTGCTTTTTAATAGAAATTGGCTTGGTTGTGTTACGCAAACCTGGCAACTCTGATCGCCGCAATATTACCTAATTTTTAGACCACTCCTACTGTATTCTGAACCAACCTGAACCCATGGCCTTCGCAAAGCATGCCATGCAGATATATTCCTCGAAAATAATTAAAACATTATCAAGCAGTTATTTGCATGCATAGATGCGCGCCTGGTGTTTTCATAAAGGTAATCCAATATTAACACCCCAATTTTAAGAGGGACTCTGAAATACACGGGAATAACAGGAAGGATTCTGATTCCGTAAAGGATTTGCGTGCAATCCAAAACATCTCGTGTAGATAAGGTAAGATGCACAAAAAGCTTGATTTGACTTAAAGGGATACTCCACCCCGAAATGAAAATTCTATCATCATTTACTCACGCAATCATGTTGTTGCAAACCTGTATGAGAAAAAACCTGTATTAGTTTTTTTTTCTTTTCTGCTGAACACAAATTAACATATTTTGAAGAACGATTTGAACCAAACAGTTGTTTGACACCATTGTCTTAAGTAGGAAAAAAAAAGTCAATGGTGCCCCACAACTGTTTTGTTCCAGTCGTTCATCAAAATATATATTTGTGTTCAGCAGAAGAAAGAAAAAAACATACAGGTTTACAACAACTTGAGGGTGAGTAAATGATGACAGACTTTCATTTTTGTGTGGAGTATCCCGTATCCAGCCATAAGAGCCTCACAGATGTTTATTTTTTTAGGAGACTATTCAAATGTATTGATGCGTTTCATCGTATTATTTTACATACACAAAGAAGAATAACCATTTTATATGCACCGTGCAAAAGCACCGTGCCATCTTGTTTAATGTTTTGCCCGCATCCACAATGAAGAACACATGCAAATAAATGAATGGGCGACGCTTTTTTCATATTTTGTCAACAACAAAAAAAAAGTTTTTTTTTTTTTTTTTACATTTTAATTCAGATTAGCCGTTTAGAATGTTGCCAAAGGAATACTAATAAAACGTATAGCCACACACAACAAAACCATGGAATCACAAAATGCAACAAGCGATTTCGAGACCAAGCAATGAGTTAAATCATTTAAAGGCACAGCATTTTAAAATTATTTGATTAAAATATCCACAAAATAAATAGAACAATATGTTTTTAATTTATGTAGGCTAATTTACATTATCCGAAATATTTCCAACAATGTTTAAATCCAGAGAAATCAGCTATTTTTAAACAGTGTCCTGTGTCATTGCGTCATTCAAAGGTAATCGACTCGTTGACGACACAGCTTATCGCTCATTGGGTTAGAACAATCGTAACATCGTCTCTGCGTCCAAAATTGAATGCAATAGAGCATCACAGTCCCGCCCAAAATTCAATACAATTTCTCCATTGACAGTTGGGGTATAAGCCATAAAAACGTAACCATGTATGAAAGACTTAAAACCAGCTACGGCTGTACTAAGTGATTGTATATGCTCATATAAACGCCAAAAGTTCTTGGGGCACTAACCTTGTTTTAAGATAAATGCCTTTTATTTGCGATGTATTGGATAAGTTCTTCATTACCCACAATCCTGAGCAATCCCACAGTGATGCATCTGATTGGTGGAAGTCGTGTAACGTGTCTGGTTTAACCCCGCGAAGGTCCGTGAAGACTGAAGATCGTGTAATGACGTAGGTCTAGTTCATTGGTCGCACGTCAGAGGCGCCTGCACCATTGGATGTGCAGTTGCCGCAGCACAGCCTATGAGTGAGCGTTGTACATTTAAGCTTCAGTAAATCGAGGAAAAGGAGTTTCCCTGCACATTTACTATATAATTCACTGGATGAAAAAGTTCACATGGCCGTCGTCAGATTTCGAAGTCACTCAAAAGGCTCTTTCGCGGTTGTGGCTTCAGTCGACTTCAGTGAAGCGCGGTGGTTTATGGGATGAGTAGTTCCTTCGCTCGGAAATGAAAATATGTACGCAATCTTGTACCTTTGACTTTTTTGGGATTTTCTCTTCGTTTTTTCACTCGAATTTCACTTGAATGCTTATGAGTTCAGCCGTAGCTGGTTATCCTCAGACATGCTCTCTAGTCTAAAACTCTTTAGATACGGATTTTCCAAAATGTAAATGGGAGAAATGAATGGGAAATTTACTTCCGGCACCAAAGCTGTGGGCGGGACTGTGAAGCTCTATAGTACGCCAAAAGAGTAGTGTTGAAGGACCCGGATAACCTACTACTTTTAAACCCTTTAAACATCATGCTTTTAAAACTACTTCAAACTTTGACATTTAAAACATAAAACATTTTCTTGGCAAACTTTGTCTAGTTTAATTCATTAATTATCCATGAACACTCTTTGCACTCTAACAGTGACATCTGTATAGAATATTATTTTAACCATATTGCTGTAAATAAACAAATTGATAGAAAAGATATAGATTTAGTTTAAATTTAATTGTTGTTAATACACTTTCAATAGTACATTTCAAGGGCCTCAATTGTTTTCATTGCCGGCTAATGACATCTCTTATCCTTATCATTTGACACACAAACCATCACTAGCTTTAAATAAAAGTGTCATCTTTGAATTTTAATAGTAAAGACACCAAATTGTTCTTCCAAAGTGTTTTTCAACATGTTTCACTGTTTTAGTATCAGTGCACATTTTGATCCTAACAAGTATTACAAATTAAATGATAAATGTGGCTTCCCTTTGGACCTTGCTTTCAGTTCAATCTGTAGCTGCATAATGAAGAGACGGTTTAGTGTTGTGGAGTCCCTGGTTCGTTTATTTGAATCCAGAGAAGAGGAAAGACATGCAACCCTTCATTCAAGTGATGGATGCATGGAAGAAAGATGTTCAACCCAACATACAAGTGATGGATGCATGGAAGAGGAAAGAGATGCGACCCCACATACAAGTGATGGATGCATAGAAGAAAGAGATGCGACCCCACATTCAAGTGATGTATGCATAGAAGAAGAAAGATGTGCGACCCCACATTCAAGTGATGGATGCCTGGAAGAGGAAAGAGATGCGAACCTACATTCAAGTGATGGCTGGATGGAAGAGGAAAGATACCTGGAAGGAGAAGCTGAGCCAGAGGAGGAGCTCTTCGATCAAGCTTCTGAAACAGAGGACAATACAGAATTCGACCCAGACTACCACTCTACTGATGGAGAAGAGGAAGAGGAAGAGGATTGTCCTGAGGTGGAGGCCGCTTACCAGTCCAAAAACGGGAACATATTGTGGACTTCAACAAGTCCTTCAGAGAGAGGGAGAGGGAGAATACCATCTCATCGTGTCATCAAAATGACCCCTGGACCAACCAGGCTTGCATGTTCCTATGCCAAAGACATAATATCAACATTTGAATTGTTTTTCCCAGATGACATTAAAAAGATTTTGATTGGAATGTCCAATTTAGAGGGGAAACGAGTGTATGGTAAAGCCTGGAAGAACCTGGACTGGACGGACATACAGGCCTATTTGGGTCTGTTGATTCTGGCGGGCGTGTATCGATCCCACCATGAGGCTTTGAGTAGCTTATGGAACGGTGTGTCGGGAAGGCCAATTTTTCCTGCTACCATGACTTTGAATAATTTTAAGATGATGTCAAGGATCTTCTGCTTTTATAGAAGGGGTACAGGGCCTGGCCTACAGAAAGATGACAAGCTGGCACCAGTAAGGGACATCTGGGAAAAATGGGTCCAACGCCTGCCGCTCTTGTACAATCCAGGCCCGAGCGTCACTGTAGACGAGTGCCTGGTCCCTTTCAGAGGTCGCTGTCCCTTCAAACAATACATGCCGAGTAAACCGGGCAAGTATGGAATTAAAATCTGGGCGGCGTGTGATTCCAGCTCGAGCTACGCGTGGAACATGCAGATCTACACAGGCAAAGCTGCCGACAGAAAGCCAGAAAAGAACCAGGGGATGCGTGTGGTCTTGGACATGACATCCGGTCTCCAGGGACACACCATCACATGCGACAACTTTTTCACCTCGTATGCCCTCGGCGAGGAGCTGCTCCGAAGAAAAATGACCATGATCGGAACGGTCAGATTAAACAAGCCTGAGCTCCCACCTGCACTCCTGTCAGTCAAAGGAAGGGCCCGTTTGTCGTCCATGTTCGCCTTCACCGAGACGCACGCTCTTGTGTCCTACTGTCCCAGAAAAAATAAAAACGTGCTTCTGATGAGCACATTACATAGAGATGCCGCAATAAGCAACAAAGACCACAAGAAGCCGGAAATAATCCTAGACTACAACAAGACCAAAGGTGGAGTTGACACCCTTGACAAGGTATTTTACTACTTAGCATTATTTATATACGTTATTGGCATGAAATTAAAATCAACCCTATCTATCTACAGGGGTTGGACAATGAAACTGAAACACCTGGTTTTACAACACAATAATTTGTTAGAATGGTGAGGGCCTCATTTTGCACCCAAATACAGCACCAATTGACAGATAGAAGTCCTTCACAGTGACCAGAGGGATTATGAGCCGTTCCTCTTCCAGAACAGTGTCCAGGTCACTATATGATGCTGGTGGACTCGCTCCTCCAAAACACATCAATAATATTTAGATCTGGTGACTGTGCATGTTCAACGTCACTTTCATCTTCATCAAACCCTTCTGTCACAAGTCTTGCTGTGTGAGTTGGTGCATGATCATGGTGCATCAGGTGCTCATGATCCTCCAGAAGGGTTTGGTAGTCCTCGGCAGTGTCGTGTCCATCAAATACAATCAGGATTGTCTTGATATTGGAGCTCAAACCATCACTGATCCACCCGTGCTTCACTCTGAAGATTGGCCGCCAGGCATATGTGAAACCTCCAACATTGGCCAGTGTTTCAGTTTCATTGTCCAACCCCTGTAAATGTGTATGGTATATCTTATTTGTGAACAATTCATCAGTTCTGTTGAACCTGGATGTACACAATAGAGTTGAAAAGAGACCATTTTATCACAACTTTTAGGACAAATGTGTTTGAAGTGACCTGAATTGTCAGCTGATGATTAAAGCTTTTATGTTTTTTGCTTGTCATTTAACTTTCAGCTTGTTGGCACATACACCTGCCAAAGAAAGACAGTTCATTGGCCAATGGTTGTCTTCTTTAACATGTTGGATGTCTCCGCCTACAATTCACTTGTGCTCTGGACTGAAGTAAATCCTATGTGGAACCAAAAGAAGAACTTCAAAAGGAGACTCTTTCTGGAAGAGCTAGGAGAAGCTCTGGTGACTCCCTTAATGAAAAGACGGCTAACCATTCCCCGGACGCCAGCCTCTCAGAACATGGTAAAGGTGGCACAAGTAGGCTCTTCAGAAAATGAAGCCTCCCCCAAAAAGTTTGTGTGTCATAGAGTGATGGAAGCACGTGCCTGCTCTGCTGAAGTTAAAAAAACTGGCCTCTCGCCAGCCTCACCCCGCTCTAAGAGGAAGAGATGTCAGGTCTGTGAATCAAAAAAAGGCACAAAAACCAACATGACGTGCAGTAAGTGTAACATGTACATTTGCGGGTCACACGCTGTTATAACTCCTTACTGCTACCCATGCAACAAGCGAAGGAAGGTTTAAACAGGATTTGTCACTGCTTATGTGCTGTTTGTTTTACTCGACAAATGATTTTCTTGCTTTGCTCTTTAGTACGCTTTTGCTAATCTTGATTATTAATCCTTTTTTCGTGAGATTTTTAGTTTACTTCGTTAGAGTTACTAAATGTTGATACTTGATGTTTTAAATAAATGATATGACAAAATGGTGTGTACTCTACATCTTTTCATTCATTCTATCACTATTTTGTAACTGTTTGTGGCTTCACTGCAAAAACTGACACTTCGAAACAAGTGAATACAAACATGATAAATTGAAGAGTAGTAGTTTGTAATTGTAAGTATATCATAACTTAAGTATATATCCAAATTCAAAAGTTGTGTCTAGAAATGGAGTTTGTGAGAACATTTGGCCCCAGAGAACAGGCAACATGCATCACTGAAGCCACCTACTGGTTATGTTGCTGTCAGTTTTTTCAGCAGGTGTTTTCAAACACATACACAATATGACAGTTTAATGGAGCATATGTGTTTACTGCAAATCAAAACAATTATTTCATTATATTTAAAAATGAATGGTGTAATTTTAGAGGCAAGTTAAGTCTAAATACCATAAAACATAAAAAAAAAAAATGAACAGGACTATGATATTACTTAAGATTTCACCTAGCTGGAATTTGTATACATTTGTATTGCAACAAATGTTTCTGATGATAGGTTGCAGTTGTTTGATAGTAAACTTCAGTTACGTTTGCACTGGTTTGATGGTGCTTTAGCCCCCTACTGTATTCTGAACCTGCAAGCTATGGCTTTTGCATGCCGATATATTCCTTCCTCCACAATAATTAAAATATAAAGTAGTTATTTGCATGCATAATGCATTTTTTTCATCATTATTCTTTAAGAGAATTGTTTTCATTATTATTATTGTGTGTGTGTGTGGGGGGGGGTCTTTATTGCTAAGTTGATGGTCTGTATTGCTAAATTACAGCTAGATTACAACACTGTAGTCTGAAATTTCAATAATTTTTCATTGTATATTCGCATCGAAAATATTCTTCAGGTTCCTGTGTGCAACATCTGCATGACTGCATGTGCATCACCAGAGGGCGCGTGCTAATGCTGCATTACAGTGTAAATAATATGGTCATATCTGCAATTTCTGCACCCCGAATCCAAGGAAACAAAATAGATATTACAGTAATCAGTACATGGACGTTTCCGTCTGAATGCAGCGCTGGTGTTCTTGCTAATCTCATGCATCTGTTCCTCACGTTGAGTCTGCTTCTGAAATACACCGGGATAACGGAGGATTCCATAAAGGATTTGTGTGCAATCTAAAACATCTCGTGTAGACAAGGTAAGATTCACACAAAGATTTTATTCCAGCTACAAAAAAAAAAAAAAAAAAAAAAAAAAAAAAGCCTCACAGATATGTAATCTTTTTGGCGTTATTTTCTTTTTTTAAATGCCATGGCGCGTTTCGTCGTTTTTTGCACAAAGATCTCATGTGGATGGATTTGTTAACATTCCAGCTGCTGCCATTTTGTTTATTGTTTTAACCCCCCGGTTCGGTCGGTCATTTTAAGCAAATTTCAATTTTAACCATTTGAGCCATAGACTGGATTTGAGCACACTAAACATGGACTAGATTCGATAAGTCTTGGATGATTAAAAAGGCAAAATTTGACCGACAATTATATCGGTCTAAAACGGAGTACTTTGGGCAACGTGAGTTGTATTAAACTGTGATATATAAATAAAACAAACAAACAATTATTAAATACATTGTTAAATAAAATCAACTAATCAATCAGGCAAAATGCAAAACACTTACGATGAATAATGCTTTAATATTGTTTGGCATTGTTGTTTTGATTTGTCAATAAAAATCTGATTTAATCAAGTGGTGTTCACTGCAGAGCCATATGACATCCAGCTCCACCTCTCATGGGTTGGGTTGAGGGATAAAGTGGGGTTAGGGTGTGGTTAGACCGGGTTAGACCTTCTAGCTTCACCCAGAGCCATGTATTGCTCTGGCTTCACCCATTACACCCAAATTACATCCAGATAGGGGGAGCTGGACTTCACACTCCACCATGGCTCTGCACTGAGCAGCATCTCAATTTATTTGGCATAAAGTAGGAGTAGAACAGTGTTAACACAATGGCAAATGTGGGTATGTTTTTGCAGTGGTGGTGTGCAACACAGTCACTCCCTACTAGCCACTTTGACGGGTTGAATTTTGTATAATGTATACACATTTTTCATTTTTATTCTTTTAAAAAGACATATAAAATAATAAAATAAGTGATACTGACAAAATGTCCTGGCAAGTATTCACGTAAAAACAGCCAGTTATGTTTTAAGTGAACGTAAAACAGTTGAGAAAGAAAATGCATGTGTGTCTAACAGTATGATGCATCCGTGCATCAGGTCTTAATAATATTAAAAATATCTATATGGTAGGTTTTTTTCCATGGTGTAGTAGAGGACAAAAATTGTGGCCAGTGAAAATGCTGAGTAGCTAGTAACTTTGGAAAACCACTAGCCATAGTGGCTAGAGATTAAAAAATATTTAACGTCAAGCCCATAGTTGCAGCCATGCCATGCCTGCGCATGCTAAAATGTCTGAAAATGTACAGCGAGGCAGCCTCAGTTTTTAGAACCAGCAGCACAAACTAAAAGGATGATGGGAATCGTTCATTGGCAGAGAACATTTGTGACATTTGAGCCCGTTCTCATCCCAAGGCCAACATGACATCATGACTTTTGCGTAAACATACACGCCACTTTCGAGTCAAGTGGCATGTTATCTTTACGCATTTTGAGTTATCCGCGTGTATGTCTACGCCATTAACGTCCGAGTGATTCTGCGTGTCTGTACACGCCGTCAAATGTCCGCGGGAAACGAAGCAAAATGTAGATCTACATCTGGGGAGCGATCTCTTTTTTCCCTAGGATGGTAGGGGAACACTCATAAACGCCATTAACCCCAGTGACGGTTAGGTTTAGGGACGGGGTTGAGGTAAGTCATATATTTATATATAGAGTAATAACTTTAAGTCAACGGCGTTCATAAACACGCTGAAAAGCGATTATGCGTCTTGATAGCACGCCAAAAATGGAAATACGAATTGGCGTGTCATACACACGCTACTTCATAAGATCAGTCTGCCAAGACGTCATATATGACACTTTTGCTAAAGCGTAGACATCCAACGCACATGGCACCCTTTAGCGTCAAATGAGACGCAGATATATATGGGGCAGAAGGCGCCTCCTAGTGGTCTAACCCTAACCCTACCCCAGACCTAAACCTACCATAACCGAAGCATCTCATTTGATGCTAAAGGGTGCCATGTGCGTTGGATGTCTATTCTTTGGCAAAAGTGACGTATATGACGCCTTGGGAGGAGAATGCGTTGGACATTTTGTTCCTGGCTGAAATGTTAATAGGTGTGTTTGACTTTGGCTGGAATTAATCAATCAGTGAGATTTACCTCTCTCAGTGATGGGAAGTCTGGATCATTTTACTCACTCGGATCTCGGAACCGATCACAGTGGCTGCGGCACCTGAGGTGGATAGACGAGGCGAGAGAACAGGAGACGGAAGCATGAGAGCAACAAATACGAGAGAGGATAGAGAGGTGACAAAAAAAAATGGTCCATATCCCGGACACACTTCGGTTCGGTCCTCAGCCAGCTGAGAGACTCACTCTCGGTGCCATGGGATGGTACTGGACATCTGTTGGGGAACGGCTCGACGCTCCTCCTCCTCGTGGCGAAAAGGCGATGGCTCCATCTCATCATGAGAATACCATCTCATCGTGTCATCAAAATGACCCCTGGACCAACCAGGTTTGCATGTTCCTATGCCAAAGACATAATATCAACATTTAAATTGTTTTTCCCAGATGACATTAAAAAGATTTTGATTGGAATGTCCAATTTAGAGGGGAAACGAGTGTATGGTAAAGCCTGGAAGAACCTGGACTGGACGGACATACAGGCCTATTTGGGTCTGTTGATTCTGGCGGGCGTGTATCGATCCCACCATGAGGCTTTGAGTAGCTTATGGAACGGTGTGTCGGGAAGGGCAATTTTTCCTGCTACCATGACTTTGAATAATTTTAAGATGATGTCAAGGATCTTCTGCTTTTATAGAAGGGGTACAGGGCCTGGCCTACAGAAAGATGACAAGCTGGCACCAGTAAGGGACATCTGGGAAAAATGGGTCCAACGCCTGCCGCTCTTGTACAATCCAGGCCCGAGCGTCACTGTAGACGAGTGCCTGGTCCCTTTCAGAGGTCGCTGTCCCTTCAAACAATACATGCCGAGTAAACCGGGCAAGTATGGAATTAAAATCTGGGCGGCGTGTGATTCCAGCTCGAGCTACGCGTGGAACATGCAGATCTACACAGGCAAAGCTGCCGACAGAAAGCCAGAAAAGAACCAGGGAATGCGTGTGGTCTTGGACATGACATCCGGTCTCCAGGGACACACCATCACATGTGACAACTTTTTCACCTCGTATGCCCTCGGCGGGGAGCTGCTCCGAAGAAAAATGACCATGATCGGAACAGTCAGATCTTCTGTGGATAGAAATAAATCCTACATCGGAAGAAATTAAAAGGACTCTTTCTGGAAGAGCCTGGTGACTCCCTTCATGAAAAGGCACTCCCCACACACTAGCCTCTGAGAAAATGGTAAAGAAAGCACAAGCAGGCTCTTCAGAAAATGAAGCCTCCCCCAACCTGCCATGTGCGATAAAGTGATGTAAGAGTGTGCATGCTCTTAGGGAAACAAAGCCTCCCCCTCGCCGGTCTTAACAACAAGTAGAAAATATGTCAGGTCTGTGAATCAAAGGACACAAAAACCCAAATTCTTGACATTTTTACTAGTTTGCTTCAATAAAGTTAATGAATGTTGATGTTTAAATAAACAATACGCTACAAAATAATGTGTACTCCGTCTTTTCCTTGTAACAATATTTGTAACTATAATGTGGGAAACTGACACTTCAGAAGAAGCAGATTTCAAAAAGTTAAACTTCGACAAATACTAATGTTTCTAAGCAAGAATGTATCCATATCAAAATTCATAACTTATGTCTAGAAATTAAGTTTTTGGATCCAAAGACCAGGCAATATGTTTACCAATGCAAAATGTTTAATCTGTTTATTGCTCCTTATTTTCTTGACATTTTTATTAGTTTACTTCATCATTAGTTATTGAATGTAACCATAATAGTGTATGGCATCACTCCAAAAACAAGTGGATTTTAAAAGTATTCTACAAAAATTGGTGTTTCTAAGCAAGCATATGCAAGTATATAATTATCAAAATTCATAACTTATATCTAGAAATGAAATATTTTAAGAATATGGGGTTCCAGAGATCGAGACCAACATATGTGGATCACTAACTGGTTACATTTTTTATTTTTGTCGAGAAAAAAAAAATGTCTTAGTGAATGTAGTAAGTCATATTATAGATATTAATATTTTAGAGATAAGTTAGGTCTAAATACCATAAAAATAGCAATATTCTAGTGACTTTCTTTTAAAATATATGAATGTATAATGTGTGTATACATGTAAATAAAATGAATATATTTTTATAAATTAATTTACTCACCCTGGTATTGTTTTAATGTCATACGATCTTTTTTTAGCGTCCTGCGAGCGTTCTTCCATAATGGCAGTGAGCAGTGACTTTTTATAATAAAAAAAGCTGCAAAACTATCTCAAAATGTCTGATAAGTGTAGTTTTCTAACTGTAAGGAAATCCATAAAAATATACGTGTACTTTCTTCTCTCGGGTGAATTTCTCCAAACCAGATGAAAGTTGATAGGTGTGAATCTATGGTGTGAACTCGCTGTGTCGTTGCAACAACCAGAACACAAGAGAGATATTCACCCCAGGGAAGAAATTACGTGTATAATTAATTATCCAGGAGCCGGGTGTTATGTTTTGATTAATCTTTATTTCTAAAGGGTTTGAACTGCTTCGCTAATACATTCTCACCATGAAATCGTAAAAACAGCCAAAATCAGAATTTTACTCTAAACGTAAACGATCAATTATATTTTGATATATTTTGAAAACCCTATCGTATGCTATCAGCACAGGGAAATACATAAATAAAATAAAGAGAGAGAGAGAGAGAATAAACCACATTACAAAAATAAAACAATTAAAATATTACGAAATATAATGATGTTTAAAATTGACATTTGAAGCTTTTCTCTTTCCTCCCCTGTCCTGAGCCCATAAAGTTTTAGAGTCATAATGAAATCAAAATTGACCATTCTTATTTTTTATGGAATATTGCACTATTTATTGTAAGTCTGTATATATAGGCCTATATGTATATATATATATATATATATATATATATATTAGGGCTGTCAAACGATTAATCGCATCCAAAATAAAAGTTTTGTGTTTACATAATATATGTGGGTACACTGTGTATAATTATTTTGTATATATAAATACACACACATGCATGCAAAAACACATGCAAGATATTTATATTTTTATATAATATAAATTATATATAAATCTATATACAGTATATACATGAAAATATTTCTTAAATATATACAAGGATGTGTGTGTATTTATATATATAAAATAATTATACATAGTGCACCCACATATATTACGTAAACACAAACTTTTATTTTGGAATGCGATTAATCGCGATTAATCATTTGACAGCCCTAAATATATATAATTGATGTGCCCTCATAATCTTTAATCAAAATAACTTTCCCTCCCTTTTGCAGCGTCATCTCTTCTCTTCTCTGATGACGAGGGCGGGGCAACCTGTCACTCACATGAGATCGACCAATAGCAAACAACAACAATCCAATCAATCCCCTATGAACAAAATCAAGTCCCACCCTACATTTTTTCTTGGTCCAGATGAAAAAACTTGGATATACGTCACAATAGGCAAGAAAAGACTATCACAACTTCCGTTTCATGGCGCCTTTGATAGACCCCCAAAAGTGTGCCATGGTTTTGGTGAGGGTTAATTAAGAATGAATGGGGAATAGTAATGTCTCCAACCTCTTGCTGTGATTGGTCAATTACTAAATCCCACCTCTCATTTTTGTGTGTGTGCCCCACATCCACTAGTATCTGCCAAACTGGTCAGAATGAATAAGAAATGGTCTTAATGGGAAGACTAATAAAAAAGTAAGTAAACAACTAACTTGGATTTCACCGCTTTGTCACATTACATTAAAACTTGACTTGAAAATGTGATCTGTGAGGTTTTTTTGTGCGTAATCAGTTTTGTGAAATTCATCCTTGTGCCTGTGACCATTATAACACCTGCAGTTTACCGAGTGTGATGATCTGAAAAATGTGTCATGTGAAATAAAAAACCTAAAAATGTGTCAACTTTACAACAACAGTATGGTGAATAATTTGGGGGTGAACGGTCCCTTTAATTTGCTTTTAAAAATAGTTTTAACGTTTAACTGTAACTTTTATTTAGTGTATATTTTTTATGTTATTTTATAGCTTGACTGGAGGCCAGACCAGATGGCGTTCATGTCCAGACTGTCTCGGTCCCGGAGTAATTCCAGGTCTCCCAGTAGAAAGGACTCTGAGAAGGGCTCTCCTGTACTAACAGTTTCTGAACTGGAGCGTCTGCTCTACACGGGGAAAACCGCCTGTAATCATGCAGATGAAGTGTGGCCAAGACTCTACATAGGTGACCAGTGAGTAGCCCAACAACAACACATGTGGTTTTGGTCATTACGTATTTGGAGATTACTATAGAGGGAATGCATTGACGTCACTTTCCCGCCGGAACAACCCCCCTCAGCCTGACTTACAATTTTATCAATTTAAACTAAATATTTGACTTAATATAGTGTTCCTTACAACTTACTAAAGATCCAATGATCCATGGATATTGACATGCAGCCAGGAATCGTGTTGCCTGATATATACGTTTGCCTGATTTCGAACATAAAGCACATTTGCCTGTGAACGCTTTATATAAATACAATATAGGTTGGTCTAAATCCGGGTCACTTACATCAGTGTTATACTGTATATAGCCTATATACTGTATATACCATCATATCGTCCAGCCCTAAATCTTTATAGTTTTTTTTTTGGTCAGTGTTTATTGAAAACATCCAATAATGCAGAATATGCAATGATAAATATTTAATTGAAGAGTTGTTTATATATATAAATTACAAAACATATGGGTATGGTTTTACAGCTAAATTCAGCATATTGACACAAGATCATAACTGCAAATCCACCTTTCGCTGACTGGAGTCCAGTTGTTTCTGTGAATTGCAGCGATCCATTTGCTTCTCTTTCCATAGCAGTCTGTAAAAATATACGTCTGATTTTTTTTGTCAAATCTAGTTTATCCCACTTATAATGTGTTGTGTTTGTTTTTCCCGGCATTCGAACTGAAAACAAATACAGCCGCTCAGTTTTTTTGCCACTCACGGCCGACGGTGACGTCACGCGCATACCCTCTATTACTCACCTAAACGTTTAATACTCATTTCAGAGAAATTGCCTCAAACCGCAAGGAACTCATCAAGCTTGGGATCACACACATCCTCAACTGTGCTCAGAACAAATGGAGAGGCGGCGCAGAGCATTACGCTGGCATGAACATCACATATCATGGCATTGAAGCCCACGATTCGCCTTCCTTCGACATGAGTGTGAACTTCTACCCAGCGGCCGAGTTCATTCACAGAGCCCTTAGTGCCGGAGGTCAGTTCAGAAGCGGCCTCTTTCTTTTTAAACAATTCACAGTCATTATAATAAAAATAAAGGCTGAAAAAAAAAACAGCCTTCAAGTTTCATGAAGGTTGAGTGTGCACTTGATTTGGTGTTATGTATAACTTATTTGTACTTATATGCGACTTTTGAATTTATATTTGGAAATTCGAAATATTTTTTCTTATAATTCTCTTGTAATTTATGTCATTATGAATCACATTATCTGTATAATAATTTGTGTGAAAGTTGTATTTTTTAGTATTTGATATGTAATTTTAATTACAGATATGCAGTAACTTTTTATCATACATGTGAGTATTAAGGCCTGTTCACACCGGGACGAATTTTGCGCGCGATATTCGCCAACGTTTAACGCCTTGTGACTAAACAAAGGGCGCCAATGTGAGTGTGCACACTGACACGTAAAAGTGTCATTTTTTTAAAAAACGGCTTGGGTTTGTTTTTTTGTTTCACGCGCCGCGTCAAAAACTATCCGACCAATGAGATTGGCGCTTTTGCTCGCGTGTTTGGAGCTTCTGAAGTTACAGTAAAACACAACTTGGGGCCGCTCAAACACAAAACGGTCTTGCCGAGCACACATACAGAACGGAGAAGAAGATATATGCCAAGTAGCGTCACCGTCTACACAGCCAGGAAGAAATAAGACGAGGAAGATGCGAGGCAAGATGAATATAGACATAGACATATACACTAGACCTCACCTTGTCTACGGCAGTTCATTGGAACGAATGCGTCAATAGAGCCGCCATCTTGAAACAGGGGAGCCCCTCCACTTTAATGCATCAGCGTCAATGCAGTAGACACAGGTCTAACAAAAAAAAAAAAAATCACCATAAATCATCATGAATGCGATTTTTCTTGTTTTTTTGGTTTGTTCCAACGGTCAGACATGTATTTATCATTGATTCCAGAAAGATTTTATTTTTTTTTACTTTTTTTAAACATTCTTCCTAGTTCAGATTTCATCCGTGAACATCATACGCTGCACAAAAGTCCGCCACCATCAATGAATTCGAAGTAAAGGCAGAGATAGCAGCGTTACCTAGCTACTTCCTATGACAAGACCCCTTTTCCAAGATGGCGGCGGTTTTGACGCATGCTTAGAACCCCAAGGTGAGGTCTAGTGTATATGTCTATGGAATATAGAGAGCCTAAATCCCGCCCCTCCTCTTCTGGCTCATGGGACCTTATTCCGGAAAAAAATATGAATGATAGTCAATGGCAAGAGACAACTCATCTTTTTATTCCGTCTGAACTGAATTACAATGAACTCAATTACACACATATGATGTTTGTCAATTTAAAAGATAATTCTGAAAGTCAAAAACGTCGCAGTTTGTCATAAAACAGAAGAGTAACATTTAGTTTTATGTGAAAATCGCTCTATGAACTACATCTCCCGGGAAGCGAAACAACGAGTGAGATCCGCTGCTCGTGTGTGTGCAGTCTGGTACAAAACACTCAGGCGTGACGGCGTAACATTACGATTATAACGTAAGACTGTAGAAACAATGACAGACATTAGCCTCAGTAAAGTTAGCTTCATTCATTGAGAGAAAATGTGCGCCTTTGGGGTTTGTAGTCTTTGTAATTACGTATTTTCACAGTCTTATACCTCAACGGTTTTACATCAAACTGCGACTTTCTTTACTTTAAAATGTATCTTTTAAATTGACAAACATCATATGTGTAATTCAGGGCACGATTCAAACGAGATCAAAATATTTGTTGTCTCTCGCCATTGACTATCATTCAATATTTTTCCGAAATAAGGTCCCATGGTGGTCGACCGGAAGGGGAGGGACTCAGGCTAGCGTGCCGCACAAGCCCTCAAAAGTGAAGCCAAAACGTCTCGATCGCCCCCCCTGTGGCCGGTCCTAGTATAGCTCATAACCCCCGCCTCCCCATGTTATTCAATGGGACGCGAGACCAACTAAACAATTAAATTACACTTCACATATCCTTTTTCCAAAGATAGTTTCTGTCATTTACTGTAGTTTCTATAACGTTGATGTAATTTCAAGTGTTCGTTTTTAAAATAAGTTCGTTTTTTAGTTAGTTATGTGATGATAAAAACGGTGCTCTGACATCATGATTGACAGCTGTGATTGACAGGTAATCACTGAAGCACCAGCGGACTTTTTTCATAATGTTGATTATGTGGTTAGTAGTTGTATTTACCTTATTTTAACGAGGTTCTGCAATCAGCAGACATCATTGGAGAAGAACGAAGCAGACAGAGGACACTTAATGAAAGTGCGGGGCGTGTGCTTGCGTTTGATTCAGCGCGAAGGAGGGCGCGGCCTTGATTTCGCGGCTTTACTTCCTGCTCACGACTGGTCCCGAAACACGCAAGTGCGCAGACTCAGGTCCCAAGATGTCAGCGTCATATCGAGACACTGGCGGCTTCGATCCTCTCTGATGGAAAAGAGCGAAGGGGCGTCGTCCATCTTTTTTTACAGTCTATGGTTAGAACCATTAGAACATAAAGAACTATATGACAAACGCGACAGCAACTACAAACATTTTGATAAAAGAGAACTGTATAGAGTTGCAGAGCAAATGGGCGCCATCTAATGTTAGGGAACGAATTTTTATGTTCACTCGGCTCATCGTCAGCAGAAATCACTTGGGTGTGAACACAAAAAACGCGTTGAAAACCGCTGGCGAATAACGCGCACTGATATTCGTCCCGGTGTGTACGGGCCTTTATGATGCAGTCTTTAATTTTGTAGGAACGGTTCTGGTGCATTGTGCCGTCGGGGTGAGCCGATCTGCTACGCTGGTTCTGGCCTACCTCATGATTCGGCAGAACATGACTTTAGTGGAGGCCATCAAGACCGTGAAGGACCACCGTGGCGTAACGCCGAACCGCGGTTTCCTACGTCAGCTCAGCGGTCTAGACAGCATTCTGCGTGCCAGCCGCAATTCAACATAATCTCACTGGTAGCTTTTGAACTTCAACCTTTCCGGCCCAGGCCTTGATCTAATGCGTTGCAGTAAATAAGAGCAGAATGTTTTTACAAACAGTGAGTTTATTCCAGCTGTTCTCCTGTGGTCAAAAGAAATGCCTTATTACATCAGGAACTCTAGAAATGTGCGTAATGCCTTATACACTGTTAACCGTTCACATCTGTTCACACGACCACCCACTGAAATGTTGCCATGTTACAGAATTGACCCACGTGTTTTCCTCAAAGAAATCAGGAAGGCTTAAGAAGCCATTCACACATGATGTGTTTGATATGCAGGGCAGTGCTGCGAATAAAACAAGAAAAGAAGACAAACAAGATGCAGAGAGTTGAACGTTTGACGCTGCGTTTTTAGAACGGGTCGTCCGCTGCAAAAGACCGGAGCACAACGGGCTAACACATCCGTCTAGCGCATGTTTTATTGAAAAACTGTGGAAAAGCAGCATAGCCAAATGCAAAAATTCAGTGTGAATGGCCCCTAGGCAATCGCATAACTTTTTTTTTTTTTTTGCGGTTAAAAAACAAGAAAAAATGGCCATTAAATGGATAGTTGACTTTGAAATTAATTTTTGATATGTTTTAGCTTACCTCAAGGGCTTTAGTATTTTTTTCCACAGTATTTTCAATTTTGATATTTTTAAGTCAAACCGTTCTTGTCTGTTAGTCATATAATGGAGGTCTATGGTCACCACCTCAAAGAGCATCCACAGAGAAGTCCAAATTAAACATGATTTAATGACTCGTGAATGTAAGTACACATTGATGGCCTAAGACACGAAACAAGCGGTTATCAATGTGGATCAATGCGAGTGCACACAGAAGCACCCTCGACCCTCAGATCACTTGGACGTGGCTATGATTACAAGAGGTAAAAGCGATATAAATACTGTTCGTTTTCTCACACAAACCGCTCGTTTCGTGTCTTAGGCCATCAATGTGTACTTACATTTACGAGTCATTGAATCATGTTTAATTTGGACTTCTCTGTGCATGCTCTTTGAGGTGGTGACCATAGACCTCCATTATATGACTGACGGACAAGAACGGTTTGACCTAAAAATATCAAAATTGAAAATACTGTGGAAACAAAGACACCTACATCTTGGATGCCACTGAGGTAAGATAAAACATTCCAAAAATTAATTTCAAAGTGAACTATCTCTTTAAGCCTGGTCTAAACCTGCTTTATGCTAGTGGCTCGCCACAAGGGTTATGCATTTGGACAGAATTTCAACTTGATAGAATGTTCTAGGATCAGATTAGAATATGATCGATATTTAACTAATGTGCTGGAAACAAATATGGACAATAAAACATCTGCCTCCTTGAACAGATCTTAAGCCAGCACCACTATTGCTATGATTTGTATTAAAAGAGAAAACATAAATTGTAAACTTTGGCAACATTTGAGCTACTTACATAAACTCAAACATGTTCTAAGTTTGCATTCGTTGGATGACCAAATATAAAAACCATTTGTGACCTTGTGACCACCCATAACAATCTAGTGAGCCACATAGACATGGCAACCATCCAGAACACCTTTGTAACCACTTAGATATCCCTACGAACTTTTACATTAACAGTAGTTTTAAAATTGGTTTTCTAGAACATCTTGTAGCGTGCGAGACGCTTCAAAAGGCGCGAACAAACACGTCAGTCTAGAGTGTTTATAAAAAAACAGCTTTTTTATGGAAAAGAAGCGCAGTGGGATGCATTGGTAAGACGCCACATCACAACACAACAATCTAGTAACCACATAGTATGGCCATAGTAACCACCCAGAACACTCTAACAACCACCTAGCAACACCCTAGTTGCCTAGCAATACTATAGCAACTTTGGAAGCGTATTTCTGCCACTGAATAAAAATTCAAATTATTTTTTTATTTTCAGAATTGGACTTTATAACTCACATGTGCGATAGACAAAATACAGAATTGCAAGAAAAAAAATAATTGCAAGTTAGAATTACGATGCAAATTCGCAACTGACTTTGGAACTTTTTTTCCCCTCGCAATTTAAGACTTTTTTCTCTCGCAATTGCGAATTTACATCGCCCAATTCTGACTTTTTGTAATATAAACTCACAATTGTGAAAAATGTGAGGGAAAAAAAGTATTTTTCTATTCCATGGCAGAAACAAGCTTCCATAAGCAACCCCTCAGAACAACTTAAACATCCTAGCAATGCCTTAGCAACTGCCAAGAGCACCCTAGCAACAACCCAAAACAATATACCACATAATATTGCCATAGTGACCATTCAGAACACCCTAACAACCACTCAAATATTTTGACGGCCAGATTGTCACTGTAAGCACGTCTCATATTTTGTCAAGGAGATGTCGTTTTTTCCCAAAATTGGTGCAGTGTTATAGTTACGATAGGCTATTTGAAAAGTTTGTAAGTACGATCCATCGATTTTGCATTTAAATGCCGGTGTCTCAAGCGACTTTTAATGAAGGTAATGTAGCTGATCACAGTCATCTCAGTGAACATACACTCAGTTCCTAAACTCTGGTGACCTGAGCTAAAGTGTACATGTGACTATATGCAAATTTGCAGACAGTTTTGTTACACATTAACTTGTTTGATTTATGTTGTCTGTTTAAATACTACAAAAAAAGTCATGTGAAGTATTCTACAAGTTATCCAAGTTGTTAACTTTTTCTATATGGTATTGTACAATACGGTAGCTACACAGCAAGTGCAATCCAGCAAATCCTCAAGTGCAGTACAAATTGTAGCTGTATGAAATTACAGTGTGCTAGTATTATTGTCATTTCTCTACATTTGTATTATTGGGGACAGCTGTTTACTGTATTTGTGTACGTGTTGGTCGTCGTAACATCTAACCACTGCTAAACACTGCCAGGACTGCCAATCCCTTCCACAGTATGTGGAGCTGATCCACACACCAGTTTGTGTCTTAAGAACAAGTATCGATCGCTCAGAGATTCAACTTGTTTTGGACCAAATTTCTGAGTTGAGCGGGAGCGTGCAGCCAGAGACAAAACGAGGAGTTTGTAAAAAAAAAATACTAATGTTGTTATTTTCTTTTTAATGCATATGAAATCAAAGCAAAGAGTATGTTTTGTGCTGGATCTGAAATAAAAAAATTGTTCAAACCTGTTAATACGATGCTGTTTAAATTATTTTTTTTCTCCAGCAACACTATTTTTTACCACAAACTTGATAACAAAGAGTGTGCACTAGCGCCCGATCAATTTAAGCGCTTTTGGTTCTGTATTTTTTCCATTAATTTCTCCTTTTAGGAATTTTTTTGAAAAGCGTTGTTAAAGCGTTGTAAGCCATGAACCAAGCTAATCAGCTACAAGGTGAATCATAACAATACAAACTTTGATTTGAACTACCCATTTAAAAATTGTGATTATATATACACACATTCACCTAAAGGATTATTAGGAACACCTGTTCAATTTCTCATTAATGCAATTATCTAATCAACCAATCACATGGCAGTTGCTTCCAAGCATTTAGGGGTGTGGTCCTGGTCAAGACAATCTCCTGAACTCCAAACTGAATGTCAGAATGGGAAAGAAAGGTGATTTAAGCAGTTTTGAGCGTGGCATGGTTGTTGGTGCCAAATGGGCCAGTCTGAGTATTTCACAATCTGCTCACTTACTGGGATTTTCACGCACAACCATTTCTAGGGTTTACAAAGAATGGTGTGAAAAGGGAAAAACATCCAGTATGCGGCAGTCCTGTGGGCGGAAATGCCTTGTTGATGCGAGAGGTCAGAGGAGAATGGGCCGACTGATTCAAGCTGATAGGAGAGCAACTTTGACTGAAATAACCACTCGTTACAACCGAGGTATGCAGCAAAGCATTTGTGAAGCCACAACACACACAACCTTGAGGCGGATGGGCTACAACAGCAGAAGACCCCACCGGGTACCACTCATCTCCACTACAAATAGGAAAAAGAGGTGACAATTTGCAAGAGCTCACCAAAATTGGACAGTTGAAGACTGGAAAAATGTTGCCTGGTCTGATGAGTCTCGATTTCTGTTGAGACATTCAGATGGTAGAGTCAGAATTTGGCATGAACAGAATGAGAACATGGATCCATCATGCCTTGTTACCACTGTGCAGGCTGGTGGTGGTGGTGTAATGGTGTGGGGGATGTTTTCTTGGCACCCTTTAGGCCCCTTAGTGCCAATTGGGCATCGTTTAAATGCCACGGCCTACCTGAGCATTGTTTCTGACCATGTCCATCCCTTTATGGCCACCATGTCCCCATCCTCTGATGGCTACTTCCAGCAGGATAATGAACCATGTCACAAAGCTCGAATCATTTCAAATTGGTTTCTTGAACATGTCAATGAGTTCACTGTACTAAAATGGCCGCCACAGTCACCAGATCTCAACCCAATAGAGCATCTTTGGGATGTGGTGGAACGGGAGCTTCGTGTCCTGGATGTGCATCCCACAAATCTCCATCAACTGCAAGATTCTATCCTATAATATGGGCCAACATTTCTAAAGAATGCTTTCAGCACCTTGGTGGTGGTTGAGGAGATTCCCCCCCCCCCCCCCCTCTATGTGAAGCGCTTTGAGTTTCCAGAAAAAAAAAGCGCTATATAAATGTAATGAATTATTATTATTATTATAATATGGTGTTCCTAATAATACTTTAGGGAAGTGTATATATATAGATATAAACACAAAATATTTTAAGTTTGTTGCAAAATATGCACAAAAATTTAAGTATTTTGCATAATTTTACGCCATTCAAGTGCTTCACTGAACTCAAGAAGAAACAGAATTCAGATTCTGGTCCACACTATACAGTAAGCATTAACATTAAACACTTAGCGCCACCATGTGGCCAATTCATACAAAATGTAGTGCATTTAAAACACCTGGGAAATGTTTTGAATATCATGATGAGGAAATGTTCACAAGGAAAATGACTGATAAAATATGAACTTTGTCCTCACTATCCCTAGGGTTGACTGGAGAATTTCAAAGGCATGTCGACTGAATGTTGCACTGTCGTGTCGTTTAACCTTTGCTAAAGCCTTGTTTGTCAGAGAGCAGGGCTCGATTTTCACACAGAAACACTGAATGTTTAAGGCTGTTTGTTTGTTTGTGAATATGGCAGCATTGAGAACTAAAGCAATCAATCATTTAAAAATGTTAGGCTAAATAAAGAAACTACAAATGGACAGACCTGCAGACAATGATATGAACCATTCAATTTATTGAGTAGCAGTAGAGTTAAAGCGCTGTAGTTAGAAAGCAATAAAACGAATTTAGGCTATTAAAACAAAAAAACAAAATACTATCATCCTGGCACATTTGACATGAACATAATATGTTTGTTTTTTGTACATGAAGATTGTTCTAAAGTTTTCTTTTTAAAATCCCAACACTTTAGTGCTCTGGATAATGAGAAAGGGATCAAAACTGAAAACTGGCAACGTTGGTTTGATTTTTTTCCTATTTAAAGAATTAAGATAACTTTAATATTAGTCTTTAAGTCATAACCTCATGCAATGAGTAATAGTTTTATTTC